ATACTAATTATATTTTATAATAATTTAATATAATTGTTTTTTATTTAAAAAACTAATAATTAATTTGTATTATTACTTGTTTCAACACATTAATGCCTGCCTATACATGTAACTTTTAGACAGTCAAATTTATTGTGATAATGGCTATAATTAATAACTAATCATTCTGCCTTGAAAATCTAACAAAACGTTTTTATTATAGTGTCCTTCGGAAAAAGTGATTGATAACGCAGGTTTTATGATTGATGTAAAAACAACTGTTTATCATCAATGTGAAACCGAAAACAGGTATTTGTTTTAGAATAGGTTTTTGTTCGCCTACTTTTCCACCCTATACATTTTTAACTATTAAGCTGCTTTGTTTTATCAGCACATATCGATCATCTAGTTAATAATTTATGGATAAGATAAATTTGATTAGGCAGGCAGTGAACAAATCTGTAAAACAAAATTACAGATTTCCCATTTTCATAAATAATTGTAGGTAGTTTCAAAACGTTTTTATATGTACTTTGGGCTAGAGCTTATTTTTAAATAAAAAATTTAATGAATGAGGCTTTAGTAATTAGTTTGTATACTGAAGTCACTAATTGGAATATGTACTTGACCCAATTTTTTTTTCCTGGATTATTTTAACATTTTATTCGATTAATTTTTAATAAAATATGTTATGTATAATATGCATAACCCCCATTTTGATGAAACTTCAATTATACTTGTATAATTGATATATCTATGTGGACAAGAGATGCGTTTCTGTATCGACTTAAAATTATTTTAGAGCGACACAGAATTGGAAGTAATTAGTAAACTGTAATACAAAATAATTGTGAACCGAGTCCGATTCCATAAACACGTACGAGATATACCTTTGAGTTGAAATTCACTTGTACTTTGTGCGTTGTTCCTCTATTTAATTGTCGGGTATGCATAGCATTGGATTATTTTAAATCAATGCCAAAGAGGAGGTCTCTTGACTAAAGTCTCTGACCTCATTGTTATGCATCCTTCTGTTTTTAAACGTTTTTTTGCTCTTCGTATAAACTGGATTTATCACAATGTTTCATTAAAAAAAGGTTGACGTTTGAATTTTAGTATAATTTATCTGATACACATATATTTAGCACATGTGCTGTGAGCAGATGCCGTTTATGTTTTACACGCGCATCTTCGCTCAACCTATACGAATGATTTTTTTTATTTATTCGTTCAATATGTTTTCTTTTTAAAATACAAATCTATAACCATATTATATGCCTTATTATCTTATTGGTTAATCATAGGCTTTATTTATAAAATAGATTTTTTTACTAGTATACCGATAGTGTCTTTGTGTTTCAATAGTTCTTGAATATCCGAAATGTAAACCTATTTGATTATGTATTTTACTTGAGTATAGAAAATTTGTACTCTATATTGCTAAACAAATATAATTCCGATTACAGATAATAAATTGGTTTTCACAATATGATTGCTTATAAACTTTACGCGCCTACCCTTGTTCTAAAATCTTGTAAAAAATTCCCGGTATTAATACAATTTTATACAAATTTATATCTGAGCCCCTATTATTTTATAATGCAACCAGCTAGTGGTCCTTACGCACGCAAAACCATCGAGAGTCTATTGTTTAGATGCTATATCGCTGGATGGTATCATCTGTCTATAACCAAGCTGTAGTACATAATATAGAAAAAAAACTGAGCACACTGGCACACAGTTAATTTTTAATAATATATTGACCTTATTCTTATAAATAAGGATTAAACTTCTAGATCACTAAATCACAAGTTTTGTGTCTGACTAGTTTTTTACGACCCTTCGCAGTATCTAGAATTTTGGAATAAGAAGTCATAGGTATTTAAAGGCGCCACAATGTGTTATTTTTAGAATGATAGTTTTACATTGTATTTAGAACTCCAGCTAACACTTTAAACATTATTCACTTGTGCAGTAATTTAGGTATTATGGACTCAACTGTGATCCAGTAATTAAACCCCTAAACCCCCGCCTCATTATTTTGAATTGTGTAGGAATGTATTCCTATAAATCTACTAAAAAGTTTGACGCCTAATTTTACAACTGCGCCTCACAATTGTTTTTACAGTTCATTATTTATTTTACGTGGCTATAATTTAATCCTAATGAAAACAAATATATTTATTCAGTATGTTTACACGTTGATTTATGTACAATTATGCAACGTTTATTATTGCTATGCATAAGGTGGTAATTGTGTAATGTTTAAACACAGAAGACACTTCGATTATAATTGATGTTTTATAATTATTTGTGTACACAAGTAAACTATACTAAATTAAACTATATTATTTCATCCAAAAATACGCTTCAATGATGATAATTATTGTTGGACGAGTCTGAAAAGAGCATAATATTAATTTGTTTTATTAATATATTGCTATTGGTAAAATAGTATATGTAATATAATATTGTCTAATGCCTAAACACTCACTGCCTAGGGAAAATGTACAATGCAGAACAATATCTTCTACCGATGTAGGAGAATCTGAGCAGTTTTTAAACAGTATTTTGGTAAAAAAAATGTATTATGTAGTCTTCTGCTGAGTGCTGTCAACTGATGTACGCTGTACCCGGGCCGACACTATATGTATATATTTATTTACACGACTCTCTAGAGAGAATCGCTTGATGGCGGTGGCGACGCCTTAAAATTTAATTATGCCTATTTTGCGACGGTGGATGTAGCTTGTACTCAGTGTGTTATGCGTTCATGTACTTACGATTATTTATATACCTACAACCTGCTTCCAGTTTGCATTATCCGCATGATCGACTTAATAAATTATTAAACTTTAGATTCGATTGGTCTCGAGAGCCGCCCGCACGGACGTCGAGGGGGAAATTTAAAATTTTCATCATAACAATATAACCCTATTGATGTTACCACCCATGTTAGTACACGATAGTAAGGAACAACGACGTTTTAATAATCTGTATTAAAATTCTAGAAATAATTTTAATTTATTCTAATTTACTAGCTATTATTTTATTATGATTATTTTCTTATTAAAATCGAAACATGGGTTGGTGCAAAATGCTCCTTGGTCAGATAGAATCGCAGTGTTCATTTAACAACCTCGTGATTCCAAAACCACCATTACTCAACACAAGGTTCCCGGGTATAAGATTAATGTAATTCTGATTCGGGAAATGGCGACGGTGTAAACAGAGTTCGAATTTAATATGACAACGTGTTAATTATTAAGGAAAACGCATTAAGCGCTTCCATCACTCGATTACGCTGTGATAACTTGGATATAGAGCATGTCGTACCACTCATAATGTCAAAGTTAATACCTTATAACCTAACCTAACCTAACTAGTAACTAGTAAATTGCACTTGTACAGCCTCTGTTTAAAATGAATAATCTATCATTTACAAATAAATCTTACTTGTCAACTGATTTTGTCAAAACGCCAATTTAAAACAAGGATCACAAGCAAAATATCTTCCAATATGTCCTACTCGTTTTGATAGGGGAAAACGATTAAATTAATCAAAACGTAAATTAAGGTCATGTACGCATCCAAATTGTTTGCTAGCTTGTAATGTTCTTAATTTATATTTTAATTATTCCTCACTAACGTTCAAACAAATTTTTATTGGACAACAATTATTATGGCCAACTTGAAATTATTCTTCTCATTTCAACAGATATTATTTCTTTTAACAATATCCTCTCTCATGAAACCAAGCAGACCTATCTATATCAAATGTAGGTTTTTCTTGATGGTACCTTTTTATAAATAACGTCCATGTACCTTCATATATTTCGAGTTCCGAAGTACTTTATAATAGAGGTCACGTGCCGGAAATAAAAATGGCGGACCAAACCGATTTCTTTCTGGCTTCGATGTGGAGGTAAGAAAGTAGTGGTTTTACACAGAGATGTGCGTTTTTTCTATATTATTCTGTCCGACTCGGGCAGCTGATATCTCTCGTTAAGTTTTCATATTGCACCCATTATAATCATTGTTCGAGTATTATTATCTCGTTTAAAAAGTCAAGCTAATTTTTTTTTATAAATCATAATACAAAGTTCGCTGATATTTTTTGAGTTCACGCAAGTAAAAAAAACCTTGAATAAATTCTTTTGGAATTTAAGGGGATGAAAAATAAATAAGGCTTTTCCCTAAAATCAAAAAAACTAACCATTTATTCTTGTTTTAACTAATAATTAAAGGAATTGTATCACATATGTTATTGGCTAAAATAAATTAATATACAAATAGGTTACGTTTCCCTGTTAAGGTTATTTTTCCTTATTTATTTGTAAAACAAAAAAATACACTCAAAAAGCCATCCTGCGCTAGCTTTTATTATACTACAGTTGTAATGCAGGTATGTATCTTATGTAGGTTATCTTAAAGAAACGATTACCGCAGGTTTATCATATTTACATTTCTTTGTATGGACATAATATTATGGTCAAACGATATTTTATACTTATATAATATGGTCACAATCTTTTTCGACAAATTTAGACCCAGCTATTTTTATTCTTTGTATTTTTATACATTAATATCTAAAGTATACCTTATTTGCTCTATCAGTTATGTTTGTTGTATTCCATTTGTATTTCATTCTACTCCGACATTTTATATACAGTTGTAGCCTGTAGGTGACTGAGGTTGTCTAGATAAACAGGTACTCTCTAAATTAACCTACATATTATTGTATACTTATCGACATTTATAACTTAGGAAAATGGATGCTAGATTCATACAGCTAAACTACGATTTGTTAGCCGAGTTTTTACAATTTGAAAAAGTATGTAAACCTTAAAACAAAACTGAAATAAAATATAACTTCATCAGCCGTGACCACATTAAAGTATCAAACATTTGATTGACTGTTACTGTATATTACAGTAGTATTAAGCTACATATTACAAATATACCTTATTATAGTTTATTATTTGATAACTTATGATTTTGTTTGTTTGTTTATTCTATAGGAACTACAACAAGAGATGGATACTAAAAGCCATTCGTTGAATTCTCTAGATAGCGGAGGAAGAAAACTTTTAGGAAGTCTTTCATCTCAAGAAGACGCTGTGATGCTACAGAGACGACTGGAAGAAATGAATCAGCGTTGGAACCAATTAAAGAACCGTTCAGTGTCCATAAGGTAGGACATGTCGTGTGCCGTTTAAATTGTATTTAATATTTAAATAGGATACTTACACATATTTTATTTTATTTCCATTTCAATAATACCTTGTGATTGGATATCACGGTATTTTTTTGACCGTATTATTGTTACTCCGGTTTATTTTTTTTTATTTTTTTATTCGGGAGAACGGGTGTAATTGGAACGCGTCAGTTCACAACCGTCCCTCGAGACGTGTACACCCTGTAAGCTCTCATTTATATATTATATGATTGTAATTTATAATTCCCAAGTAACTCATATCGCACCAAACATACGATATTGAAGCAATCCCGTCGGACTAGGATCATATTTAGTTTTCCCCTTTTAATACGTTACGTGGCACGAGCATGACCTTTTGAATGATTTATCCGCGTCATGGGCACAAAGTTGGCTCATAAAATTATCAACACTCGCAATTGCTTTTTGTTATCCGTTTTTAACTACTAAAAAAAAAAAGAGAGGGTTACTTATAATAATTTAATAATATTATGTCGATTTTATAATTCTAATTTTTTATACCTACAATATGTTCTAAAATATAGTATAAATTAGAAGTAACGTCCTATTCCTTGTATTATCTACAAAATATTATGAAAGTACGTCCAATAGAAATAAAACGTCTACTCAGATAATATTCTTTAACGTCAAACGTGAACTATATTATATATATTAATGTAACTACATAGCATGTATGCTGTTGTTTTAGAAACCGATTAGAAAACAACACAGAGCATTGGAATGCACTTTTGTTATCCTTAAGAGAATTAGTCGAGTGGATAATTAAAAAGGACACGGAAATATCGAGTTTTGGACCTTTGGGCAACGATTTGTCTGCATTACAAAAACAACAGGTATATACTCAAGTAGTTAATTTTGCACAGCTAAAATTTTCTAAAACAAAAATACTTTGAATCCGCTCTAGGATGACCATAAAGGCTTCCGCAGGCAACTGGAAGAGAAGAGACCAGTTATTGATTCTAACCTACGCAGTGGACGCCAATACATAAATATAGAATCCCAAATTGCGGCATGTGTAAAAAATGAAGGTAAGATTTAAAAACAATATTTGAAATCTAAAAACAATATTTTCTAAACTCATTAGTCACACTATAAATGATGCTATCATTAAGAACATATTTGTATTGCATTTGGTTTTCAATAAGTTTTTAATTACAATTGTTTTATATTTTACCACTTACGCTTGTCTAAATACTCATCATTTTATCCTAGAACGGTGTATTCAGTTTGAAAAATGCATACAGATACTTTATAAAATAAGTAATATAATTATAATATCAGTAACCGAGACTGATTTACATTAAACATTTATTTTTCTAAAGACAGTTGGTTCACAGTTTCTTTCACTTAGTTAGTAAACGTCTTCTCTCTTTTGTCCGTTAGCTTCTAATTATAAACTCCCTTTTCACGTGTACATTCACTCTTTTATCTCTACACTAAAACCCCATAATCATAATTATTTTAGTATTTCTCTTCTAAACATTAAATAATTAATACGTGGGATATTCCCTTCACTTTTGGGGGGTGTATTTTTTATGTTAGTGTCTTCCTAAAAAATATGTTAAAAAGTTCGGTTGACTCGCTTAACTTGTTGACTTGTTTAACCATCGATAATATCAAGACCTAAGAAAACTGAGAATACGAATGTCGAGTGTAATAATCTAGCTGGCATATAAAAAAAACCATAATAACAATGAAGTAAGTGCGGTTGCCTATTAAAGAGATAAAAAAACTGCAAAATTATCGCACCTCGCTCTGCTCATAAACATTGGTTTTATCAATAGACATTAACGGAATATTATTTTGCTTTTATATAAACCTTTGTCCGACCCCTCTGTACAGGCTTTTCCGGAATTAAGTTATAATCAAGCATAAATGAAGTACGCCTATGTTACGTTTTCCTAGACTGTAAAATTATCATACCTTTACAAGGTTTGAAATTATTTTTGTAATAATAATAATTTTATAAAATATGTGTGTTTTGTAATATACTGAGAAAAAATGTTGGCTCAATCAGTAGGTGGACGAAGGGATTTAAATAAAAGACTTTAAAAAAATGAACAGTTTTTTTTATTACTCGTTTGGAACCTATTTGCAGGGATGCAGCATGACATCAAAAATAACGACCACCCCAATATATTATACACCTACATAATATATGATGATATAAATTTTAAACAGTCTTGTTATATATTTTTAGAAAAATATGTTTTTCTGGTATCGGACATTAATTTTGCCAACGATTTTAGAATACACATATAAGCCGTGATGTTCACAAAAACGATCATCGATTTTATGCGAAATTCTTGCCGAAAAGGGGATTTTACTATCTGCCCTTCTATTAACTATGTCTGGGTACCCCTATTGAGGGTGGGAATCCCACAAAAACTGGTCGCATCTTTATATTATTTTAAAATCAATGTTCTTACGACTTTATTAAAAGAAAATTGTTTGCTCGTAATAGAATCTCCGGAATAAAAAGATTTTCATTTTTAGATAGCCATTTATTTTTATGTATTTAAGTATTTCCTTTTTTTTTTATGTTCTAATTTTACCCCCTGTGTAGGAGTTGAGTGTATAGCGTGTTTTGCACTGTTCTAATAAACCTATTTACTTTATTTCTATGTAGATATAAAATTTACCGATGTATCGAACAATTATTTAATAATTAATATAAAAATTGGGTTTTCAACAGAAATAAATAATGCTGGTGACTCTAGAGGGTATCGTAGTGCTGAAGAACAAGCTCGTGACTTGACCATCAGTCTGAAACGTGAAGTGACTCGGGTAGCTGACCAATGGAACTCATTACTCCACCGGTCAGACCAATGGCAACGCAACTTGGATGACACATTAACGGTAAAACTTCGAATTCATATAATGTAATTGGTATGTTAAGTTAATAAATATAAAGGGGATCAATACGTCTTGTCGTTGAAATTAGTACTAGAAGTTGGAGGTATCTGGTTCAATTTTTGTAACATGGCAAAATAGATGCCTGAACTGGCTTGTTAAGATTTTATGCGCGGATGTTAAAGACAAAATGAAGTCTAAAAAATACGTACTTGGGTATGGGATGGATCATACTCGTACAAATAGATTATAACTATTAAGTATATTTTACATTAATTTTAGAAAAATTCAATCGCCAATCACTTACATGCAATTATGATTTATATCAGGGCGGGTCCAGGAGGGAGCGATTAATTTTTCGTCAATTCGATTGGTTAATCTATTTATATAACTTTCAAATCACTACAAAACCTATAAAAATAGGTTATATGCTTATATTATGTGTAGTAAGTACGCAGAACGAAGTAATAAACTATTTTTACACAACAACCATGTGTTACTAGTGTAGCAGCCAATAGCCAATTGATTTATATTTTTATATTTATTTGTACTAAATCGGTCAAGTGGTATTTTTCAGTAGTATTAAAAATGTTTTTCTTGTATTCACAGAAAATGCAAGCGTTCCAGAAAGGCCTTGAAGATAGTACATCTAAACTAGCCAGTGTTGAGGCTATGTACAAATCTTGGTCTTTCACAAATGCTGGAGACTCCACTAAAGGCCTTCAAGAACTTAGAGTAATTGAAACTATTTACCCTTGAGTAATAATGATTTTAAATTATCTTTTTTATTTATATAGCAATTTGGTGACCGATTAAATCCCGTTCAAAGACTATTAGAAGACGTCAATGACCAAGCTAGCATCCTTACATCCAATAATATCACATTATCTTTGTCTAATAAAAATATGTTAAACGACATTAATAATAGGTAAGGAAAATGTTCTACAATTAATAGTTATGTTATGAAGTATAATATATGGTTTTCAAGAAAATTTAATGTTTTCATACATACATATTTATTTTTAATTTAAGTATTTTTGTAATTTACCAAAAAAATATTCGATTATAGGTGGAAAATATTACAGCTTGCTATGGATGAAAGGTATAAACTGATACGTGATACTGGTAAAAGTGTATTGAGTCATAGTAATAGAACGTCACCTGGTAGTCATAGTGAAGCGTCTACTTCATTGTTGTTAAGTGGATCAGTGGATCCTCCGTGGGAACGAGCAACCACTCCCAATAAAGTTCCATATTATATAAAGTAAAAATTTTACAATTACTTTGGAAAATATAATTTAAATTTAATAAAAATTAAAATAATCGGTAATAATTATTTTAGTCATCAATGTGAATCAACTAATTGGGATCATCCAAAAATGATTGAACTAATGTCTTCTTTGTCAGAATTTAACGATGTAAGATTCTCTGCTTATAGAACTGCTATGAAATTACGAACAGTCCAAAAACGAATGTCTCGTAAGTATTAAATACAAATTTCATATATTACGTATAAGTTATGTCCACGTTATTTCTCAATGAATAATAATAATTGTTTATAAAAAAATTTTCAGTTGATTTATTGTCTCTGGAAGCAGCTGTGGAAGCCTTTGATAACCATGGTCTACGTGCTCAAAACGACAAATTAATTACTGTTTCTGAAATGTTAACTATTCTAGGGTCTATTTTTGATACATTAGCATCCCAACATCCATCTTTAGTACATGTACCATTGTGTCTTGACCTGTCACTTAATTGGCTGTTAAATGTGTATGATAGGTATGTACTTATCATTTTTCCTAAAAAATTGTTATTATAAATTGTTATTTTTAATCATTTTAGTCAGCGAACAGGCCAAATTCGTGTTCTATCATTTAAAGTTGGTTTAGTTCTATTATGTAAAGGACACGTAGAAGAAAAATACCGCTACTTATTCAGATTAATAGCGGATCCAAATAGACAAGTGGACCAACGAAAATTGGGACTTTTATTACATGACTGTATTCAATTGCCTCGACAATTAGGTGAAATAGCATCATTTGGTGGCTCCAATATTGAACCCTCTGTGAGGAGTTGTTTCCAAAAGGCTGGCAAAGATAAGTCTGTGATTGAAGTAAGTGCTCAAATTTTGGCTTTTTAATTAAGGGATTAGCGATAATCAGAGGGTTGAAAAAAAAATTTCAATTTTTGTACAATTTTTTTGTTGACATAATACCAAGTTCTTATACTAAAATCACTTTTAAATAAACACTTCGATGCGAATCTGTGGATAATATGTTCAAACCAGTTATAGTGGTTTAGAAGATATCGTGAGACCAGCAATAATATACTTAAAATGTAATATTTAGTTTTGTGCAGGGTGGATACGATAAGGGATGATCGTCTGTCTATAAAAATGTACTGTCATAGTTACCCATATATCGTAATTAACAATATAATGAAAATATTTTCATTACCTGTTGACTGTTGATTCACACACACATTGCATCCTAGAAACTGACTACGGCCAAAGTGTAAATTTACCCTATTTTTGGGGTGTTTCCTTAATAAAAAAAAAAAATTTGACTACAGATTTTTGAGAAAATTGTATGTTATAGTTCCATTTTAGATCCACTTTTGGTCTAATTTTCAGATCTAAAACTTTGCTTGAAAAAGTGAAATAAAGAAAAAAATGTTTTTGCTTCTAGGGGAAAGAGTTTATGATATTTTTTTTAATGTTTATCGATAGTACTATGTTTGAAGAACAATTCATATAAATTTAGAACTTTTTCGACTATTTTTAAAAAAGTTATAAAGCATCGTAATCTTCATTTACTACTACTACTTACTAGTTTTTCATGTATAAAATATGCTGTAAAAATTTCACTGAAGTATTTCAAGTGGTTTTTCAAAAATATAGTGGTGACTGTCGTCTTTAAATACATAGTTCTAGGAGAAACTCGTATAAAGTTTCACAAAATGAATTTAAAGTTTATTTTAATTAAAATACAGTTTTTTAATTTTAAGGTTTTCAAGAAAGTTCAAAAAAAAATATTGAATTATTACTGAATTTTCATAACCTTATAAGTTATAATTAAATAATAATTACAACCTTTTTTGTTTCTATACAGGCAATGCACTTCTTAGTTTGGCTTCAACATGAACCTCAAAGTATGGTTTGGCTAGCTGTTTTACACCGGTTAGCTGAAGCTGAATCTGCCAAACATCAAGCCAAATGCAATACATGTAAAGCTTATCCAATAATAGGATTCAGATATCGATGTCTGAAGTGTTTTAACTTTGACATGTGTCAGACATGCTTTTTTTCTGGCCGTAAAGCTAAACATCATAAGTTGACTCATCCCATGCAAGAGTACTGCACAACAACAACATCTGGTGAAGATGTTCGCGACTTCACTCGTGCCTTACGTAATAAATTTAAGTCTAAACGTTATTTCAAGAAGCACCCTCGCGTTGGTTATTTGCCTGTCCAATCAGTATTAGAAGGTGATGCCTTGGAAAGTCCTTCACCTTCACCACAACATTCCAATACTCCATCCACCATACCTGATGTGCACAACCGTCTCGAGATGTACGCTTCGCGTCTAGCGGAAGTCGAGTATAGAACACGTAGCAATTCCACTCCAGATTCGTATGTGTTAAAAATAATAGTGACAGTATATGATAGTATAGATTTTAATTAATATTTGTATTTAATATTGTAGAGAAGATGAACATCAACTGATTGCACAATATTGTCATTCATTAAATGGTGGTGGTTCTGAAACATTGCCATCTGTTCCAAAAAGTCCAGTCCAAATTATGGTAGCTATTGATGCAGATCAAAGACAAGAACTAGAAGCTATGATTAAGTAAAAAACATTTTAGCGTTTCTTTTTAACCAAAAACAAAAAAAACATTTTATGCAAAACTGATCAAAAAAATTATTTTTATTATTATTAATATTTGTTTATATAATGTATATTAGTAATAACAGATTATTGGGCCTTACTGAAAGAATTCATTTGAAGACCCGGTGTTATTTTAGCATTATTAACATTTTTTTAATATAATTTTTTTTATGATGTTTTAGAGAACTAGAAGACGAAAATTCACATCTACAGGAAGAATATGAAAAACTTAAAACGGGCACAGGTGGCAAAGTATCTCGCAGTACAATTTCCAATAGTAATGGTGATGTCGATATGGTATCAGAAGCAAGAATGTTGCGTCAGCACAAAGGTCGTTTAGAAGCACGTATGCAAATTCTGGAAGACCATAACAGGCAACTGGAAGCTCAACTGCAAAGACTTCGTCAGCTATTAGAAGAAGTAATTATATTTATATCATTAAACTATTACTTTAGTCTTTAAGGTCTTAAACACATGTTTTTGAAAAACGTTTCACTAAAAAGTAGTATTAGTAAATATTTCATTTATCTATGTAGTTAATTAGTCTGTGTTTCCCAAACCGATGGTCCATAGAGTGGTCATAGGTGGTCCACGGTACTAATGATTATTTTCCATTTCAATTTTTTTTTTTTTTTTTTATTAAAAATTAAATAAATCTCGATATTAAAATAACAGATACTCTCTGATAATAGAAGACATGTAATGTTACAGTTGAATAGTCTGATATTATACTCAAGTGAGTGTGTGTAATTATAATCATTATTGCGACCGATAATGATGGTCCACGACTGATTGAAAGTTTTCCTGTGTAGTCCATAGAGTTTAAAAGGTTGGGTAACACTGTATTAAATGTATACATTTTTCTTTTTAGCCTGCAACACTACAAACGAGATCAGTTACAGCTTCCCAACTGGCTTGCGATTCTCCATTTCAACACGCCAAAGATATACCTGGTACATTATAAACATAGTTAATTATCTGTTTTTATCATTTTTAAATCAACCTTGTTATTATGTATAAATATTTTGCAGGAAACACAGGTCGTAACACGTTAGAAAGACCTCCTCCGCCGCCTTTACCTGCATCCCAACACGCAGTTGGTAATTTACACAATATGGCAGGTTTGTTTGGGAACTTATGATTACATGACAAATAAAGCCCAATTAGGATTTTAACTTAATCATTTATGCAGCCTTTTTTTATATATCACAATTAAAATATCTACATCACTATATAAAATGTTTGGTAAAAATTAAAGCTAATAGCGTGTAGCCCTCCTAACGATTAACCCCTCCCCCTATTGAATGACTGTAAAAATTATTTATTTTAATTATTGATTGGGCTTTATTTACATATTATATCTTTCTAATGTTATAATTGTTTTTAATAGCAATTCATGGAAATGGAAAACTTTAGGTTTGTATAGTCAATTTCATTAAACATAATATTATTAAATTATTACATTCACATACTGTGTGTTAAAGTAATTTTCCTGCCTTCATTTCCTGACTGTGCATGCATTATTCTACTTATTTAATAGAGTGGATTGCCTTGACATATGCAGTCAGTTGACAGGAAAAAATTGACTTATACAGTTACAAACTCTGTTCTTACTTCAATCACTTAGTACTAATGCTGATCTACACAAATTGCCAGATTATAACATTATATTATTAATCTTATTAATATTTCCAGGTGATTTAGGTAAAGTAGTTACCGAACTAGTGACTGCCATGACAACTAATGAACACAGATCATAAAAATAGTTTGAATAATAAGTAGAGTAGTTTATTTCAACTTTTTATATTTATACATAATAAGTATTGTGTATAACAATACTTATTATATTTAAATTTAAAAAAACGCTCATTGACAACAACTAGAATAGTAAGATTAAAACGGCAGTCTAGATAAAATGTAATTTCATATCTTTTTAAAAGTGTACAAACACTTTAAAATTAAATGGTTTTATTATAATGATGATTTATATTGGTTATACATGTTAGTATTTAAATGTCAAGTATTCAATTATATATTCTTCTTTTAATGTTAATTAACGAAAGTATTATTTTTTTATTAGTATAAAAAAAAGTACCTCTAAAATACTTTTCAACATCCTTCACAAGTATTAAAATTTAAAATATTGTTATTTTAATTCATAAATTTGTAACAAAATATAATAATATATTATTGTGACATAATTTATTCAATGTTATATATCTTTATTGATTCTCCAGCTTTCTGCAAACCATAATCAATTGATTTATTATAAAAATAAAATGAAAAAAATATATTTTAACTTTTATTAACATTTTATTTGGGACAAATAATTTTATACCATGTTAATATTGTTAAATACTTATGTTTTTGAACATTTGTCATTCTAACTTCTCTAGAATTGTTTTATAACATTGGTTGTATAAACAATATGTCCTACCTTAGACTAATTACCTAACATATCAAAATGTAAAACTAAAAATATTTCTTTTTCACAGTTTTAAAAACAATTATGTTGAACAAATAGGGATTAAAAAATATTATTGATGTAATAATATAAATTCAATAACTTAAAAGGACAATCACAACTTTTGTACCATATTCCCGCCATTGTATTTATATTTTTTCTTTGTGTTTATTCTAAATAGAAAACAAATTAATATAGTTATTGATTTATTTTGTTGTATTGAATTTTAGTTAAATGTTTACACATATTATATTAAATTATTATTTTTATTTTATAGTTTAGTAGTATTATACATATATTACGAATCGTGAATGTAAAATCATGACTTTAATTATTAATACTTTATTATGTATCTTTTTTTTTTATGGAACGTATAGCAATAACAAAATATAATTATTACTAAAATAAAATATTATGTTCTGTTATTTAACAATTGAAGGTTTGGTTGTCATCTTTTTGCGAATTATTGTGCTATGCACCAATCGTAATCTATTTTAATAATCGTAACACATCTCAAAATGTTTGTATTGCACATTACCGTTGTGCAACAAGCATGAAAACCTATCAAACCCATTGATAAAAATGTTGATTTTCTTTGCTAAGTTCTATTGTAAAATTAACGGATTGGTTCTTAGCATGTATTCATACCAAATTACATTTAATTCCAATCATACTAACAAATAAAAACAACTATACAGTTGTTAACCAACAGACATTAAAAAGGCATAGAGACTCAAGTCAAAGATAAGGTCTCAGCTCATCAGTAGCAAGATTGTAGAGTATAATGTACTCGGAAAGCGAGAAACTCTGGTTTGGCAACCATATTACTGTTTTTCTTGACTTGATGTGCAACTTATTTTTTGCTTCTTAACATAATTTAATTATTAAATAGCTTTGTTGCAGAGCTGAGAAATTATTGGTTTTACGATGATTTATTTGTATTTTACTAAGTATAATGTATATACATTTTAAAGAAAAATATTTTCAAAATCCCTAATTTTAAAATTTAATAAAATGGTAAATAAATATAAATTATTATAATCTAGTAAGTATGGATCTTTAATTTCTTATGCTCATGACAATTTATCAATTAATTTTATTTTAAAATCCTAACACTATAAATTACTACACAAGTCACTATAAATAACAGAAAACACAGTTACTTAAGTATATAATTAATTTTATATTGTTTGAATATCAACAATCAACATATTATAAAATACTATAATATACATTTATAATTCATTGTTTGAAGTAAAGAACAAATGCTTACATAAATTATATTTCTTAAAAAAATAATTATAAATGTAAGCAACTAACTACAAAATATTTTAGTAATATAAAATCACATATTTTGGGTACACATAAAATTAAATGATAGTGTTTCTGTATCATATTACTTATAGTGGTATAAACTATAAACGTATATATAAAATTATTCATTTAATAAAAAATGGACATGCAAATTACATTAAGGATAGATGACATAATGTACCATAACATAATATCTCCCAAGAAAAATGATATAATAATAATTATTACACAATCGTACATGTTTTCCTTTTTAAAATGTACTTAACTTGAGTGTGTAATATATATATATATATATCCCAAAGAATTGTTTGCACCTGCTTTGGTTATAAATAATACATTTCAAACAATAAATTGATTGTAGACATTGATAATAGTTAATCGATCTCTAATAAGATACAAGGCTGTCAAGTGCTTTGTCAGGATCATTATTGCATTTGACAAGTGCACTGCATATATTTTCTTCACGAAACCCAAAGTCAATGAGTCTATCGACATTTTTTAGAAACGCCACAGCGTCATCTTTATTGAAATTATTAACAACTAGTGCTTGTTCTACTCTGTCAGCTGGATAACCACTAGACTCTTCAATGGAATGTATCTGAATAAGAAACTCTATAACCTAAAATAAAAACAAATTGCTCATATAAATATCATCCACAATACAATGTTAATATAAGTCATGTGCGGATGAATATCAGAAAATAGAGCATACAGCCCTAATATTATAAGAAGTTAGCTTAATCCAAAACATTTTGACCTGACCCAGATGTATTTTTAGTACAAAACGGCTTAATACAATAAAGTACTGGCTGTAGAGTCGCCTTTGAAGCTATTACATACTCTGAACATAACATCTGCTTCTACCTTAGATAACACAGATAAAAATATTATTTTTTCCATTACAGTTTTTACTTTTAATATAATCAATCAGTGGCGTATAATTTGGTAGGGATATTTTTCATACTTATATTGTTGATTTGATAATATAATATTATAATTTATTAGAATATAAATTTATTTACGGAGATTAGTGAACAATAAAATTTATCTTATTATAAGTAACCACACATTTCAAGTTTTTAATTATTTTTTAAACCTAAATAATATTTATTTAAAAAGAAGTCATGATAATAACAATTAAAACATCAAATTATACAAATGAACAGACCTAATGATTGTAAATATTCTATAAAAAAAAAGTGTTGCGTTAAGAAATGTAGAAAAATTTACATATTAATGTACAATGCACTTGCCTTGGATTCATCCTTTCCAAATAATTTGCATGCTCTCGCTGCACGTGATGATGGAAAGCCCATTTGATTAATTTGATCTACCATAGATTTACTTGATGGTGAAAGAGACCTATATGGATTAGGAAACGTAGATGACTTTTCTGAACCATTCAATGGGGAATTTAGTGACTTTGGCAAATCATTCTATTAAAAAAAAAAAATATATATATATACAATAGTTATTAATTGCTATAGAAATGTTTATTAACATTATTAAAATAGTACTGACTGTTGATTCCTTATTATATTTTATAGAGTCCAAATCAGCCTTGAGTTCTAACAATACGTTTGGCATAGTAACAGGAGGTACAAATGTTGTTTCCTTATCACATATATTTGAATTAGGAATTCGAGTTAATGATTGTTTTGTTTGTGAACTAGATGTGCTATGTGTATATTGATAGCTCCGATAATTTTCTAAACAATTATTATAAATGGGTGTTGAGTAGTACTGCGAAGCGTTTTCATCTGGTAATTGAGAACTATTGGTCTTATTGACAAAAGTAGTTGGAATAGGTTTTAAGACAGTAGCTAATTCTTCTAAGTCGTTAATAGTTTTCAATTCCATATTATCAAATGGACTGGATGTATCAGATTCAAAATCTGATATGTTAAAATTTTTTAAAAGTATTGTGTCATGTGAAGACATTTTTGAGTTTAGTTGAGCAGGAATTGGTTGCAAGACTTCTGTGTTTTTAGTTTGTTCTGGATCTAATAGTGATAATCTATCCATATCAAAGGAATCTAATTTTTTAAACTCTTCAGCTTTGGCATGGCGCTTTGTTTGAGCATCTTCTCGCAATTTACTCCATATTGACATTTTTTCTAATATGGTTTTTTCTAATACAAAATCGTACTGGAACCACATAATTGTAAAAATAAATTATTCTACTATACATAAACAACAATAATTAAAATTATTTAACTCACGTTGCATTTCACAGCATTAGATACTGGTTTGTGTTGAAGCACGCTAGGTAGTGCTATCTTTTTTGGCGGTTTGTATTTTTTAATAATCTTGACCGGAATGCCATCCATATAAGAAAAACCTATTATACAAATTTTTAAAATGCATCAATTTTGTTTTGAGTAATACAAAATGGTATTTATAATATTATATAATACAGAGGACTCTCGGTAATCCAGTAATCCGGCACTATTATTTTTGTAATGCTGTTTTTTTTTTTTAAGAAAAATTACAAACTTTAAGAAAAAGTGCTATTAATGTAATTTTGTGAGCAAAGACAACAAAAATTAAATTTTGTTTTTCTAATAAACTTCCACTAATCTGGCGCTTTTGTTAATCCACCTGGTTAGGAGTACCCTGGTCTGAGACCTGCTGGATTATCGAGAGTCCACTGTAGTATTATAAAAAATTTGACGTGAATCATACAAACCATTTTTGTCGCTTTCTTGTCCTTCACTTCCACCATAGGACATGTTAGGCTCAATGCACATAAAATATAAACAGTTTTTGGTACTTCATCAAATTAACAGTAAAACTGGTCGGCAGTCCACCCAAAGACTTTGACTATATTAAAAAATATATATATATATATTATATATTAAATTTATAGAAAATGGTTTTGGACATCAATTTTTGTCATACACTCATTGTTAGAGTTTATTATTAGTGTTACTCAAAATAAAACAATCTTAACTCTAACAGTTATAGGATTCATGAACAAATTCAAATAAATTAAATTAACATAATACATTAAGAATGACAAGGCTAAATTATATTAATGATAATTATAATGTATATATAATGATATAATGATTAATGTATAATATAGTATTGACTATATTATACATTCATTGATCTTAATTGTTGGACATTTATATTTAGGCAAATAAATTGTCTTATATAATTGACTATATTAGTTGACTGTATAATTTGAATAACACTAAAATTACAGCTAACATAACAATATTACCATGAAAAGAAAGATTTTTTGGCTAAAATATTAATATACAATTATTATTAGAAAGAGTTTCGGATATATCCACATCACTAGTTATATGGCGACGTTTAGTGACGTGGATATATCCATAACTCTTTCAAATGATATATCAATCCACGAAAACTTTAACGCATTCATGTACAATTATTTTAATGTAAAATAAAATAACTTTTTTGTATAAATACATTATTAGTGTTATCGTAGGAAAATATGTTCGTTCAAAATTATTATTTATTTCAAATACCTAATCTATGTTCTGTCAAATTTATTTTTCTTTGTGAAACCCATGACTAACGATAAACACACTAACTGAACAATGGAACTATCATAGTAAAGTGTCTTACAAATAAAGCCTAATATGCTACATAGTGCCTATTGTTAATCGGTTTATAATATAGTACCCAGCCCACAACATGTATTATTTATTTAAAATACAGTAGTTTATTTCATGACATATGATACAATTATATGATCGAAATTGTTTATTATTGGGAAAAAAATGTTAAAGTTATTTTACTGATTGTTTAAAGATAACTTACAATCATAACATCGTTCTGCGAATTAACTAATTTTTGTTTCTTTGTATAATAATAATCTTAAACCAAAAAATAGTTGTTATGAAAAAAAAAATCTAAGCAATTTAAAACAATATATTTGCACTTATTCTGTTAAACATTTTAATTTTTACTATATTTGTATTTTTTGATATTAGTTATTGCTAACACCTTAAGGTTTACACCATAATGTAAGAAAAAGGATTGATAACATTATTGCCTTATCAATATCAGGTTAGAACCTGACCTTTACCATAAAATACAACAATATTTTTTGTACTGGCTAAAAACAATGTAATAATAACATAATTTGTTTGTCGCATAGCAACGATAAGTCAAAATCGGCTGGACAAAAATCAACAATAGTTTACTCATTTTACTCTTTCGTCTACTAGAAGTGCCCTAAAAACCAACAATTTTTTTTTATATTCAATTTTCATAAAACGTATTAATTAATTTGTTTTATATTTATATACATATATAACTTATTGAGTCTTCCAGGCGTTAATTCAATAAAATAAAAATAAATAACTAATTCAGCAAACTAAGTGCCAAAAATAAAAACAAAAAGATTTTTTAAATGTATTTTATATTATCATAAAATGTATTTAACTTGTTATATTTTTTTATGTATAAAAATAAGGTTTTAAAAGTACCAAAAATAACTATCATTTTTTAATTTATATAATTTTATCATAACATTTTTTAACTTGTTATTTTTATAATTATTAATCAAAAGTTTTTTTATTTCAAAATATTAATACATAGTACTTGACTGTTTCTGTATATAATATGGATATGTATATTATGTAAAAAAAATGTTAAAATAGCAATATATGAACATATACTATTAATTAAACAATCATTTAATCTGATTACATTGTTTTATTTCTGGCCGGGTGACCGGGTGAATTCACCTGAAAGTAATTTTAACAAAGTTCACTGCATTACTTAAGCTCTATATTCACTAATTCAGTTGTTCTAAGGCTAATACACTATTGACGATGTAACTACAGTAATGACCACGAATCAGAACAAAAGAACTCGGATATCTCTACAGTATTAAATTGGGCTATCCTATGTAGTCGAAATGTCTGGCTTTTTTGTCCAAAACAGTTTTTTGTAATCCAAGACTACTTTTACTCATAGAAACAATTATCTTAATTGAGCTGTACACTTCGCTCACACGTTGCAGAATTGACTGGTAAAGCAAAATCCTTCTTGTAGAATTTTATACGTGTGTCGTTCAATTGTAAAAGTGAATTATCTCTTTGCAATTGATTTTGCAATAATGTTTTATGTAAATTATTATGTAGGAAAAAGCATACAAGTATTCATTCAGTGTTTTCTATTTTTAATTTATTTTTTGGAGTTGCTTCTCTTTTATAATGAAAGATATGACTAAATGTGACTCCATTAAGGTGTTCTACTTCAGACGAACAACTCCTAAAAATACTCACATTTAAGTTTTGAACAAATATTTGAACTCTTTAAAACATTTTTAAGGCATCGATTGTGGCATAACATTAAAATTATATTTTGTTAATTAATTAATTGCAGTTTTTTACACTAAAATAATAACTAAAAATAATTTTAAAATTGTGCCACTATCGATGCCTTGAAAATGAATAATTAAATTTTTTTTTCAAAACTTAAATAGGAGTAAGGACTTAGTAGGACTTAGTAGTAAGGACTTTCGAACAGGACTTAGGTAAGTCCTGTTCGAAGAAGAAACATAATATGTTTTTGTTCAAAAATAAATCCTGTTATAAAAGTTGAAAAAAAATATATCAAAACAAATACTTCTTTTCTATGGTAGTATGAAATTTAAAAATATTAAGTTTTAGTAAAAAAATTGCCTATACAATGCGCCTTAATAAATACTAATGTAGAGGCCCCATAAGAATATTGCATGCGGTCTACTTTTAAGAAGTTTTGTGTAGGCAATATTTAAAAAAAAAATAAGTTTTAATACATTTTGACCATGACAATATTTTACCGGTTAATTTGTATAACCTTCAAGATACTATTTTTAACTTATATAATGGTTTTCTATGATTAAACGCCATTTTGGTTTAACTTAGACCAAAACACCAGACAACATTTCGATAACAGGATGGTCCAATTTCAATTCTATAAAGAGATTCGAGTTCTTTGACCACTTTACTATGTTATGTAGGAAGTTGATTTTTATTTAAAGATTACTTACACTTGACCCTTGTAATTACCTAAATAAATTTGCAATTTTTTCAATATTAAAACCCAATTTTTGTACAAAAAAATTAAAAATATGTTTCCTATATAACCTAGAAAAATTGTCAAAAAACTCGTATATTTTTACAGAATTAAAATAGCACCATCCTAAGTAGTTGAAATTTTGTTTTGCATTTCGGTCTAAAACGTTAAAAACAGACCGCATGCAATCCTCTTGAGCAAAAATATGTATAGTTTTAAATTTCAGAGTTACACCACTTTTACAACATTAAACGACCCATATATTGGGAATTATTTCTTTTTTTATGGTATATTTTAAATTGTCAATAGTCAAATCATTGGTGCTTTTATTTAAGCGATATTTATTTCTGCTTTAATACGTTGTTTACTAAAACATAAAGTCCTAAAATACAGAATATAAAACCATTGATACCGTATCTAACTCATTCTCTTCATTCTAAATGTGTTTTGCTAAATTTACATTTATTTAAAAAACTCGCTATTCAGAATAGATCTTATTCAATTAATTAAAAGACTCATAAAGTTGCGCATATTATTATAACTATTTTCTATTTTTTCGTACTACTCATATCTTATTTTTCGTTTGGTCATAAAAGAAATGTCCCCAATTAAATAGGCATTGGAACAATGTAGTCATATACTGTAATATAAATAAATATTTGTGTCATAACTTGGAAATATTACATTTTTTCATAAAATAATTTTAATGTATCATGGAACGTCCTTATTACTCAATAATAAATATAAATGATGATAATCAATAAATACAGAGTATATTAGTGGTACCAGATTCCAATACTAATGCCAATTTATATAAATAATAAGAGTTACAATTGTAACTCTTATACTTTATATTTATATTTATTAAAATTTATTCATTCATTAAATAGTAATTAAGTATTGAAATCATCCCGTTTCACTGCCGGACCCTGTATTATAAATAATTGAAATATGCTTTATGACTTTTTTTACTAAATATTTGTTTTTATTAGACATAGGTACCTACAAAAAACAAACAAACATTTTAATGGTATTTCTAACTTAAACTATGTCTGAAACACTGTACAAAGTTTGAATTTATTCCATTATGGAGTACATAAATTAAATACAATAAGCTTCAAAATGTTAAGTTCTAAAACAGTATTAATTGTATTATAGTAAATAAGTAAAATTGTATAATGAAAAGGAATATCATAACACAGAATTAAATAAAAAGGATTCTATGATACATAACAATAATAAATAAAATTTTAAATGTAACTTACCTATACGGTAAAAAGCAATCCAATTTAACCTTTTTAATGTCATTTTAATAAAGTTTAATACATGAATAATTTTAATAGGGGTTAAACTGGCTTACAATGCTATGTAAAAAATGTATATTTATGTAAATATATACATAAAACATATAATTTGATATTACAATAAATATTGCATGATAAATCGCTGACAAATTTATTAATGTAAAATATAATATAAATATTAATGATGAACAAGAAGAAATTTTTAATATATATTTTATTAAAATTATATTTGATGTTCATTATTTTCATCAGTAGTCGTATTTAGCTAGATACATTTTTGAAAATTAAAAGAATGACTAGGAATTATTTGCATTGTTCACAGCTGGTAAATTTTGATCATGATCAGTTTCCATAGGTTCGGCGTTAGTAGATGTAGCAGTTAACCGAGGGTCATGAGGATTTCTTGCAGTTATAGATGAATATGTGGCCATTGCTGGAGTTTGGGTAGATGAAGAAGAAGGCAGTTGTAATCTGATAAGTGATGTGGGCCAATCTGAGGATGTAGAAGCCAAGTCAAAATCGTTTATTCCCCATACTGGATCGTTGTTTCGCTGTCCTCGAGCTCTGACCAATTAAAAAAAATTAATTAAAATATAGAATGAATAATTGTAATTGTTCTCTGTTAAATGTGACCCATATTTTTTATAACTTGAGTAACAAATATTATCAAATATTGAACCTTACACAAACATACTTTATAATTTCTAAAGGTGGATCTACATTTTTTGATACTTTGTTACATGCCGCACAGCTTTTATTTTAATCACACCACTCATCTACCCAATCAAGAAAAAAAGCCGAGCGGTCAGACCACCTGGTGGATCTGCATATTCTAATATCTAATGCCAGGGTAGAAACAGTGATTAGGTAAGTTGATTGGAGGGTAATACCTTTCCTAAATTTAAATATACACACTCTGTTCCCCTCTTGGTAAACATAAAAAACGATCCTAAAATAAATTGACACTGTAAATTAAATCTATCAATTTACAAGTTATTTTTAGAAACTGATATTTAACTTTTTTAAATGTAATTAAATTTAATATAATTAATTTAATTTATTTATAATTTATTATATAATATATCAGTGTCTAGAATTTATTCCTATTTGACTCTTTTATTCATTATTGTTGCAGAATAAATACTTTTTAGAAAAAATACCTTTAGCTTGTTAAAACAATACAAATAAAATTAATTCATTCCTTGTTATTTGGCTTGGAGCAAGTACTACAGATAGTCAAATAAACATACATTTTTGAACTAATTTCAAACCTCTGTTGTTAAAAATGATTTCAACAAAATATGTTTAATTACATATTTTTTTTAAATTTAAAAGAATTACAATAATCAAAAAATAAAATAATAATAATATTTAAGTTAACAACCATTATAGTAGTTAAAACCTCATCAGATAAATAACTTGAAAAAAAAAACTAAAAATAATGAAATATTTGTAAAAAAAAAAAAAAATGTATTTTCTTCGGTACACTAAATCTAAAAAAACATTGGTGGATATAGTCATCCTACATTATTGTTTTCAAGATTTTAATTTTATTTAAAAGTAACATACCTGATAAGTGCTGCTAAATTTGGACCAACGCCCAAACTAATTCCATTTAATGGATCGGAGTTTATGGAACCTAAACCATCATCTGCTAAATATTTTCGACAAATTGGGCATGTCCCATGCTAGAAAACAAAAATAGTAACAGTAAAAAAAAAATTTATATTATATACAATAAAACAAAATAAAGTTTAAATTAAACTCAATTGTTGATAAATAAATGAAGTGTTTTTACCAATTCTAGCCATGGTGTTATACAGTCATTATGGTACATATGTTCACAAGCCAATTTTAATACTTTTTCTTCAATTTTAAAATCTTCCCAACAAACAGAACATTGAAGTTTGGAATCTTAAATATTTATAAAAAAGTGTGTTATACTAATGAATTTCTATAATATTTGTCCTGACAAATGCAAAATGTTCTAACCCAAATGGTCTTGGGAAATGAGAGCAGTTGGAATTTCTTGTATTTTTTCTTTAGTTAGAGGGGGTGGTCCAGCTCCATCTATTTGATTTAACAATTGAGAGACAATAGAGTCCAATCCATCTCTTCCCCACACATAATCTCCAGGATTACCAAGCAAAAATCGACTACTAAAATCATTTAAAAACAAAAAGCTATAAAATAGTATCAGACACAAGTAGATGATCATGTCTTACACTGGGCCCGTAGCCCCACGAGAGTTGGCATAATCAGCAAAATTAACTATAACATCTTCCACTAAATTTTCAATAGTACTTCCTGAGCTACGTCTAGGGCCTCTAAATTAAACATTCAGCAATAAGTTTTAAAGATCAAATATTATTTTTAATTAAATTTATAATAAATATCTATATATTTTTAAAGTATGTTATCAGATAATTTTGTTGAAAACTCTTTTGAGATTCATGAAAAAACTTAGTCTAGAAATATATTGCAATGCAACTTAAAAAAATTGACAAATTACCTTCCAGGAGTTAAAGTCATCATATGAGGTGCTCTGGTTGTAAATCTACGGCGTCGTATGTTCGATCTCCTTCTTCCTCCAACTTCACCATCACCTAACATACCGTTTACCTAAAAATACACAAGTTAGTTAAAATTAGGGTATTTTAAATAACATATATACATATTATATTATTTAAAAATATATATATAATAAAAAAACCCATTAAAATCATGTTGAAGTTCATGAATTCCTCAATCGTTCTCATGTTTTAGATTTTCACAATCATACAAACCAATAAACAAAATTTTATGAAAAACCAATGTTTTCCACCCTTTCTTATAGTGTTTTTTTCAGACTCCTCTAGCTCAAAAGTTATAACTACTTGAACTTTTCCGCATTTATAAAACAGTACGCGGCAGGCACAGGCGTGTAACGGTGGACATTAGCGCTTGGTCAGCTACATAAAAGCCGTAAGCCTATTTTTTTGTTATTTTGAAAGGTAGGTTACGTTAAGTTCGGTTTTGTTCAGCCGCTGGCTCTTCCAAAGCTGAGTATTAGGTTAGTCGAGTCCTTTAGGCATGCTATTTTTTTCTTCGGGGGGGGGGGGTTTGGGGACGTGACCTCCTATTATAACGAAGAGTCCTGAAAGGGATTAGAGTTAGCTCCTGAAGCAGCAGGCGTAGGGAGTCGTTTTATATAGTTTTAGGTTTAAGTATACAGTGCTAATTATAAAATGGCATTTTTTTGTGAATTTTCCCTGTTTTAACAAACTACTACATTGAGCATAGGTGTGTAAAATTATTATTGCCCTCTCCTTCGTAGTGTTTATTGTTTTTTTTGCTTCAACCGAGTTCAAATAATATTATGATTATGGTACTTTATTGATAACAAATTTGAAACAAACTGCTGTTTTTAATTTGCGTGGGGACAACAGCTGCATGGTGCCGCTCTTGCCGACCACTTACGGCCGCAGTGGACCCCCGCCGTCGCATCCACTAGCAACCATGGAAAAGTTCAAATTTCAAATAGCTGTAACTTTTGAACTAAAGGATTCCACAGATTTCTGACTCCGGATTCATAAACAGCGCAAGATGGCAATAAGACAAATTTGTTGTATAATTTGTTGAAAAAATGATATTGTTATCACTAACGAATATAATTGTAAATTATTGTCTTACAATTAGTAATCTACCTATTGAGGAAATGTAAAAAAAACAGTACAATTCAACTCACCATAAAATGTACATCAGCAAATTCCATATCTTCATCATCTGGTTCTTCTGGTCTAGTTTGTTCATCAACTTTTTCAATAAATCCCATATTACATGTTGGGCATTTAAAATCCTGAAATAAACCATAACTCTTAAACTGAGCACAAAAATTGTATTTACATTACAAGGTATGTCACATACATCAGTTACAGATCCTATTTCTGCATCACAGCTATGGCAAAAATAACGACTATCTGTTAAATTATCGTTGTTTCTTGATGTAGTATCCATAATTAATGGTCGGTTCTGAAATAAACAATGGTTGCCTTACTATGGCAAACCAATTCACTAATATAAAACAATGTAGAATAATACTGAAAGCAAACTTCCAATACGGATCACCTACAAAATGTACCTCTTCTTAGTAGTTATTACACTGTTAATTATTTATAATATAACTTTTTTACTTTTTATAATTTCCAAATTTCAACTCTGATAATATCTCACTTGAATTAGTATTTAACAGCAAATAGCACAACTCACAAGACGTATTAACATAATTTGAACTGATAAGAGTTCTTTTATTACAAGTTTTTACGTAACATAATAATCGATAGTTTTTTTTTTAAATCGATGTCTTAAAATTTTTCACCACATACCTATATTTACTATATATCTACTAAAAATGTATTTTATAATAAGTATTTAACATAATATTCAATAACACATTCCACACCACCGTCTATATTTTATCATTACACAATTTACAAAATGCCTAATGGTTGGATAGCTGTAGCTGGAACAGCAGCTGTTGGTGACAAGTTTGGAAGAGTTTCATGGAAGCAAAAATTAAGCATAGAGTATTTACTTTATGAAATTAAGCAAACGATTCTCGGTCTACACCAAGGCATAATTGATTAAATCATAGATTAATAAAATACTAGTATATTGTGAAATTTATGATTAAACCTATTTTGAACTTAATCCATAGACCTCTTGAATTATACCACAAGACGGAGAATAGAAATGGGAGGCAGATGGTTGGCGTGGTAACGACTGTCGACTATCGTCGTATATACATGTGTAAATATATGTATATATTAACGAACTCGAAATTCGAATGCGCAAGCGTCATTCAATGCGGCAGTATATGAACAGCGACCTCACGTCGTCCACTGGAACTACACAAAAATATATGCTCCATTCAGTAGTATAAGGTCTATGACTTAATCAACGACCAAGGTATAAAATCATGTTCGCTCGACTCTCATAAAGTTATGTATTACTGTATTATAGTATCATAATAAAGTAATGAAATTTACTTGATACTTTGTCATGTATAGTATTAAGTATATAACTTATTAACTGATTATGAGGCATGACACACAGCAGCAGCTGTTGTGTAATGTTGTCTAAATAATCGTGATATAGATGTACAATATCCATCCACAGATATCAATATTCAAATTTCAGTTGTAATATGAATTTGTGCGTAAATCTATAACTATTATAATATATGCACCTATATCAGTATTGCACATTTTGCATATTTTTTTCTTACTTAATATGAATTTGTTTGCAGGGTGCTTTATGTTTCCTATGGGAGCAACCTGCATTGTAAAACATAATTTTGAAAATTAAAAAATTGATATCACCTGTATTTATTTTATGATTGTGCCATACTGAACATTAATCATTGTGTCTACACAATAAAAGACTAAAGCAGTGACGTCATGTGTTGTACTGGCTGAGGCCTGAGATATGCATTTAGGGGTTTTTGTGTGTAGCCGATGTCAAATACTCAAAGCTCAATACTCTTGACCTTCGAGCATTTGTCAAGGGTCAACAGAATGCAAATAAGACAGTAGATCATACACATGCTTCTATAAAGAAGTAAATACAGTCTGTGCAGATCACACATACACTTATCCGAAATATTTTCCTGTCTGCGACTGGTAGACGTCGTTGTGCTAATCGAATTCATATATATATATATATATATAGTGTATATGAGTAAAATAAATAATTATTTTAGGCAATGATCGAAAATGAAAGCACAGTTGACAGTTAGGATGGAGCATTGAGTTGAGTAGGTACGCAGTTGTATAGAGTAAGTATAACGTTCAATTTGAAATGAATACTTAGTACTTGTCATTATAGTACTTGCCCCTCGCACTAATACCTCACGTGAAAACAGGTAAAAATAGTACCAAGTATTAGTCAAACCGGGAGTACGAATGAACAAAACTTCCGTTTTATTTACTACTTACAAGTAGCTACCCGGGGTAGCCTACCCCTAACTCCTTCCACAACCGACAAGTACTAAGCATCGTGTAAACCGGGAATCCTGGGCTTCTGCTAAAATCTATTCTGTGGTGAAATGCGAAAGCAGATAAAAAAATAAATGATAGGAGGCCTCCTCAATTATTGGCGTTCCAAGTTGAAAACTTACACTTACAAATTATAAGAATAAGAATTCGAGGCCATATTCATTTCTACTAAAAAGGTGGTCTTAATTGCCACCCTTTTAGCTTCCCCCTTCAGAACTGAGGCCTCAAATGTTTGCCTCTCCATTTATTTTTTATTTATGGGTAAAAATATGATATTTAGTTTTCATGGTCAGACCTATTAATAAAAGGTTGAGCGAAATATTGTAGATTTAGTATGAAAAATATACTGTACCTATAGTGTGTTTATAGCTGACAAAGATAATAGAAAAAAGTGAGTCGTTAAAATATGGTGGATATTATTATATTTTAATTTATGGTGGAAAAAAAGTAAGGGGGGTACAGCGACATTCGCAGCCAACAGCTGGAGCTTATCGCCTATGGGTTGAATGTTGACTAATGACGGTTATCCGTTATGTCTATAGACATATACGATTTATATAGTTGATTGAAAAAAAGTCATTGTTTTTCTCGTTATTACCTGCACTGTAGACGTAGTACGGAAATTCAAAAATTTGTTATTCAAATTTTAGTCAAAGCCATTCACAAATCATACATATTGCCTATTTAGAATTAAACTAGATTTGTCATTTTGCTGTTTGATACACGTCTTGACGAAGACACGGTCATAAAATGTTTTTAATATCAATTGGCATAATAACCATTATTGTCGTAATATTTATAATACAATTTAAATTTAAAACTAATAAATTATATGATAAAATGTTATATGGACATCACATTATGGTAAGAAATTTGGTGATTTAACATTAAATTGTTTGAATTTGTAATATTATTATACAATGTTTTATTATATAGATTATAATACCTTTATTATCATAGATAACAGGTGGATCAAGAGGTATTGGTAAATGTGTGGCTATGGAAGCAGCTAGACTTGGAGCAAATATAACTATTGTTGCTAGAGATGCCACTAGACTTAAGGCTGCTGCAAATGACATCAAATCTCAGTTTATAAAAAAAAACCAAAAATTGCATTATATATCCAGTAAGATATATATATATATATATATATATATATATATATATATATATATATATATATGTATATAGTGCACTGTGTAATGATTAAAAATAATAAAGATTTATATTATTCCATAATTTAGTTGACTTAGGTAGTGAATATAATAGTGTAAAAAATGCATTGGACTGTGCTATTCAAGAAATAGGACCATTGTATATGCTTGTAAACTGTGCGGGTATGGCAATTTGTGGCACATTAGAAGAAATGTCCATTAATGATATCTTGGTATTAAAATAAATTAACACATTTTATATTTATATATTAATCTTATTAGTTTGTCATAACAGAAGTTAATAAATGTGAATTTGATATCTACTATTCAAGCTACTAAAGCAGTAATTAGCGATATGAAAAAAACTGGCCATGGTACCATAGTAATAACTGCATCACAAGCAGCTATGTGTGGAATTTATGGACTAGGTGTGTACAGTGCTACTAAGTTTGCCTTAAGAGGGTTTGCTGAAGCTTTAAGCATGGAAGTAATTAAAAACTAAAATAAACTAATTTTAGTACATGAATACATGCAAAATATAATTTTAAGTCAAAATTTGTATTTTAACAGACTAAAGCTTATGGAATAAAAATAACATTAGCTTTACCATCAGACACAGATACGCCAGGTTTTGCAGAGGAAAACAAAAGTAAACCTTTAGAAACATTATTGATTTCGGAAAGTGGACATTTGTTTACTCCTGAACAAGTGGGCCATCAAATTTTCAAAGATGCTTTGGTAATTAAACTAATTAATTTGATAAATGAAAAAAATTCAATGGGTACCTAGGTACTATTTACCTTACTTAAATGTAAGCAGTGGTAATATTAAAAGTTTACAAGAAATATTATTTTTGAAGTAACTAAATAACTTTCAAGAAAAGATATTATTAATACTAATTTTTAAACTGTAGGTGATCAAAACTTATATGTCAGCTAAAATTACTAAAACAATACTGAAAATAAATATATTGGTATTAATAAATAAGTATAAAATTATAATTGTTTTAATATTATTATTTTTTTTACCTCAATAATAAATATTATTTACAAATATTTTATCTGCACAATTGTATGAGTATAGAACTCATGGGTAAGAACTGTATGTTGAAAAGTACAAAGTATACTAAAAACAAATTGTATGACACCAAAATTACAATTTATAAAAAATGACTTCTGATTTTCTACCTATACCTATACCCTTCATAGGGTATATGTTTTTAAAATAAGGGTTATTTATTTTACCATTTGTTTTAGGAAGGAAATTTTTTCAGTACTATTGGCTTTGAAGGTCATTTGCTAACCATCGGTTGTTCTGGAATGGCCCCTTGCACTTCATACTTCGAACTCGTTTGTCAGGTATACCTATTATTCTATTTTACATTTTTTATTTTCGAAATTATTATTATTAAATTTATTGCTACATTTAGGTTGTTTTTTCTGGTTTATTAAGACTGATAGTAATTTATTATCAAGCTAAATTCTATAAAATAATTAAAACTTGCAAGTTGGAAAGAGAAGAAAATTCTAGGAAAATAAGCTAAGTATATATCATCACTAAAAGTGATATAACTTTCCTAAAATAAGTGGTATTTATATATTATTAAGTAAAATGTTATATTGTAACACTATGATATATGTAACATTTACAAATTTAGAACAAATAACAACTGGTATGAATGGGTTATAATTTTACTAATTATACACATTAATCATTTAAAACTTATTAAACGGATATTTTATACTTATTATTATTTACATAGATAGTGCTTAGAAGTAAATATATCTTACACAAATTGTAAATGCCTTATTTTAATATTATTATAAAGAAATAGTTTGTGTACAATTGATAGACTACTTCACTTTGTATTTTCCTGATTATACCACCTTCTTTCCAGTATTACATTCCTCTATAAGACATCATGTTATAAAATAAAATAGCGAAGATGTATTTTGTGAATAAACACAAATAATCAAAATACATTGTTGCACTACTAACGTTCACTCATCGGCAACCCCAACGAATTGGTGTTGGAATTATCTATGCAAACCCACCTAGAAGGTTAAAATGAACGAGGTGTAAAAATGTACGCAGCTAAAAAATAAAAAATGTACCTAATTGAGAGATCTACTTCTCATGTAATTCGTGTTGTAAATAGTTTAAAAATATATTGATTGTTTCAAAAAAAAAAAAAAAAATGTATTTTGAAGAGGAAGAAGAGTTGGACGAGCATAACTAAGTAATTCTCGTTTCGAAATTGGTATCTTCAAAATTATTTGCTTCCAATCTATTAAATTATATGGAGTAATTGGAAAAGTAGAAGTCAAAACCTTAACCATAGTTTTGCTATTTGTAACTGAAATTCAAAATTTATTAAAAAATGTTAAGTTACAAGCTTTTTCATTTAGAAAATTTAAACAATAAATGACAATTTTTATACTTTTAAATTCCAATGTTTTATTGCAAAGTTCTATTATTGATAAACAACATATTATAGCATACATATGCAATTTGATTAGATATAGCACTAGTATTAAATTCAGTTCACAAAAATTACCTTTAAAATTAAACATAACGGCATAAGAATATGTATGGGCTATAAATAAAAGTAAATCGTGTTTCTGAAAATTTGAATCTCTTCTATTATTTGACAGCAACTTTGCTATGATGAAAATGTAAGATCTGGAGCTATAGCTATTTCGTACTATTACTCATTTTCTGAGGATACTTTTATGTCTTAATTATTCCTAAGCATACTAAAAAAGAAAAAGTATTTATTAGGTATATAATAAGCAGTTTTAAATTATGTCATTCATTCTACCAATGAAATAAAAACTATAAATATAAATAACTAATTACAGAAATGAATGAATAAATATAAGTAAATAAGTATACCTACCTGTATGTACAGATTATTTTTCTATACATTTTTTCGTTTTATTAGTTTAAACGGGCTGAACTAGTGTACACTTGAGAAGTAGAGGAATAGATGAAAAGTATTTTTACCATCACTCATTTTAAATGATAACTGGAGACATGTAAATGATTTTATTATTTTGACCATACCATGTTTAAAAAAAGTAATCTTTTTTTTTTAAAGTTGAATAATATAATGGTTTCTTCTGTCTTGTTATGTTGTCTTTAAATTATTAATTTTAGTTATCTAAAATCGCTTTGCTGGAACTATGTTTTCAACTTCCATGTACTACTACACAAAATAAAATACAAATATTGAATAAGTGATATAAAATAAACCTAATCATAATCACAAATATAATAATTAACATCATACCTTACAAGGTAATTGATCAATAGAGTTCATTTAAAAATAAAATATTTCTTCCTAAATTGTCACCACTTTGTACACCTTTAATTCCAAGTTAGATAGAATAGCTATTTTTAATCAATGTTCTGCGGAAAACAAAGAATCTCATTATTGTATTGATACTGAAATTGAATCCTTATAATTGATCATTATAAAAAACTTTAAAAAATAAAGTTTTAACTAATTAAACAAAAAAGAAACCTTACAAATATTTTTAAATAAATAGATTTCTACTAAAACTATGTACTATAAATAAGTTTATAAATTGCAATAAAAGGAAAACTATCAAGTTTTCCTTTAAATATTTCAATGAAACTTGATTCTTTAAAAGACTTAAACAATTTTTTATTTATACATTCAAATTTACATTTTTTTAAAGTAAATAGTTAATAATATATTTCATATAAATAGTAATGATATCATTTAATAGAAAACCAAATAGTAATACAGAAATAACTTGTCTAAAATTTATTACTGGAACATTTAAAGAATAATAGTTCCTTTTCATATTACTCATTAAAAAAAAAAATGTTCTGTTGTAATAGTTTGTTAAACTTTTAAAATTCTTATCATGTTTAATAAAAGTACATAAAATTATGTAAATTATGTTAAAAACTTAATAATATTGAGCAGCCATATCTTCAGCATCGATACCAAGCATAGCAAGCTCATCGCCTTCAGATTCATTGCCATTAGACCTTTCTATATTATCTCCTTTTTTAAACCTTAAATTTATTTGTCCATCAGATTTATCATCATCATCTTCATCGTCTTTTCCCATATTCTTTTTCATGTGTCTTCGTTTACGTTGAGAAGGTGCATTTTTCTTTTTCTTTCTCTCAGGAGAATAGTTTAAACTTTTATTTATTTCTTGAGGGATGTTTACATTTTGTTGAAGTATCAAAGAGTTATTAATTTGAGAGTTAATCGGAACACTTGTGCAAGGTACAAGTGAAGGCTCGTTACATGGAAAAATTAAATTTAATGCAGTATTTAAATCTTGAGGCAATGTTGTTTGTTGGATATTACATAATTGATGAATTGGATTTCTAGACTGATCGAGATTTATTTGTGGTAGAATGGAGTTAGTATCCGTACTTAGTATCATTTCAACGTTTTCATTTTCATCATCAAGATCCATATCAACAGGTAAAACTTGTTTTTCATTCTGAAATAACATAATTGTACACTAATAATAATGACCTTTTATTAAAAATATTAAAAAAAAAAAAATTAAATACTTAATACTTGAGTATCTGGAAAAACTCTAATATTGTTTAAAAAAATATATCTTCATTAATCTTTAAACACATTACTTTAATCAATCCAAAAAAATTGTTAATAATATTTTACTAAACTTGGAATTTTTCTCTAATCAATATTTAAATTAGAAATCATTAAAAAAAAAATTATGAGCTTGATTTATTTGGTAATAATACTGGTAAAATACTATTAATTTAATTTCCAAATAACATGTTCAGTATTTATAACACAATTATTATTATGACGAGTTCTAGTATTATAAACTACTTGTTTATAAGACATAAAACACAATATTAATTAACAAAATACTATGAAAATTACAACATGCAAGTATTGAAATTTACCTTTTTTTCGTTTGCAGCAAAAATCATTTGTTCTATTATAAGTTTTTGGACTGCTTTAGAAGCTACTGATTTCTCTTTTGATTCTTCATTTTTAGTTTCTACAGTAAAATTTGGTACATCTTTGGATAGTGAATTCGATGATTTTTTAGGAATAGGCTTTGCAAATGGCATTTTACCAATAAAAGGTAATTTTATTTTGCTACGATTATTTATCATACAATTATCTTCTTTTTTTTCATCATACACAGGTTTAGTTTCTTCAAATTTTTTTTTTTTTGTGTAATAGCTCTCCGATACGTTGGACTTGTGATCTTCAATTTCATCTGTTTTGTGCTTACCTAATTTTACTTTAGCTTTTTGCACAGATTCTTTTAATGTTATCATACTCTTATCTACCGGCAAATTAATAGGCTTCATCCAATCTGATAATGAAAGATTATTAGCATCAGTGCTTTCACTAACTGGACTTAGTTGATTTTTAATCTCAGTGTTCCTTCTACTAGATTCTTTTTTATATTTTTCTCTATCTCTTTCTTTTTCCCTTTCCCTTTCTTTATCTCTGTCTCTATCCCTATCTTTCTCTCGTATCCGGTCTCTTTCTTTTTTAAGATCCCTCTCAAAAAAAGACTTCTCAGGTTTAGGTTCAATAACTAAAGGTTCTTTAGGCTTTTCTTCTTTTACTGTTTCTGACTTGGGTTTATTTGTTTGTAAAATTGACTTCTCAAATGCACGAGTTCTTTTTGTTAGCCAATCAATTTCCCAATTAGGTTCTTTGGCTATAAGTGCCTGAAAATAAAGAAGTATTGTAAGTGAATGAATTATAACTAATTAAGAATTAAATTGTACAATGAGTTAAGCAATCAGTTAATAAAGCATTAAATATCCATGCTTGATAATAATTATATGTATAATACAAAAACATATTACCGCATATAAATCATTATGACTTTTTGATTTAAAGTGCGCAGAAGCACAATGAAGATCGCCAATCCATACATCACAAAGTTTGCAATACCAAGCATTTGTTCCAATAAAAAATTCCAAACCTAAAAAAAAAACCTTGTAGATAATTTTTCTTTATACATAAAATAATTTTTTCAAATATCCTTACATATCCATGGTTTAAAAACTTATATTTACTTAACAACTCAACTGTCCAATTTGGTTGTCTCCTAACCCGACATACCTTTCTTCCATCCATAGATATATTTAGCTATTGTTAAACAATTTCCCTTTCTGCCATCTTTACACAAATTAATCAATTTGTAACCTCTCTTATATTCTTTTGAACTTAGTTTTCTCTTAGTAGCATAAGCACAAATATTTTCAATTTTTAAATAGTACAACATTTACCTCACTGTAGCCTCTATACTTTCCACTGATAATAAAAAATATAATTAAATTTGGTTCATAGTATATACGCGAAGCTAATTTCTATACATAAATTTAATTACACAATATAATTTATGTAACAATATTTTATGTTTTCATATTATCTGTCATTTTTATTTATGCTCAAACATTAAATATACAACTATCCCCAATGTATAGTTGTAAAAAATAATGTACATTCTATATCATTTTTTTTGTTTTAATTATCTTAATAGTGAATGCATATACTAAATGCCAAAATAACTTGTGTTACACAGATTTTGATAGTAAAAAAAATTATTAAAAAAAAATATTGTTGAAGTCGGTTCTTGTAACACTTTCATGATCACTTACATTTTAATGGACAGAAATAACAATGCCTATCTAACTTTTATATCAATGTGGAATAAATAAATTATAATAAAATTTTCTTTTTATTATTCTAAATTGAAAAAACAACAAATGGTTAACGATAAAACAAAAACAGATTTAAAATTAAAAAAAATAAAAATAAATATATATATATTATATAGAATTAAATAACTTACCTTTAATAGGTACACGTTTAGTAGGTAAATCAGGGTTTTTTTCTGGTTGTGAGGGTTCTAATTGAGTATTATGCCAAGGTAATTCTACAATATTTAGTTCCTAGACATAATATAACATATTAAATGAGTAAATTCTAAAATATTGTATTTATAATCAACCAATATTTTGTTGTTTTATTAACAGTATTAATACTTTACAAACCTCGAGAGTTGTTCTATGCGAATCACTATGTAAATGTGTTAAATATTCTTTAGCAGTTTTTGGGAAAATATTGCATGGTTGACACCAATGAATACAAGAATCACAATAAACATAATTGAACTGTGGTTGCTTTTCAGTAGCACGAATTTTGGTTTTTTTATTACACTCAGATTTCTCTTTAGATTTTCGTGATTTTTTATTACTTAAATCCTCTTCATCTGATGAAAGTGATTTAGATACTTTTTTTGATGATTTTTTATGTTTTTTTCTAGGCTCTGATGATGGTGATGAAGAAATACTTTGGCGTTGATGTTTTTGCAGAGACGATACTTCTACATGTGATACTGGCTCCTCTTTAGTTTTATTAAAATCTGACTCTTTCGGTACCTTCATTTAATGTACAGCATAATAGAAATTAATGTGAAGTAAAGTTTTAAAGAAATTAATATACCTGTTTTTTAGATTCCACTTTTTTTACATCATTAATAGAATCTTTGGGAATCATTGTATTAAGTACTTCAAGTATATTATTAACACCTCTGATTTTTCCATTCAAATCATCCTAAAATATAAGTTAAAATTTATATGTATACATACATTTATTTATTTCACATGCTCTTAAATTAGTATAGAAAATTATAAAATGATAATTTATACAATTTAACAAGAAATACCTGTTCTTTTCTATTTTTTTTTAGTTCAGCATTATGTCGACCATCAGAATTATCTAATTTAAATTTGTCATATTGTATTTGCAATAATTCCAATTCTTTTTTTAAACTCAGTAGTTTTGTAGTATATGTTTCTCGTTGCATTTCAAATAAACTATCTTGAGATATTTTTTGCTGTACTTCTGGAACTTAAGTTTTATGACTTTTTTATCATATGACTAATACATTCAACTCATAAAAATTAAAACATATTAATTTCTTTGAATAGGCCTACTTAAAAGTTCTAGAACTCAATTTTTCTCTTTAGCTGTTTTTAAAAAGTTAAATAATTTGAAATATTTTTTACAATAGTATATTATTAATATAATATTAATAATATACTATTCGACATTTAAGTTTATATTATTATAATAATTAAGTTAAACTTTGAATTAAGTTATTATAAAATATTTTTACCTGGAGTAATAGGTGTGATATTTGGAGGAGGCTTTGTAGTATCAACCTGTTTTAAGTCAATATTGTATAATAGTCCTTGGTTTGTTGATTGGTAACCCTAAAATTGTGAATTTAATATAAATATAAAAATTAATGAATTATGCTTAACAGTACAATAATTTATATATACTAATTTGTACCACAACTTGCTCAAGATTAGAGCGAGGAGGAATAAAAGAAACAGGGGGCTTTTGTTCAAACTGTTGAAATTGTTGATACTGTGATCCATATTGTTGAAAACCAGATTGATGATACCATTGTGGATTTTGAGCCTGAAATAATAGACTTTTCTAACCTCCAATAATAATTAAATTTACATTTTATATGTATTTAATTTTTTTCAGAAACCTATATTAAACGGTTTTTTTACTTACTGACACTGGTTGCTGTGGTTGATAACCAGTATACTGTGTAGCCTGCGGTTGGGTACAATTTTCTGGAGTTATGTATGAGGAAGATGTATTATGCACTCCAGACCAATGTGGATTATACCCAGATAAGTTTTCAGATGATATTGAAGGAGGAGGAGGTTCCGATACATTTCCTGGTAGTTTAGAAACAGGTGCTTGTGAGTAGCTACTTCCCGATTTACCCGATTTTTCTAAATTTGGTGGTGGTGTATCACTTTTATCTGAATTTGTTATTGACATAGATCTAGACTGTTTTGAGGATTTTTCTTTTTCAGAATCAGATGAGCTTAGGTCTTGTACATATAAAGTTGAAAAGTTTTGGTTTTTTGTGTTTTTAGAGTATGAATCTTTACGTTTATCTTTAGGTGAAGATTTTAACCAATAATCATCACTTTCTTTTGAGACCAATTCTTTCCTACCAGGAGTTTTTGGTGCTTTTGGAATGGGTTCTTCACGAATTGGTGAATCATCCCAACTATTTGAATATTGATTTTTTGTCTGAGATTTTTCCCAGTAATCATCTTTATCTTTTTGACTGGATTGCTCTGATCGACTTGGAGTTTTAGGAGCTCTGGAAGAAAAACTGGATCGACATGGTGTTTTTGGTTCTTTAGCAATAAATGCATTTTTTTTTTCATTTTCAATCCAGTACTCGTCGTTATCTTTACCAGAATATTCACTTCGTCCTGGTGTTTTAGGGTTTTTACAAGCTTCTAATTTCTCTACAAAGTCATCGGAGTCATCACTAGATGTACTTTTAATAACTTTACTTTTTTCTAATGGCTTTTCACGTTCAACTGATGTTCTAGGATTTCTGGATGGAGATCGTCTTCTTGATGGAGACCGTCTTCTTGATGGTGATCTGTGTTTAGAATGAGATCGACGCCTAGATCTACTTGATGAATCTGAGCGTGAACAATATCGATTAGGTGTACGTGAACGGTATCTACTTGGCGAACGATGTCTTTCAGGAGAACGTGAATATCGCCTAGAATTTCTAGGCGATGTATTGTATGGTCTAACACGATACTGGCTTTGAGGTGAAAAAGGTTTACCACGGTTATTTCTTTCCCAATAATTATTTTGATATGGGCGTCTCTGACCTCTAAAAGGATGACCAGAAGGGCGCCTATAATACTTAGAATTGTTATAATGGTCTTTTTTAATGGAAGGCGAATCTTTTTCACTGCTGTCGTCATCATCCCATTTACTTCTTCTCATAGGAGAAGTATTATCTCCTTCAGTTGTATGGGGTCTGCTAGACGGAGAGTTCCAAGATTTATCTTCATATGTATCTTTGTTTTCATCATAGGGAGATGATTCATATCTGTCCCTTGAATCAGGCCTGTTGCTCATTGAACCCCTAATTCCTTTTCTGCCAGGTGTTCTACCACGATAATAACCTCTTATAAATGGTCTGCCACCTCTAGATCTTCTTGCTCCTCGTCCACCTCTATCCATGATAAATTATTCCTTAACCACCTAAAATATAATACATTTTTTTAATAGTTAATATTAAATGAAATAACATTTAAATTTGGATATAAGAAAATATGTTAAGTAATAAATATTAATGGTATGTGTTTTAAATTTTTGAAATAGCTGAAACATCCCTAAATTGCACTGAAGACAGTAGTCTTAAAAAAGTATGCATGAATCTATTAAATAATTATATCTCAATATTATGTCATTTGTCCAGTTCATATTATATTGTATTTCTTAATTTCCTATATACTTATATTAAAAATGACTTTGTAAGTAACAATATATCACTAAACATCATTTACATTAACTAAAAATAGGTAAAACAGTATTTACTTAGAGAATAATTTATAGTAATCTAGAATAGCTATTGTAAGTCACATTAAATGTTTGATTTGATTAAGTTGTTCACTTCAAATAATGAACATAATGTATAATTTTATTTGAATCAGGGGCGCAATTTCACTAAAAATAGTGGGGAGGCTAAATACTTTTTCCCGTGTAATTTAATGTAAGGAACGTAAACAATTTTACAGATGCTAAGCACATCTAAACCCCCTCCATAAATTGCGCCTATCTTTGAAGTGTTATCATTTACATCTGTATATAACTTATAAGTAAAAGCCATTCATTGTAAAATTAATAATAAACAAAAATTCCATCGTAATAATTTATAATATGTAAACAAAATTTAAAGTAAAACATATTGGAGTAATTTAAATTACAACTTACTTTTTACAACAATTAAAATATTAGGAACGTTTTGTAAGCTTATTGTTTAGCATGAAACAATTGCTAATATAAAACAATAAAACATGACTATAATAAAGGTGTTTAAAAAAAAAATTCCTATTCGTACTTAGCATAGATAAGTATATAAATATTTAAAATATTTAAAGTTTAAACTACTGAATGCAATGTAGATGATGATAGTGAGTACCGATTAGTGAGCAGCGACAGCCGACAGCAACACGGATCGGTAATCACAAATCCCAACACAGAATAGTTCATAAATTTAATAAATTCTTTACAGTGCGCCGTACAGTCAAAATTTCTTTTGCATCCAGTCAAATAGATAATTGATTGGATGAACGCCGGGATCGGCAATCAACATGGTTACTCATTAGGGAGAGAGATGGAGAACCGGGAAAGGTTATCATGGAAAAACCTTCTGCGATACAATTTTAAAAATATGGCGCCAAAACAAATATTTGAAGAATATGTAATCAGTACATATTATTTGCTATTACAATTTACAAAAATAATTATAATATGAAAAACAAATTGTTATTATTATTGATATAAGAATAACAGATGTAGCCATGTAGGTATTTATTATAAAAATACAAAGGTCTAAGCGCTTATGACCGATTATAAAATTATAAAATAATTAAAGGGTATATAACCATTAGCCCGCGGAGTTTAGCTATAATAATATATTTTATTATTCACTGAATAATGGTAATACGGCAAAATGTTAATTCGTGATCCAACCAATGTCCATTCCGTTAACCCGTTCACCGTTGCTATAAAGTGTAGTGTACAATGTTGAATACTTGACATTTGTAGAAAAATACCCCGCAAACCTTAAGTACTCTATACCGCACAATCACCCGCCATCTAGTAGTGGCAAGGCCTTTTTATCTACATCTCAGTATCTTTATCTATAGTTCGTGGTTAGTAATGTTACTTGGTAAGTGGTTAAATGATGTCACCAATCAAAATTGGGCTGTAGGATTGGTTAATGGTTATAGTAGCAACTAGCAACATCCAGCAGGCAGCAATCAACATTACTCATTACTCATTAGCAATATAAGAAAAAAATTGTGAAGGGCTTTGTTTCCTTATGTGTTTTTTTAATACTATAAATTATAAATCTGGCTGATTTATACTTGGATATGCATTGTTTTTAAATCGATCATCAATTCAAACAATTGCTGTAGTATACGAGTTAATCGAGTAAGAGTTGCCACACATTCTTTTGTTCTACTTATAATATTTGTTAATTATTTACTTACAAATACGATTAGGTACTATCATTATTATTTTCTGCTAATCTTATTAGTTTTTGCTAATAAAGCTGTTATTTTCTTATTAACTTTAAAAAATATTGTATCAATTTCATGCTATCCAATTCGTATATCACTATTTTAATATTTAGTTATAAAAATTAAAGAAAAAAATTAAATTAAATTTCAAGGATTTTCAAATAATTATTAAACAAATAGTTAAAAATTACATTATTCTATGAACTTTTTTTTCTTAAAGACGATTCATTCTTGTAATGTATGTTTGGTAATCTCTGAACTAGTTTTGATTTGCTATTCACTGCATTATGTCTTGTGGGTTGTTTTTTTTTTAAATGATAAGGTTTTGTCAAAGAAGTTAATTTATATAACTATCCTTAGCTTAAATCATCATATTAGAATGTAAATTTATATTTATATGATTTAAGTTAAGAATAGTTACATATATCTACTAGTTTAAATTACAATAAATGGTTAGTTTTTTGTGTACAAAGTATAAAAGTAATAGGTATAAAAATTATATATTTTCATCTACAATTATGTAAAGAATTCATTAATAATTTATCTTAAAATGCTACAATATATTTAAACAACCAACATTTTTGTTTTTAAGCAATTTGTTTATCATCTACTTACTTTTATAAAATTAACACTAATAAACAAATATTGAATAGTTATAAAATTATATATTTTATTCTTACTAATTGTTTTTTTATTTATTAATGATCTAAGATACATGAGAAATCGATCTGTCACAAATGAAGAACTTGTTTTTTCAATTTTATTAAGCTGAATTGAAATATAATTTTGTGAAAAAAAAAATGTAAGTTATGTACTTAGAATTACATTAAATATTTATTACATTTAATATTATAGTAGTATTAATGTTAGTATTAATCAAGGATGTAGAATGAATTCCAGTCAGATTTTACATATTATTGTGTGGCTAACAAATATTACTTAAGTATAATAATATTTGTTTTAAAATGGCTACATTCATTAACAAAAAAAATGTCTGACTTAAATTTATAACTTTAATTTCTAATCAAATTAAATAATTGTTGTTTATACAAAATAATGTATTTTGTTTCTAGTAAAAATGACTGTGATGTCACAAGAAGAAATGATGGTCGGTATTAAAACAGTAGCCCAAGGGTTAGAAGCATTAAAGAATGAGCTGACAGCTTCAAATAACCCTTCGGGTCAAAGTAATATGCAGCCAGAAGAAAAACAATCAATGCTTCAAAAAACTTTAGATATGACTGAATTGGGCTTAGGAGAAGCTCAAGTAATAAAAATACCATTAACTATAAGTATATTTAAAATTTTAACTCGTATAAAGATTTAAATGTATTACAGTCATAACTACATTATAAATAAATATATATGTATTGATGTATATAAGTATATGTCAATTTTGATTTAGAATATAACACTTGTTACATATTTTGATAATGTTAGGACATAAAATTATTTCATTTTTCAATACAATGGATTTATGAACCACTACCGATCATGATTTAGTTATTATTATTTATTCGTAAAGTACAAATTTGAACATTACCGGTCTCCTTCAAACTAGTTCGAAAAATAAAAAAATGATCAATTATTATTTTAAAATTCGTTGAGCTGTTATAAGAACTAAATTTTCAGTGTAACTATTGTTTTGACATTTTTCTTACGGCAAAGTAATTTTTAACTTTTTTATGTCAAGCTTTGTAAAAAAATCATTATTTTGTTTTTAACCTAAGAAATATGCGTATATTTATTGTTTATATACACTTTCTAAATCTATACGAGAAACTTAATATTTGATGTTCATTTCTATAAACAAGATAAAAATGATAACAAAATGGTGTTTTTAATGTATTTATAAAATATTTAAAAATCCAGGTCATGTTAGCTTTAGCGTCTCATCTTCAAAATGTTGAAGCAGAAAAACAAAAATTGAGAACTCAAGTTCGTAGGCTGTGTCAAGAAAATGCATGGCTTAGAGATGAATTAGCAAATACACAGCAAAAACTACAAGCATCAGAGCAAGCTGTTGCACTACTGGATGAACAAAATAAACATCTGGAGTTTATGGCATCTATTAGCAAATTTGATGCTGACAAGGTATTTTTTTAGATTAATACAATTATTTATGTTTCTATAGGATTTATGGTAGTTAAAAAAAAAATTGATTATATATAATTCATAGTTTATTAAAGTTCATTAATGTAATTATGGATAATGCCTACTTAGTATTTTACTAACTACTACTACTAAATACATTAAAAATAATTGTATTTTTCGTTAATTAAATAATTTTACAATGATGATATTGTATGTTTTGTTCTGTTGTCGATGGAAAAATAACAATATAATTATAATGGTTGTTCATTCATTGGTGATGTTGCTCTATATTCTTAACTTAATTTAAAAGGATGTTTTGGATATTGTTGCAGACTGAAGATCAGACTGAAAATAAACAAGAAAAATCTAAAAATGATGATCCTGTGGTTGACTTGTTCCCAGATGATGACAATGAAGAGAGAAATAGTAAGGAAAAATAAATTTGTTTAAAGGGTATTTCACTTATACATTTTTAAGTACGTTTGGCGTATTTTCAAAATTTTATTTATACTCTGGTGTGAGAACGCAACTGCCTGAGAAAATTTAATCTATTTAGCGCATTCTGCCCATCCCCAGTCATAGCGTTCCTACCAAGACCCCCCTGCTAGCTGATCAGTCGTCATGAAATAAGCAAAAACATTCCCCATAGATATGTTAGGCTAGAATAATTTTATAAAAAGTTTTTAGTACTTTAAAAATAAATAAATAAAATTTTATTGTGGCCACTGTAGTAATCTGATAAAAAATTGATTTTTTACAATAAATCCTAAATGCTCTGCTAATAAAAATACGGTTCATTATAAATTTAGAAATAAGATTTTGTGAAAAATTACATATACTGAACCCATTAATAAATAAGTCTTAAGTAACAAACAGTCCAGATTCTCATCAGATTTTTTTTTATTTAGTCTTCAATGTTCAAAATATCCCATGAAGTTATTACAATACCCGATGTAATATATTCTATCACTAATGGCCGAATTTAGCATAAAACACATGTTGGACATAAATGTCAGCGCCTCACTGTCTATTAATGCTTTATTATTTTATTATTACTTAACTTTTTAAATTATTATGAGTTTTGCTTAGGTTGTTATAAAACATGAATAATGTATATTATACACAATTAAGCAAACATCATTATCAATTATACATTTATCAATTGTATTACATTTCAAGTAATAGATGAAAATTTATTTTGTCTGGGTTTTGAGTTATTTAGTTTTCATGTCTGGTATTTCAAATTATTTTTAGTTTCTTTTACATTGTTAAACATATTTTTTGTATGTAAATTTAGTTTTAATATAAGGTTTTTTGTTTTGCTTTACTAGCATTATCACCCACACCACCTTCACAATTCGCTCAACAAGTTAATGCTGGAGCTGGATATGAAATTCCTGCTCGTTTAAGAACATTGCATAATTTGGTTATACAATATGCATCACAAGGAAGATATGAAGTTGCTGTACCATTGTGCAAACAGGCGTTGGAAGATTTGGAAAAAACTTCTGGTCATGACCACCCAGATGTTGCTACCATGTTGAATATTTTAGCACTTGTTTATAGGTTAGTAACACTATTTTTATTTTTGATGCAGAGCTAAAAAGATATTACTTTAGTTGTTAATTTATAAAAAAAAAGTGTTCTTTCTGGACTCTTACAATAACTTTTAATCATCAGATTTCAGTGACATTAAAAAATATGTGTATATGTATCACTTTTAAGATTATGATTACTACTAATAATAATTAATAGAACATTATATAATATAAATATATCATTTGCTTTTATTTTTTTTGTAATTTTTACATTTTAGAGATCAAAACAAATATAAAGACGCAGCCAATTTGTTAAATGATGCTTTAGCAATTCGTGAAAAAACTTTAGGAGAAAACCATCCTGCAGTAAGTTTACTATAATCATCTACAAATATATAATAATTATGTTTAATATAATTGTATGATCTACTATTCTATTAACTTGCAATCATAAACATGTATTCTTATTGGAAAAGAGTATACTATAACAAAGTAAAACTCTTAAGTAACCCTTTATCCCCAAGGAAAATTACTCATTTTTAAGGCCGAAGAGAAGCACAGGTTAACTTAAAAGGGGGGACTGAGAAGTTTTGTTTTGATTTATGACCCCTTCATTTTCTCAAAGTTAATTTTGTATTTACTATTACTATTTTACCAGTATTAGTTTTAGTTTATTAATATATCCTACTATATTTATGTGTTGATAAACACAATTTTTTTTTCTTTTTAAATAACATTTACAGTCTATACATAGAGAAAAATATACAATAAGAAAATATGTTAACAATATAAATAAATGACTTGGAGACTACGAGTAGGGAAGCTATCCAGTGATAGGACCCTTAGATAAACACAATTACATCCAAATTATTTAACACTCAAGTCTTCTACTTAACACTTACCCAACAGCCACCAATTACAGTTTATAATAAGGGTACATGTGAATTTATATTAAAAAGTTATGCTACATTAGAACTTTTTTTCTAATGAAACAGTTCTTCCATTAATTGTGAAATTCATGACCTCTGTTCTCCTGTGGCCATAATTTTCTAACTAGAAAACAGCAACAAACCACAATGTGAACATTGTAATAACAGAATAATTAAAATAGCTAATTATTTTAAGGGTTGATGAGTTATTAACAAATTAGTTGATATCCAGTATACAAACTGTATAATTGACATTAATTATGTAAACATTAAATTCACATAAAATGTGGAATTGACATTAATATCATAAGGTTATCAGTAACTTTATAAATACATTTATTTATTATGGGATATCAAGAGAGTAATTTTAAATCTGCATTTCAGAATAAAAATCTTTTTGAAAAATATGACAACACAAAAATCATGAGGGAGTACTTGAGTTGAGGTAGGGATATGAAATTTTAGGGATTTCTTATTAGAATTGGCTACTATCAATTGAGGTGGGGGAAAGGTTAGTTAAAAAGTATTTTTTTAGGCAGTCTTTTAAAAAGCTTATTTGAATTTCAATGATCTCAGTCATATCTGAAGTTCTTTAATCAACTACTCATTTTATTTTATTGGTATATTTTTAATTTAATACTCTCACACAAGTTATGATTGTATAGTTAATATTTTACAACTATATTATATTTGTTATGATAAGGTTGCAGCAACATTAAATAATTTGGCAGTTCTCTACGGAAAAAGAGGTAAATATAAAGATGCTGAACCATTATGTAAACGAGCTTTGGAAATTCGAGAAGCTGTACTAGGCAAAGGACATCCAGACGTAGCAAAGCAATTAAATAACTTAGCACTTCTTTGTCAAAATCAGGTACAATCATTTTTTTCTAATTTAATCCTTCAGTTAAATGATTATTTGAATTTAATATGTGTTTAATAATTTTTAATTATTTAATTTAATGTACATATTTAATTTATCAGCTGATTAATAATATATTAACGAATTGTACAATTGAGTATAACATTTTTGTGTTTAAAAATTGTATTTAAGTTATATACTATAAATTTATATATAAGTCCCTATATATTTTACATACATAGTAAAATATTTGCAAATCATTTACCTAGGTATATTTCAAATATTTAAAACCTAATAATATCTTAATATTATCAATAATATATTGAAGAATAAAGTTTCACTTTTTCCTATTTATGATACACACAGAGTTTTCTTTTATGTGTTTAGATTATTATATTCAGACTACTCTTTAAAGCTGTCCCAATATAAGAAAATAAAGAATTTAATTGAACTGTTTATATCATATTCTTTTTAAATATAATATCATAGAACTTCCTGCACATGTGCATTTCTGGTGATAAGTTGACTAATGCAATATTATATACATAAAAATGTTTATCTCTATTTGTAATATTTATAGGGTAAATATGAAGAAGTAGAACGCTATTATCAAAGAGCTTTAGAGATATATGAAAAAAAACTGGGCCCTGATGATCCAAATGTTGCAAAAACTAAAAACAACTTAGCATCATGTTATTTAAAACAAGGTAAATACAAAGAAGCAGAAATACTGTACAAGCAAGTGTTGACAAGAGCCCACGAAAGAGAATTTGGAACAATTGATGGTAAGTAAAAAGATCTACTAACCTTAAATACAAAATTACATAATCAATTTTTTTTACCTAAATTAGTATAGTACCTATATAACGTTTACCCCTTAAACATGGGTGTTTCAAATTTGGTTTTCTAATTGTTGGTATCTAAAAAGATACTTCTGGATAACAGAATAAAACAAATACATATGCATGTAAAATTGTCAACCCCCAAAAGCCTTTGAAATTTTGTAGACACAAGGGTAAATGTGCTATTTACATTTTTTTTATTAGGTGACGAAAAGGAATGGGCATCAATGGCTATTAATAATAATTCCAAAGCGTAAAATTTATACTACTAACTAATAAGTCATAAAAATGGTTGCAGGGTAGTTTATGCACATTCCTATTAAATTTGTTTGATATTAGAACTAATTTTAATGTTACTTTAAAGATCTTTGTACTATATTTGCAATTAAGTTATCTATGTAACTAGTATTTTTATGTTGGTTTTATTAATTTGCTTTTCACTGTTTGAAAATATAATAAATATCAAGAAATTATAATAGTTTAATTTGCATGGTGCTTCTCATTATTAAGTTTTTAAAACATTATGTGACTGTAAATTATTTTTATTTCTTCATATTAAACATACTGTTTTTTTGTTATGACACTGAATCTATTTTTTTTTTTAGTTTTTAGGTACATATAATATGTAGCATGTTTTTTTTTATTATGCACTATAATTATTATATCTAGTATTAAAAATAATGACACATTGTATATTTTATGTTAATTACATTTTTATTTTATTTATTGCTTTATTATTCTATTAAAATGAAATTATTTTGTTTTAATTTTTTATGCATATTTTTATTTTGCACAGTTTTATTTTTAAGTAAATTTTCTATTATGTTTTTTTTTAAAGTATCTATTTTATATACTTCTAAAGTTTTGCATTCCTACTAGTTTTATTTGTTTTGTAGGTTGATTCATTGGTATATAATACAAACATAAAATTAACTGAAATAATATTTAAAATTACATTTTATTCATTTTATAATTGGGTGTGGTTTTGTATTTAAATGTATTGACATTTAAAAAAATTATATCTTCATAGTTTAATTTTTATAATTGAATTTAATTAACAATATGTTTTAATTGTTAATACATATAAAATCTAAAAAAAATCTTTATATTTAATATTATCTGTTTATTGAAAATTATAATTTTTCACCAATATTTTATGTTCCTTTATTTTCTATTATAACATGTAATAGTCATATATCGACTGCCCCAACGAAAAGGGTCATATCTCTTTTTTTGCAACTTTTCAGGATGAACCAAACAAACGTTTAAATTTAAATTCTTATTCTGTTTTTTAACAAATCAGTTTTAAATTTAAATCATTTAAATTTGAATGTTTGTTTGGTTCATCCTGAAAAGTTGCAAAAAACGAGATACGACCCTTTTCGTTGGGGCAGTCGATATATATATATCTATATATATATACTATAATGTGACACATTTATAACATATATATAGTGGTGTTTACACTTATAGATTATTTTTAACAATTCTTAATTATTGATTTACCATCATTATTAAATCATAACAATATCATATTTAAAGTATTAATTAATATAGCAACGTACTTATATAAATTGTGAGATTTTAGTAAAATTTTTTTTTTTACAAATTGTCATATTGCTCTATGATGTTAAATGTTCTTCTTTTCATAAATTATTTTTGTTATAAATTGTCTTAGTATCTACCATTGTTTACTGTTATTTATGTATTTGTTGTATCTACATAAAATTTATTTTCTAAAAATATATTCCTCAAGTAATGTATTTAAATTTTCAATAATTATTATATTTCTACAAATTTATTTAAGTGAACTATGAATTAAATATTACTCTAAAAAAATACCCAACAGGTTTTCATTTTTAGTTTTCCCCTTTTAACAATGCATCATAAAGTATAAACATATTATCCATTTATTTAGTACATTATAGTTTTTAAAATCAAAAGGAATTGGATTTTACAGGGGATAATAAACCAATATGGCAAGTTGCTGAAGAACGAGAAGAAAATAAAAATAAAAGTACCGGCACTGCTCCATATACGGAATACGGTGGTTGGCACAAAGCTGCTAAAGTTGATTCACCAACAGTGACCACTACACTTAAAAACTTGGGAGCACTTTATAGAAGACAAGGAAAATATGAAGCAGCTGAAACTCTTGAAGACTGTGCTTTGAGGTCTCGCAAAGAGGTTGGTTGTTATAATGTTATAGTATTGTCCTACAATTTGTTCAGTATTATTTTATATTCACAGCTTATATATTAAATATAATCATTAATTTTAAATATTTAAATCATTAATGCTTGTTTTATTTTCTAAACTCTTGTTTCTAATCATCTGGTATAGCACTATATTCTTATATATATATATATATATATATATATATATATACTGTAGACTTGTATACTAATATTCATAATATTAAAGTCTATATCACTTCCATTTGATCACCAAACTGAATCTATACATATTTTGTAATTGTTAACTTTCATTACATTAAAATATTTAACTGGTGTTTTAAAATAAAAAAATCCTTATGAAATGTAATAGTTTGTTTTATTTACAGGCATTTGATATTGTAAAACAGGCTAAAGTTGCACAAATCCTCAGTGGATCGAACAGTAGTGTGAATAGTAATGATAGGAGAAATCGATCAAGTCGTTTAATCGGTTCTCGAGAATCATTGGAGTATGATACTAGTTCACCTGGAACAAAACTAGATGAGGTTTGTTATGACGTTAATTTTCATTTTTAAATACTGCATGTTTTGTTCTATTTAAATTTTGACTCCCTACCAAGTATTCTTTCCTTATATTCTTATTATGCTTCTTAATGCTATAGCACTAACACCTTATATATAAAATATATTTTAATCGTTCACCAATCGGCGATTATTATTACTATAATGATACCCTGTAAAGTTTGGGAGATTAGTGTCTAGATATTGAGCGGGAATATATAGTTTTAAGAATATCGATTGTATTTGTTATGACAGAGCGGGCCTGAGTTGGGCAAACAAGGCGGCCTGAAAACAAAGCTATTCAGTGCTCTAGGGCTGAACAACTCCTCTTCTACCTGATTTATTTTGTCTGGAGAGATATTATCGAGGCTGTGGCTGTGGGACATTATACATAAAACATATATACTTATTATTTATTATTATTTTTAATTTTTTTTACATCTAAAATTATATTCTATATATATATAATATATGCATCTATATATATATATTACATATTTTGTAAAGAATATTTTTCATGTGATAAAATTTTGAAATTCTTATTGTACATTTTTAATAGTATATATACAAAGTTTAAAAAAAAAAAATGCTAATGATCAATCTGAAGAAAAATTAAGACATTTTTTTTAAATATTGATTTATACCATTTGTAGTATTGAGAGATTAAACATTTTATTTACTAGTTTTTATTATTATTTTATCCTTATATTGCTATCAAAACCCAGTACATGCCTATTTTTTCATTGCACATTTTACAGAATATAACTATTTTTCCTATAAGTGAAATTAAGAAAATAATTTAAATCTTACAATCAAGCACAATTTTTGCACTTAACAAGGAGTCTTTGGGAATACACACTTTTTAAATCCTTTTCTGTTTTTAGAATTTTATTTTTCATTTCAAACTGATTTTAGTTTATAAAATATTTTTGGATAAAATTAGTAATTTATGCCAACCAATGTTCAAAAAGTTGTGTTTATGTTTACAGAAATCTGGAACAGATGGTCAACAGAAGTAGAGTTAAAACACAAAATAATTATTATCTACTTGATATTCCACTACATTAATTTACACTGCTTCGGCTAATGAAACAATCTTTAAGACACAAGACGTGGAAAGGTCAAATGTTTCACATTAAAAAATATATATATTTATATTATATATATAGTATTATAAGATTAAGTGCAATAATAATATAATTTACAATACTAGGGAAATGACCCTCAACTGATCAAACAACACTAAGCTAAAAATTACATTTTACTTTAAAAGAAAAAATAATTAACTTTTTTAAGGTTTTTTTGCCTACCAAACATTTTGCAAGAAATCTAGTGAGTTCAACCAGTATTTTTAAATTATGATTTGTTCCTTTTGTTACTATTTCTTTATAAAAACTTTAATTTAAATGACAAATATTGTATTGAAATAAAACATGCTTAGTATGTTTCAATCCAATTATTTAGATAACCATGGTTTCAATACTTACAGTGTAGTGCATGTTTTAAGATTACAACATACATAATTTTTGGTGTGGTTTTATAAATTATTGTCAGGACTACTATGTATTGTGATAACATGTGATACATTTTTTACACTTAAAGGTTATATGACTTCTTGTGTTAATGTATCAATTAAATATATTGAACTGATCATGTCAAAAAGTATAACATAATAAATGTCACTACTTAAAATATTAACATTCCGCCACTACCAACTATTTAATTGTTAATACACTTTTTTTAAAATAATAGCTATTAAATTATGTATTATTATTTTTACAACTCACATTTGATTACGCTTCAATATTAATATACAAAATGTTTTGTATTATATTTATTAAATATCTATTGTTTTGTTTTCTTAAAAAAATTAGACATGGTGTAGAGTGCGATTGTGATAGTATATCTATGAGGAATACATGGTAAAATGTTAAAATACTTCTAAGACAGTTTAAACACAAGATAAATTATATTTTACCACTAATAAGGGATGTACTTTCTCAGTAATAAGGTCAAATAAAAAAAAAAATTAATTTTTACTTTAATTAGCATGTGTCTAATGCTACATGTACATCTTAGTAAAAAAAAAATCTTGTTATAACTACCTAGATTCTACTGAAAAGTTTTTTATTTGGTTGGATTGAGTTTGTGTGGTTAGGCACATATATTTGGTAGGGGGTATGGTATGGTGTGCAGCTTAAGACATATATATTATTATATAAATAATGTATATTACACTAGTAATCTGTTATAACTGACATTAATTATAAATTAAAATAAATATAGGGTCTTCAGAATTTTATGATCTTCCTGATTTTTTGATGATACACTAAAGTAATAAAAAATTACCAATGTAAAACCTTTTTAATTTTCATAAAAAAAATCCTGTATAAAAAAGTAACTTTTTAAAGTATTGTAATCTGCATAAACATGGGCTATTCATTTCCAGGAATATGCCATACTCTTCCATTAATACTTTGCCGCACATAATAATTAAATACCTACTATTTATTAGTTTTTTCAACTTATTTCCTAAGATGTTCTTTTCTTATAAATCGTTAAGTGGTTTGTAAACAAATCTATTGTATATGTTTGATATATTCAATACTGGTTCAGTGAAAATATTTTAAAAAATTCTTAATAGATACATTATAAAAAGAGAAAGAAATTTTAAGCTGCTGTTTATCCATGTTTTACACATTCATATTATTATCTAACTTAGATAATAATGCTAGTTTTGATCAATTAAAAAGAAGTGCAAGTAAATTAGGTTAATATACAAAAACAAATTATGATTGAAATAAAATAATAAATAATAAGTTACACAAAATAAAAACATTATAATATAAGCCTACTGGTAACATTAAAAATATAATAGTGAAACCTGGAGGCTTGAATATATAAAATTACCCTAAGTCAATATTCGATAACTGTATATTTTGTTGTTCATTTCTTGCCATAAAATATGATGTATCATCAATACTGACTGGTGTAGGAACAAATGGAGGAACTTCATTTAAAAGGTTGTCCCAATTAATATTTGAAAAAAGCTCAGTGGATGATCTTAATTTTGAACCAGAAAGCCTTTCATTTTGATCCATTGCCATTAGACCATTAATTGCTTCCATTGCTTCTCTAGATAACGTCTGATCTCCAGAAGGCCACTCCAATTCTATAACATAAAATTTATGAAATTAAACAAATTACATTTAACATTAGTAGTATGATAAGAATATTTTTTAATATTTTCTTACCACGCTGTAAAATGTCTTCAAATATTTCTTGTACAGTATCTCCTTCAAATGGAACAACTCCAATCATAAATTCATATAGGCAAACCCCTAATGCCCACCAATCAACTCCAGATCCTATAAACCATAATTTATTTTTGGTTAACATGATGTATTTTTTAAGTATAACAATAATAATTACCATGTTCCATTCCTTGGATCAATTCTGGTGCTAAATAATAAGGTGTACCTAATATTCTACCGTCACTAGCTCTTTTTCCCTTCCTCAAAGATTTAGGAGTTCGATATGGAGTTAATTTTGGTAAGAACGGTGTAGCAATAGGACTCATAATTAATTCATCCTAAAAGTTATTGTTCATTTAATTCAAATGGTAAAAGTATAAAACTATAAGTATATTTACCATATGAGAACGCTTAATAAAAGATGGAGAACGTGTTGGTGTAGGTAAACAAAACCGAGTACTTTTCAAATTTTTTGGGGTATCACCGTATGATCTTTTGCGGGAACATTGTACTGGAGTAGAAATAGCAACTCTACCACTGCTTAGTCGTTCATCGACCCTTAAAAAATACATATCAAATCATAATTAAGGGCATTCTAAGAAGTTGGATAAAATAAATATATCTAACTTTAATTTCATGACACTCTTAACTGCTGAATTTGGAGTGCTTGGTGCAATATGTGACAAATCCACTTGTTTAATTTGTTGCGTAAGCCCACAGCTATTTATTGTGTTGTTTTCTAAATCTCGAAGGGGTAATATCCTTCGTCTGTACCTTCTAAGTGAATCTGTACCCGAAGACTTAAACCTTTTACTATAATTAAAAATATACATAAACAGTGTGTCATGAACATTTGTGTTAAAAAAATTCAAGTAAATCTGTAAATTTCCCATAGCCTACACTGTATATATTCTATACATTTATATCGGCCAGCCATTTTCATTCACTCCACAAATCTCTCTTTGCCATTCATTTATTCACTACACTTGCCTCCATGCCTTAATTTATTAGATTTACCCATTCTTTATATTTTAAATTGTTTATATGACTTAAAATACTCTGACATGTATAATGACTAGCACTGCTATTAATTTATTTTATGATTTTAGTTTATTGTCGTACACTGATAAACACTGAAGTTACAAATATAATAATATGATAATACTTAAAAATTACAATAAAATATTGAAATAAGTTTACCTCAAATTGTTAGTTGAACAAGGAGTGTCATGAAGTTTAACTTTATCTTGTATTTTACTACAGTCACAATCTACGTTACTACAGTTTTGACATGTAAAGAACGTAGTACCTTCTAATGTATTATTAGCCGATTGAAATGGGACGATTCCAGAAACATGACTACTGTTATAATCATCTTCATCCAAATCCATGTTAAATCTTATACTACTACTATTACTACTGAAATGTGTTTTCTCATTTGAACCCTTTTGATTAATAATAATAATAATGTATACAATTATGATTAAATACATAATTATGTCATTGACGAAAAATACTTACAAATGAAAAATGAGATGTCAAAGAGAGCAACTGTCCAGGTGTTCTAGTAGGTACATTTGGTGAACTGTTTACTAAATCTGTTATTTCTAAATCTAAAAAAAAACAACATATATATATATAAGCCCTAGTGAGCACAAGAAAATCTTGGTAATGACTGGAGACATTTCATACATGATTTACTATTCATCTAAATGATTTAAAATCTTACAAGTTATCTTGGATAATGGATTTCTTGTCTAGGAAATAACTTACCACGATGAATTGTAATCCGACTTAAACCAAAATCTGTTAGTTTTATATGTCCTTGTCCAGATATTAACATATTATCGGGTTTCAAATCTCTATGCACAATTCCATGACTAATAACAAAAAAAAAAAAATGAAGTAATAACTGATAAATATAATATAGCAAAAACAAAATTAAAATTAAATCTAAAATAGTTTCAAATACCGACCATTTATCTATGTATATTAGAGACTGGGCAAAAAAAATGATCAACTTTTTTTTTGAACAGTACTATGAAAATATTGTTCATGATGATAAAAAAAAAATTATGGTGAAAGTTAGAGCCCTTAATATTAATATTAAGATACCTATCATGACGACTGACGTTTTTTTTACACTAATGGCATTTTTTATCCATAACTAAAAAAAAAAATTGAAAAAACAGTTAAATGTTCAAGGCACGATTTCTATGAAAACGCCTTGTTTGACAAAAATTTACAAAGACAGCTTTTTCGTAGGGAATTTAATTTCCTTCAAGAATAAAACGACGCCCTGTACGAAAAGTAGCACCGTTCGTGAGTTCTTACATATAATACAATAATTTATGAGTTTTGGATAAAAATGCCAATAGTGTAAAAAAACCGTATTGTTCTTGCTAAATTCTAATCTATAGTTTTACATTTTGTGCATCAGTCTAGTTTTTTAAATTTTTTTATTATATCACTTCTTAAATTATGAAAATTATGGTTTAATGATAATTTTAATACTACTTATTTTATTTAATTCTTCTTCTTCTTGAGTATTGTTAAATAACACTTTAACTTTCAAATTTGTATTTTTACCTATGAAGATATTCTAATGCTAATGCAACTTCAGCAGCATAAAATGTAGCTACATCTTCAGTAAAGTATCCCATAACACTCAACAATGACTTGACATCTCCACCAACCATATATTCCATAACCTTTAAAACAAAAAAATAATTAAAACTATTATAAATATTTTGAAATTAAATAAATATTTTCAAAATTAATTACCAGATAAATACAACTTGAAGTCTGTAATGAGTAAAATAGTTTAACACAAAACGGACTATTTGCTAGGGCCAATGCATTTCGTTCATTCACAACTACGAGGAAAAAAAAATAAGCATAATCAAGTTTTAGTTAATAAGTAATATTTTAATAAACCTACCTTGAGTAATCATATTTTTATTAATCATGTCTGTTTTTTTCATCACTTTAATGGCGTACATTTGATCTAAATTCTTCTTTTTATGACCCAAATATACCTTTCTAAATTTTTAACAAACATTTAATTTTTTTAAGCTATATTTAGATTTATGTAATACCATAAAATTGAAGAGCTACGGGAAAAAACTATAATAGTCAATATTTCCAAATTTTTAGTGTTGCAATTCTGCTCAAAGTTTCAGAATTCCACTTGCTTTGCCGTCATACTTATTTTTAAACTTTAATGAAGAGCGGATTGTTAACTTTTATCTACAATTTAATTTATGGATCGATTTGTTTGAGAACAAACAAGATGGTGAAGCTAGCTAATTTTTTAAAAAAGTCGACTGATCATTTTTTCCGCAGCCCTTCATTTATCTAAAATAAATAAATATATATCATAAAATAAAACAAACATATTTTGCTAATATCATAATTATCTTTGCAATTAAACATTTTTTTAATTTACAAATTTTCACAAAATCATATTGCTTTGATATTTTATGGATTTGTATTAGGTATCATTATTCATAAAGATCAGATGAATTTTAGTTTTTATTTTAAATGTACACAAATGAAAATTTATACAAATTACTATCACTCATAAATATGTAAATTTTATTTACTCACCCAAACGCTCCTTTGCTAATTGGTTTAATTACATTGAAATCGCTAATATCAGGATGCTGAAACAATAATAATACTATATTACTTCATATTATCAAGTATAAAACATATTATTAGCAGTGAGGTTAATTCAACTTAATTATGGAGGAAAGAGGATTTCATATCACCCTATATACAAAAAAAAATGTCGAGAGCATCAATGCTCTTTATCCTTAGACCACATGGTCTAGATCCTGTAAACTAAGGGTTTTTTCATGTTAATAAATCCTATCAAAACCAAAATAATTTAAGAAACACCACAACATTAGTTATTAGACGAATAATAGATAAAATTAATCCATTTTTTTTCTATTCCAAGAGGATGAATAATCCCAGAATAACTTCTTCATTATGTATGCCAGTGGCGTATATAGGGGAGGGTTTTGGGGGTTCAACCCCCCCACCGAAATTTTTGGTTGGTACGGCACATGGGCAAATTTATTTAATCAAAGTTAATATATAATATTAATTAAATCTATTTTTATTTTATACCCCCCCTCCCGAAATTATATCCTATATACGCCACTGATGTATGCCAATGATTGACAATTTGTTTTTATAAAGCTATAAAATAAACTCGAGCCTTTCACAGTAATATAGATACTACAGTACATACAAATGTCAAAACTTAACACCGACGAATCAAATCATAAAATAAATATCCTAAACATCGTTTATTGGCAGGTGTTATTACGTTGTTAAAATTCTTAAATCACTAAAACCGAGTTATATGTCTTACAAAGTAAATGTATTCTCAAATCTTACCTTAGCTTCCTTAGTGTTCTTAGTTATAGTATTAAGTATCGTTTTTTCGTATGGAATCATGGTGGGTTCAACATTGTCTTCCTTTTTTTCGGCCATTTTAATTTAAATTATAATGTTGTTTAAAGGGTCTTTTAAATAAAATAAATTGTATAAGACATATAATTTTACACTTTATTCATGATTAGTAACACATTGACGCTCACAGCCATTTAGTAAAGACGGGTGAGCCGTTCTCCGTAGAATGAAGAAACATGTGTAAAACTGAAGTCCGGTTACTACTTTGAAGTCTAACAAGACATTACGACAAGGTTATTCTAATTCTATGGTAAAAAATTAATAATAATAAAATATTGCATGCAGATAAAGCGTAAGAGAAGTGATGTTCAGGCTTCAGCATGCACAGCAGCTGCAGCTTGCCTGTTACCAGTTACACTGCTTATCAGTTATTAGTTTCCAAATAATAATTTAAAATAACGGTCTAGCATTTCGTTAATGATAATGCTCAGTGTAACCAACAGTGATGGGATTTATTCGGATTATAGATTTGAATAGGAATATTATTTTATTAAAAAAATCTATACTAAATTTAATTTATATTAAACTAGTATAGTAACACGATTGAAAGATACCAGGCGCATGTTTTCTCCGGTGGTGTTATTTTGAAGTGTAGCCTGTAATGAAGGCTATAAGCCCCTCCATCCTCCTCGATAATGGTGTAAAATAATAAGATGTTGTGAGTATTTGTGCTGCCCCTTAGAATAATACGGTATTAGCAGCACAGTATACACCAACGCCATGACACATTATCAAAATATTGTTGGACCGTTAAAGGGGGCGTCGCACCGGTGATTTTCAGTGGTATAAACATGTTTACGCCAATTGAAAATAACTCGCTTAATTTTGGTTTTAGAGTAAAAGCACCCATTATAAATTCAAAATGGAACAATATTCCGGAGGGCAAGACGGTGGGTTTTTTTTATTATTTCAAGTATAACGCTCAATACATATAGTTTAGAAATAACAACTATTTTCACATTTTTAAATTCTAAAACATAAAAAAACCGCATGCAATCCCTTTTATCTTTAGCAAATTACGAAGTATCGAGTAGCGACTAGCGTTCTAAGTGGACAACACTTTCAACTTTATAACATACACCAGCTTTTAGAAGCATTTTGATTTCTACGTAGATGGTAAATGGGCTTTAGTTAAAAATCGGATGCAAACATATAATATACTGTACAAGTCGATACATACATTTCGACTTGATAGCTTTGAAGTTTCTAGATCAATTTTCTCGAGTGGGGCATCAATTAGTACAAATTGTATTCATTATATACTTCTAGAGGCTTCAAAAAGGCGAGTTCATTAATCATTGAATCTTCTATGAATCATTTTAATTATTTAGATTTAATTAAAAAAAAAAAAAAAAATGATTATGCTACTGATGAAGAGATTAAATTTGTAAATAAAAACTTGAACATTATAAATTTCACAGTATAACACATGTTTTCTACTATGAAATATAGATAACAGTAATACAAAAAAAAGTAAATATATTTTTATATCATAATATTTATGTTTTATACAAATCATTCTAAATAAATTATTTAGTTATGTATATAATTTGCTACTTTGCCTTAAAAACACAAACTTTTACAGTTAAAAATTAATTTTATGAGTAAATTAATAAAGTAAAAAAATTAAAGTCTTATCAAATTTAATCAATGAGTGGTAAATTAGTAAAATTAATAATACTAATTTCTATTGACTACATTAACTATCAAGTAGTCTGTCAAATATTTCGTCAGGTGTGATTGTTTTAGCATTTGCAAATTGAGATCCAAGTTCTTTCATGATTTCTCCATGTTTCAACAGGGAATTCTCCCGCTTAACTCTTCCGTAATTTTCCTTTACAAACACTGCAAATTTAGAGGGTTTTCTTGGAAGTTTGGTTGTTTGCTGTGACTCACCAATATTATACAATTCTTTTAAAGGGTCTGTTTGTATATTGGGAAGGTTACTGTTTAATTCTGGATTTTTGTTTATTTTGTTGACAATCAATTCAAATTCTCCATAACAATAACCACAACGCTTTTTCTCTAAATTTAATGACTTTGAATGACGTCCAAAACTGAAAATGAAATGTTCACCAAATAAGTATATAGGAAAAATGTTAAACTCTTAGTACAAAATATTTTTTTAATTCCTAACAGAGAACAAAATATTTAATAGCAAACTGTTAATAAATGCTAAAAACATAAAATAGTTTAGCTTTAATGCAAAGCTGAGAAGATATTGGTGTTATGTTTTTTTTAGGAAAACCCAATAAAACATAAATATTATATATATTTTTAACACACATTTATTGTCCATTAAATTATTTATATTTATGATCTTATCAAAGCTTAAAAATGATTCATTAGGATAATATTACTGCTAAAAACATTATTATTTCTTAATTGTATATAAAAATAAAAGTTTCCTCTAAAAATTTTTTAGTATTTATTTTTACTTATATTTTGCATACTTGATTGTTAGTACACAATTTGTAAGTAAAAAAGTTAATAGCAACATTGATGATTTATTGATAAGAGAAGTTTACCACATCATTTAATATAATTGTGTCAATATGAAAATAATTCTAATGAGTAAATATATTCTCATTACAGTATAACTCACCTATAACCACATTTAATACACTTGTAAGTATATTTTGTTTGTATAGCATAACTATGACATCTTTTTATAATAGGAAGTTCAGGAAATCTTTGCATCGCTTTGTTTGCCCAACTTTTCCAAGCTGGTCCATGACCTTCGGCTACATTATTAAATATCCAACAAGCAGCATGACAAAGCTCATGGATTAATGTATCTCTCAGTCTTTCAGCAGTATCAATTATCTACAGAAAAGTAATGAACATACACTTTATACATTACAAATACATTTAATGTAAGGAACAATGGAACAGAACTAATTTTATTTTTAACGGTACTAGTAAGACCCGCCAAATAGAATATATGACACATATATTCTATTATGACATATTAGGATACTTATCAAAGTAAAATTATTGTTGAACGACTCTCGACGATTGATTATATGAGTAGTTATGGGCAATATAATGTACCCGTTATATTAAAATATATAATGTCTTATACAAATTTCATAAATTATAAGAAGTAAAATTTTGTTTTAATAAATCAAAGATATGCAGTTGTGTAATTAGAGACTAAAGCTCTCAGGGGCAAGACATTTTTTTATGTCATATATTACATGTTAATGTCTATAGTAACCGTACAAAAACGCCCTAAATTAGAACGTGGCCTGGGGTAGTTGCCCCTTGCATCCACGGTGGCTATGCCACTGAAGATACAACTGAAAATAGTTATTACAAGTATTAATACATGTAATGAAAACAAGTACCTTAGAAGAGAGTTCTATTCGAGATACTCTTATACAATCTAAATTTTCATTTATTTTTACTGAGCGTCTATTGAAGCACGCCCCAGCAGTTGTCCTTAACCGTGCGTTCCATTTAAAGTTCATGTCAGTTGGAAGCTAAAAAAAAAGAATATTTAAAAATTATAACATAAAAATGCATATTATGTTTTAAAATACTACATTTATACTTCTACATAACTTTTATATTTACCTTATTTTCAAATACTTCTTTGTTGAACAGTTTAAATAGTATACATACTAAATCATCTCTATGCTTTTTAAATTTCAGTTTATATTTTTCTGCTTCAGGATCACACTTCATTGAACCAGTAAAACCTGAAATATATTTAAATTATTTAACTATCAAACTACTTATATGATTAAAATGTTATAAAAACAAATAGATATTGACCTAATGTTTATTGGTGAAAAGCAAGTAAATTATTAGCAAAAGCATTTTATTAAAATTTATGCAATACATTATAAAATAAAATTTTTCTATTAGCTATTAAACAAAACTGAAAAAGCAAACTAACGTAAATAGCCTTTGTAGACTTAGAGAAAGCCATCGACAATGTAAAATGGATAATATTATTTCAGATTTTGAAAAAATCAGGAACTACATATTCAGAAAGAAGAATAACTAAGTCTCTGTAGACACAATATTGAAGTAGTACGTTAAGGAAACAGCCAAGAAGAAACAAAAGTTAGGAAATGTGTAAACAGGGATGTTCCTTTTCTCCATCTTTATTTAACCATGTACATAAGCCACTAATGGAGTGAGAGAAATATTTCAAGTAGGAATAAAAATACAAGGTAAAAAAAGTAGATTCGCAGAAAACATTGCAGTATTAACAGAGAAATGAAAATGAATATTATATTTAAGGATTAATACAACATAAATATATATAAAACAAAAACTAAAATCCTTGTCTGTAGCCACAATAATACAACTAAATAAAACCAGATGGTCACACGATAGAAAGAGTTGATGAATATAAATACTTGGGAACTATTGTAATAAATGACGGACGTTGCGTCAAAGAAATTAGATGCAGATTACAACAGGCACAATGTGCATTTTAAAGAAAAAGGACTTACTTCTATAAAAACAGATATGAAAATAAAGGAAAACCTACTAAAGACCTGTTTAAAGCGTAGCACTTTAAGGGTGTGTGTCATGGACACTAGGGAAGGTTGAAGAAAAGAATTACTTGCATTCATGGCGTGGTGCGACAGGATAATTCTTAAAATAAGTTGGGTAGATCGTAAAACAAATGAAGTTTCCTAAAAGCCCTGGAAATTAGAAGAGCTAAACTAATTGGACATACACTTTGATACAATAATCTAAGAGGAAGAATAATTGAGGAGTCCATAGAAGGAAAAATTAGCTGAGGAAAGCCACCACTCGAATATAAAAAAGTATTATACAATGAATCAAAAAGAAAAGCAGAGAAATATGAAGAATAGAATATTATCCCTAGGCTGTTTACATGAAAGAATTATAAAATACAATAATACATAAAACCTTACATGATAAAGAACTTAAAAATGAGAGCTTTGAATCGGAACTAATAGAGTAGGCATCATTGATATCACTGATCTTCATAACTATATCACATTCTTCTTTCTTCTTTTTTTTTTCATTCACCCCCTTTTTTTTAGTCTTATTTAACTTTAAATTTTCATTATCACTGTGTATTTTTACTGGAGTCCTAAAACAATAAATAGTTCATGGTAAATTATATAATAATCCTTAAAAATTCAATAAATATTATAATTAAAGGTAGAACTTCCTGTAAAAATAATATTGTAACATGTATTTATTGCATACTGTCAAATACAACAAAACATAATAACACAATATATTATTTGACCTTTATAATAACAACAGTATATAATATGTTGTGTTCAAGGGAATCATTATTGTGGTGATTTTGTTTAGTGCTTACAGGATTAAGGAGTAGCTATTTATTTCATTAATAGTTATCAGTTCAAATGAATAAACTACCAATTGATCATTCCACATTTGTACTTATACACAGTAATTATAACACGGTATAAATAACTTCTTTTATATACTTTAAACTAGCTAAATATCTTTCTAGCAATAAAGGAATTAGGTAGTGCTGAACTTACGATAAATCTATATAATCTATAACAGATGATTTACAATTTTCACCAGATGTTAACAGATCTGTAGGTAAATTATTTGAACGCTCGGACAAACTGACATTCCTGTTAACATTTACAAGAAAAATATGGATTATACGAATAACATTTTAACATTAGATAAGTGAAAATTACAAAAAGCACTCTTGTATTACTTTATTATGTACATATTTATTAACACTGTCAATATGGAAATTAAAAAATAACTTACATTAGACTTTGAGAAGCATCATCAAGTTCTTGTTGAATATTATTTGTCTGAAAACCACAGTCCTTGCTTAATTTATTACTATGCTTATCCATGTTCCATAATTTCTTGTTTTCAAATGGTACTGGTGATTTACATGACAAAGCTAAAACACATAACCATTAATAGTAATAGATTTTAATTAAATCGACAGATGTAACATACAGTTGTCAAATTCCGACTGGTTACTGTTTGAACTATTGTCACAAAATGATCTGAAAAAATACATTTTAAATTAATAATTTTTAAAAATACAAATGAAATTATGACTTTTGAACAGTAAAATAAACAAAATCTTCTATTTTTGATATAGATGTCTACTAGTTAAACATGATCAAAACTTAAATACAAATTGAGACATACAAAAAACATGCAAGTTCCCAATTGATTATAGCTGAATACTTTTTTTAAAATAATTAACTAAATATAGTAAAATTATAAATTTTCTATTTACTATCAAAACAGGAGACTGTAAATGCTCTAATCATTTGATTTATGTATTAAAAAACATTGTCACTAATTTGTCATTCTAGATATAGAATAATTACTGTAAAATTTTTTTTTTGAATATTATTACCTACATTACTATATGGTATTTAAAAATATTTTAATAAAATATTTTTTTGATAAACTTACTCATTAAAATTTCTTAATAGATTATTTAAGTTTTTCTTTTTTGCGTCTACAATAATTCCATTAATATTTCTCCATTGATTACCATACAATCGATCTAAAACTTTTGCAGATTCCGTGAGGTCATTTGGTTGTTCATAGGTTTTTGTAGGCGTTAAAAAACCATTATTTTCGTGGTCACTATTATTTAATTGTTTAGAATTACATATAAAAGACTTTTTGTAATATTCTACTTTAGCAGTTTTTTTTTCATATAAATTATCATTCTCTGTATCAGATTCATCAGAAATATTAATAGGTGATCCTATGTCAAATTTTTTATTTGTGTTTTCAGTGGTTAGACTGGTAGCAGATTTAAAACTTCCATCTGAGTCAGAACTGTTATTTATTAAACAATTTGTTAAAGACTTTTCTAGAACATTGAAGGAATTTCTTTTATTGTCAAAATTTAAATTTGTTAATGAAGTAGACTGAACTCCAGAGCTATTATACTTGCAGTTAGTTGCATTTGTCAAATCAATTTGGTCAATTATAGTAGAATACATATTATAGTTTTTTTTTTTAGAGTCTAAACATATTTTAGTTTTTGGTTTAAATAATTCTAAACTAGAATTTGATGAGTTTAAATCATCATCGTCAAAGTCATCTTCCTTTTTACTCTTAATTTCTTGATAAATGGTTGTATTTTGTTTTGTCCTTGTGGTTAATTTCAATTGTGCTAAAAAAAAAAATAAAAAATGAGTCAAATATTTCCAAAATTATAATAAAACTTATTTATTAGTTTTTTTATTAGACTTAATGAACATTTCTGCCTTTTTCCAGGAAGAAGTTTCTTAATAAATTTGCTACCTTGTAAATATGGTTAGTCAGTCGCCGGAAATGGCGGTTAAGTTTCACTGAACTATTATTAATATTCACAATGTTAACGATTGTTTATTCAATAAAAAGAGCTGTCTATGGATAAAAACTAACCAACGGTATTCCACAATACACTCTTCTGCCTTATCAACCTGTTTTCCTATAACTATATTTAAATGTAGTTTTTTTATATTTAGGTAATTATAAGACTGAAAAAAAATAATATATTTGAAGGCTTAGCTGTTATATTAATATGTAATGTTGTCGATTACATTTAAATTATGTTTTTAAATATAGTGATTTGATTATCAAATTATTAATATTGTGATTTTGATATAAGAATATAATAACTGAGAGTATTAAGCGCCTTACTGAAGTCCATTTAAATTACATCAGTTTGTTTCCAGAATTTAGCGAATTTTGTTTACGGCGTTGGTTTTTTGTTTTTCAAGTAGTGAGTATCTAAAGACAAATTATTAGAAGAGCTAGTCTTAATAAAACTGTTTTAACTACAGATCCAAGATGCCTTACACCCTCTCTCTCACATAATGTACATAATTATACCAAAACTATGAATAAGGATCTGTTTTGTTACTGGAGATATACAGCTTAATTAATTTATGCCATCGATGTTATGTATTGCAATATGTGAATTATATATTTAAATTACATACAAATTAAAATAAACAAACATTTGATATAAACATAAATACATACCTTTGATTTTAATTTGTTTGTTTTTTTTCATATTTCTTTGTAGGTCAAACGTTGAATATTTATTTTAAATTAACTATTGTTTTAAGAATTCACAATTAAAAAGTAAAATATAAAATTTGCAAGTACTTTAAAGTATAACAATAAAGCATTTATCGGCCACTGGACACTAAAAAATCAGCAGACAAGTGGATGAGGTATTTTGTACGAACAAAGGTAGTTTTTAATACAAACTCGGTAGTTTGCATTAAAAACTACTAATGTGTAGACTGTAGTTTCCAACAAGTGTACTCTTGTCACCAAACTTTTAAGTGTAAATTGTAATAACTAAGTACTAACTAACCAGCTGCACTCTTTTCTATGCTCTGCAGGCGCCAGGCAGAGAATAGATTAAAATAACAAATCGGAAATCATGTAAGTATATATATCTTATATAATAATATATATATAAATATTTAATATAAAAGGTGTATTCTAGACTCTAGAGGTGTAACTTGTAAGCAGTAAGCACATTGAAAAACCGTTGAAAATTGAAATTTCATAGAAAGAAACTGGTTTATGGACTAAAGTTAATGTTGGCTACACTGTTGATGATATTATTTTGTTGGTAAGATAAAATGTTCTTATCTATAGATGATAAAACCATTGCCATAGTATTCAATCTATTCATATTTTATCATAAATTAAATTTATATAAATACAAAAATTTCAAATATACTATATATGATATATCAATTCGCCACAATAGTTAATACATTTATAAGTATTATCTCATTGATAAGTCCAAATACTGTTAAGTGTTACGATAAGTTATTTAACAGTAATATTGAGAAGTCTTTTGATAATATGATTAAAATTTAAATAATGAGTAGATCGTGGTTTAAGTATATAAAGGTTAAGGCCATGGATAATATTATAAATGGTATTAACTTAATAGGTTAACCAAACCTAACCGTCATTAAAACTGTAATTAGAAATAGTATTAAAGAAAATAGAGTACAAATATAATATTAACCATAAACACGCAAAACAGAAAATATATTTTTCAGTCTCCATATTTATTTTGTTTGTACAAAGTAGAGAACCTTTAGACTTTAGTACAAAGTATTTGATTATTTCATTATTACACGGTAATTACCTATAATATTCTATTATGATTGCATACCATATGGATTAATTAGAGACAACTTTTAGATAATGTCTTATTAATGTTATTGTAATGAGCCACAGTTAAATTATTAACCCGCATGCGTCCTATATACTATAAATATGATATGTCACAAAAAAGGAAAATTTTTTTGGAATCATTCGTGATAAATAAATATTTTCAATTTAAAATAAATTAAAACTGTATTTACGGATACGCTTAAATTTAAGTAGTTGAGAAGTAAATAGTTTTTGAAAATGAAAACATTTTACACAGGATTTTACGAATTGGAACATTTAAAAAAAGCACAAAAGCGCGGGATTTTGATTGGACGCAATTTCGGTGTCACTGGTTACGGTTCAAACCATTGCCCTCCGGACTGCGCTCGGCTCGGCTTCCTACAGTTCCTAGTTTTTCTGTTTTCAGTTTGTGATTGTCGCCGATCATGTATGGAAGTTATTCGCGTATATGAAACATGTGCTGGCTGTTATGTGTTCGCCGACCGTCGATGTTGTTAATGTTGTGCGTCCGTCTGTCCGGTTATAATGTCAAATACGTTTACTGATGTAAAGAAATCGGAAACCAAGTCAAACCCTCAATATTCGCCTACCATCCGCATACACGCTGACCTGTTCGAACCAACTGAAAGCAGATATCCCGTGTTCAACTATCAAAAATTGCTTCTAGAAGAAGTAAGTAACCGACAGAGTTGCAATACTTGTAGGCAAGAAATGCGTGTTGCGGTTGTGTGTGTGTGTGTGTGTGTGTGTGGTGAGGGAGTGTATGTACCTATTTGCGATTTGTGAGTGTATGTGTTGTATGCAACGTGCACTAATGCACTATCACGTATACAAGTCTTAAAAACAATATGTATTTCAATCGAAATCGATAGAACGTCGTATTCTTTAAGTACTCTATTAACATTTTGATTTTCTTGCCGACCATTTTGAAATTAATTACGTGTTATCTGAAAAAAATGTTTGTTATTTCTCTGAAAGTTAATCATTCTTTTCTTTAGTTTTTTGGATGTAGGTACAAAGTATTATGTGAGATAAACATGTTGTAATTTCATTAAATAATTACCTCAATATACTCTTTACGAATAAAGTGTAAATAATGTTATGACCATCCAAAATCCAAAACCTATTATTGTTACTGTTATCAGTTATACTGATCTTTATATTCTTAAACTGTGTATCAACATGATATTATTTTGTTTTCCCTTTTTATTCAGTTCTAAGGCTGTATTTAAAATTTTTTTTGTTTTGGAATATTTTTATAAATAATTTCTGTAAATATTTAACATTGCTGCGCTTATGTTATTTATTATCTGTAAATTGTAGTTCAATGTTTGTATTTAATTCAGATGAATTAATTTCAATGGGCAACTGCTTATGAGTTAATTATCATACATTAATAAATGTTACAATAAAATTAAACACAAATTGTAGGGTTTTTGTAGAATAAGTACTAGTTTATTTATACTTAATACTACACTGTATATCTGTATAGATATATTGAAAATTTGATATATAGTATTTATTCTTCTTATTTCTGTTCTTCCCAACTACATAACAGTTTTAGATTTAGTGCGTGGCCATTGCAGTAAATTTCTTCCCATGCTAACCAAACTAATTTGTTGCGTTAAATTGGCTACTTCTTTTCTTCTTCTTTTTCTTCTCAATAGTCTCTTTTCATTGAGAAAGAAACTGCTAGTTACCAATTCTTAAGAACTGCTTAAAATAAAAACAATTCTTAAATCCTTGGAAAGTTGTTCCAATCAATTCCCATATTTCTGGTTTAAACTATCCTATTAATAAAATTAAAATGATAAATTAAAAATGTATAAAAAAACAAAATTTTTAGGGATAACTAAATTTATTGAAGTAACTTAAGTACCGCCTAATGTTTACCTAAGTAAATAATATTTATTTTATATAATATACATTGATGTGATAAGGAGGATATAAGTAGTGTATATTTTGTTTGCATATTATGTCAATATTTTGATAACCTTAAATATGTAAAAGTGATTTAATTTTGTTTTAGACCATAACTTAGTCGAAAACTACATTTGAATGAGTTATAATTTGCTGTAGAATTATTGTTTGTGCATTAGATTCTGATGTATGGCTTGTTAAACCTTAGAATTTTTTTTAGTAAATGAGTATTTCCAAGGAAGTTTTCTAAAAAACTTTTATTTTTGCCATAAATAATATAGTTTTTGATAGGCCATAAAAAATGTATTTTAAATATCATATTATTAACATTTTAAATGGTATTTATTAATTGTAGGCGGATTTTATTTATAATATTGAAGAATAATTTATTAATTTTTGAAATTTTGTTTAAATTCAAGAAAAAATACTTTTTGTTTTGTTTACCATCAATTATGCTTTACTAGCATATTATATTAATTAATTTTTTTCTTAATATATGTGTTCTTACATTTAATTCAAAATTTATCTACGCTAAATATTTAGTAAAAAATACAAGTTCAAAACATGTTACTTTTTTGTATTTTATCATTATGTTTTAAACCACAAAATATTTTAGTAAATCTGAGTATAAATTTTATTGTGTCAAAAGTATCATTGTAACACTTAACTTTTTTCCTTAATCTCTAAGATTTTTACAAGATTTGAAGTAAAGACATAAAAAAAAATAGCTTAAATTGTAGGTCCTTCCAGTTCATTGATCAAGTTAAGCTTATACAATGCTTATGAACAATACAAACAAAGAGGACTACATTATATAGATTAAATAGTATAAAATAATTAATTAAATTTATTATTCTAAAAATTTTAGAAGTTCAATTATAATTGTACCGTGTTTGTGATATTTTTATTTTTTTTTAAAGTTATATTTACTAATATATTGTTTTTTAAAATCTTATAGAAAAGACGACGTAGAAGAGATCAACAGTCAAATTCATTTGAAGAAAATGATGATCTAGTTAAAAACATAGCTGATCATTTTGAACAAAAATATGTAAGTTTGTGTATAATGTATATTATATTATACAGGGTGTCCCACAAAGGTAAGACAAATAAAATAACTTGTTCTAGTGAATATTTTTAGATTTTTTTTTTAAATTAATTTATACTCATTAAGCACCACATTTTTTTTGTACTTAACTATTTTAAATATTAAAAATTTTTTTGTTACATTAATATTCATAAATTTAAGATAGCCGCCATTTTATTAAGAATGATGTGCTGGACATTTTGACTGGTCAACAAACTAGTTTTAAATAATTACTTTTAAAGTTATTTAAGTTTAGATTGTAGGATGGTAGGTGGAGTGGGGTATAGAGGTATAATATAGAGTAATGCGTGCAGATACAAATAACTATCTACCGCACTCCACCTTCCATCCTACCCTTTAACCTTTAATAACTTAAAAAGCAATAATCCAAAACTGGTTATGAACCAGTCAAAATTCTCAGCAAATTATTCTCAATAGAATGGCTGTCTTGAATTTTTTTTAAAAAATGCAACTAAAAAAAAGTAATTAAAAAAAATGTAAAATAGTTAAGTGCAACATAAAACGTGGTTCTTATAGCGCAAATGAGTTCAAATTCATTAAAAAAAAAAAAACTTAAAAATATTCACTAAAACAAAAGTTATTACATTTGTCTTATCTTTGTGGGACACCATTTATACTGTGTATAACAACTTAATTGAGAAAAACAATACAATATGATTTAATGTTGTTTTAAAATACTTATATTATTATTAAATTCATATTATAATTGGAATAGAGAAATATTCTGAGGCTATTTTTTTAAAATAAGTTTTTTTTAATTAAAGAGTTTTGACTCTATGTCTTTACTTATTATTTGTATTATTTATTATTGTACAGTAAAACTTAGTTTTTATTTTCTAGGCTTCTAATAATGTCAAGAAAAAGAAAAAGAAAAAAACAGCTTTCTATAATTACTCAGAACTTGCTGCTGGTTATGATGAGAATGATTCATTTATTGACAATACTGAACTAGTAAGTATATTTTTTTGTATTTAATTACACTCGATGCTTATTATATTTCATGTTTTAATTATTAAAACATAATAGATCAGGTTACATAAATTTATAATATATAAGAATTCATGCTGTTAAAAATAACAGATATTAATTTAGTATTTATGCTAAAAATACTATTCCTGAATGCTGTTATCATTTTAACAATAAGATAACTTGCCATGAATTACAAAGCAATGTTATATTATAGGTTTTTTTGTTTAAACTTTTCCTAATAGCACCACCAGGTTTAGAAGCTAATGGGAACTTTCCGGTGATTTTAGGATTTATTCCCAATTATTTATTATTGTTAAATGAACATTTTTTTTTTTTTAAAGTTGTCTAGAAATAAAGGTTATAATTTTTGATAATTAAATTTAATATAATAAATATTTATTATGAAACTTTTATTAGCTAAAAAAGTATATTATCACTGTATATTATTCAAAAATTGTAGTTATAAAATTCTGCATTTTTTCACAATTGTTTAATTTGTGTATACATTTATGTAATTATAGTTCGATGAAGTTATGCCAGAAGAAGTTGAAACAGAACATGGAGGTTATTATGTAAATACAGGTTCTTTAGAATTCAAAAAAGTAAATGTATCAGAAGATTCTAAGGAACAAAAATCTAGTCGACAAAAGGTACATTATTATTAAATATTTATAGTGTTTAACTTTTTATGTAATTAATATTAGATAATTTAAAAAAACTTATATTAACATGCGTATCGATACCTTGAAGCACACAAGTGCTATGTCCATACGATATAACGTAGACATAGCACTTGTGTGCTTCAAGGTATCGATATTATGTTGTTTGTTATTAAATAAAAAATGTCTAAACAAAAAATTGATTAAATGAATAAAATTTACTAATAAATCATATCTGTACTTCAGAGCAAAAGTGTTTTAATTCCACAATTTTAATTTTGATCAGGTTTTGACCAGGTTTTTGATTTACTTATATAGATTTAAATATCGCGCTCTATTTACTGATCTACTTTTTACAACATTTGGACTCATAGATGAGTCCATCTAAGTTCATCTATTTAAATTTATTAAATCATTCTATAAATTAAATTAAATTATTAGTTTTATATTTCTCCTGTAAAATTTACATTTTGTGACAATACACTTTTGCTCTAAAATACAGATATGTACTAAATAATTAGACGGTTTACAAATAAAAAAATCGCTAGTTTCAGGAGATGTAAAAGAACATATATAAACATTTTTTTATTTTATATACGGTATCAATACTTTTTTAAAACCTTTGTGAGTATTATTAACTAATCTTTAAATTATTTTCTAATTGAAATAAAAATGACTTGTGACCTCTTTCCTTATGAATAAAAATATAATTTTTGTGATAACCTGCGCGTCATATAACTAAGACCTATTCATAATAAAAAATAAATGTTAAGATTCTCTGAACTACACATGGGCTCTTAACAACTTATCATCTTATTTCATAATTTTCCAAAAAAATCCAAAACAAAACTAATTTAAAAATATTTTTAGTACAACTTTATATTTAATAGTTTAATTTAACATTTTTACAAAAATCTATTTAATATTTAGGGTTACAAAAATAAACTACTATACAAAGTGTATTAAAATGTATAGTTTTAAAAAAAAATACTTGTTATAAAAATATATACAAATTAAACAATAGTTTTTTTAAAAGTATAATATATTTTAATATTCCATTCTATCGTTTGAAAAATATTTTAAATGTTTTAATACAGCCACAGACCACAGTAATTAATTTTTCACTTTTTTTTTAGAATGTTATCAATACTGTAATATTAGATGATAGTGATGAAAAACTGCCAAGCTTTGCTGCAACAAATAACTCTGATAAAGATTCACCCCCTGAATCAAAGGTAAAAAAATTATTTTTTAACTATCTGAAAAATAATATAATACCACCTTATTATCACATTCCTATTAATAAATTGCTATTATGTCCTTAGGCTTCAGACACTTCTAAAGGCTTATCATCTAGTTCTGAAGAAGAAAAAGAATGTATAAAATCAATTGATCAGCCAACTGTTTCTACTAATGGAAAAACAAAAAGAAGACAGTCTTTTGATTCTGATAGCAACAGTTCTATAGTACCTATTAAAAGGAAAAGAATTATTACCGACAAACCAATGCAAGAACAAAAAGTGCACGCGCCAGAGTCTAAGCCAAGTTAGTATAAACCACTAGATTTATATGGTTGTACATTCTTTAAAATATTCACAAAGACTATTAATGTAACTTCGTGATTAGGTTGCTCAAAAGATACTCAATTGTCTTCATCTCCAATAGAACCTACACTTGAAAATAATGTAAGCACTGTCATTGAATCTGTGATAACCGCAGCATGTACTAAAGTACATACTACTAATCCATCATGTAAGTAATATTGTATATCATTAAAGATAAACCTTAAAATGTTTTGAAAATACTGTTAACATGATTTTGGTTGTTGTAATATTTTAGCAATCAACAATGATAAAGTTTTAGTAGAAATCATTGAGTCACTTAAGACTGAAGCTCAAATAGCAACTCAAATGAATCCTCCAAAAGAACTATTCTCTGATCAAATGAACCTTTTATTATTAAGGTGATTATAATAATAATGTAGTATAATATTTATTTGGTTTAATAAACTGTCAATCTTAATTCTAAATGTCCTTATCAATATTTTTAATTTATTAATAAGCATAATTTTATTTTAGTCTTGAATATCAAAAAGAGTTATTTCCTTTTGATGCCAATTCAATTTATGCAACGTTAGCTGAGCACATGTTGTGTGACAAAGAAAAACTTGTTAAACAAGTAATTAAGTTGGTTGATGGAGAAGAAGCAAAAATTTCTGATCTTGTTATTAGGTAAGATACAATAAAAGCATACAGTGGTGGTTCACTGTTATAGAACATGGGAAGACTTATCAATATATCCTAACCCTGTTGTTGATTGTTTATGTATTTCATACATACAACGACTAATAATAATAAAATAGATATTAACCACCTCAATGGGCTTGCACTTTCTGGTAACAATTCTCGTCCATCTCGGCTGTAAATAAAATTATATATAGGGTGATCCTAATTTTTTTAGAAAATTGAACATTCATCTGAAATTCTGATCCATATGTTAAGATAAACATGTTAAATGTGGAGGAATCTATAAAAAAGTTATCAATCTCAATTTTTTAAAAATTTTTATGTTAATTGTTTTTCTGTTTTTTTAGGTTAAAAAATGCCATTGATAAATTAATGCCGTCTGTAGTTGAACAACATAGTATTGATTGCCAAACAGTCATAGAACGAAGGTATGCTCTAGAAATGTTTTAAATTGGTGTTAAACTATTTATAAAATACAGTGCAATTTTGTCAAATATTTAGCCACTGTATTATTATATTATAATATCTTTGAAATAATTTCAGAAATGTGAATGGAACTCCAGTTGAAGGAATGAAATTAAAACCTGGTCCAAAACTTCCCCGTCGTAAATTTCCATGGAATGATGAATTTAGGTATTGCTTTTAATATTTATTATTAATTTACAATCAATTTAATAATAATGCATGGGAACTTACGAGTAATGAGTGCAGTGTTAATTTGTTTATCCTATACACGTGTATATATTTTTTTAATTCATTTTTATATTTAATGCTCAACCCTCTAATCCGGGGTGGGGGGGGGCCTTATAAGTAGAGCTGTTGAATAATATTATTAAATACATTTTTTTTTTAATGTTAAATTATTGTTAAATTTGAGAAAACATTTTTTTGTATGCGAGTAAACCATGGTTTTGGACTAGAACTTTATTCAGACCCTTGAATGTGCTACGCATATCAAACCTCATACTGTGCTTGTAAAATTATTTTATCAAAATTTAGACCAAATATGTTAAAATTGTTTATCTTAAATTTGTATGCCAAGTTCTGTTATTTTGTAAATTATACTATATTCCTATAATTAGACTCAATTTTTCCAGAAATTATCTACGAGAGATTATTAATGTACGAACAACTACATATTCAAAAATTAAAAGAATAGAATCTGTGGATGTTTATATTACAGCATTTTTAAATAGCAAAATAAAGCCATTGTGGCCAGCGGGATGGATGAAAGTCAATATTCTTTTAAAAGAAATTAAAGCCAAGGATTTTAGGTAAAATATTTTCACATATTTTTCTTTAAATTCAAAAATACTTTAAAACTATATTTAGACATTTTTTTAGGATAAAAACTACTAGAAAACAAGCATTACATAACAGTCCTACTAAACTGTTAAATGCTATCAAAATAGCTTCTGAACATAAAGTATCCCATTCAAGTATGACTAACAAAACACATAAGTGGTGTAAGCAGAAATCTAGTAAAGTTCAAGACTCGAGTAATGAGTCGAGTTCTGTAATAACTAGTCATACTACTACAGTTCCTGTCCCTACAACATCAACTCATAATTTTAAGCCCGTTCCGAGTTCGTCCATTTCAGTTCCCATAAGTACACCAAATAATGATGTGTGTCCATATAAAGCTACTATTACTACAACTTTAAATGGAAATACACAAAAAGAAACTGAGAGTAATAGTGTTATCGTAAAAACTAAACCACAAACTGGAGATATATTGGATTTGTCTCCAAATAAGGCCAGCACTATATCGTTTGTGTTAAATAACTTAAAAGATGTTTCAGTGATTAATAATAATTCACCTCAAGAGAAAAACGTCTCTGGAAAACCGGTAAGAATAAACCACATTTAATTGCACACTTACATAGTATTATATTTCTTGTTTTTTTTTTTTTTTATTACATTAAAATACAAAAAAATTCTAAATTAAAATTATTATTTATTTTCCACTTTTTAAGTTAATTGAATTGGTTACTGAATAGGAACAAGTTTGTACAAAATAAATTCAATTTTACTTATTTTTTTTGAATTAGTAGTATCTATGTTTAATAAAATGTATTTTATAAATGCTTTTTTTAAGTAAAGAATAATATTTTTTTTATAATATATTTATGTATATATTGGATAAAGTTTTATTTCTTGTTTTGTTTTTTTGCATGATAATAAATTAAAATGTTAAATTAACATTTAATATTATCATTAAACTAATATTGGGAACAACACGAGTCTTCGTTTGAAGGATTCTTAACAATTGTATATTCGGTTTTATTTTGCAAAAATATGATGTGGACATTTTTTTAAGCTGTACCTAATAAAGAAAAGCTTAAATCTATTCTATTGTTTAAACAATCGTAGTTAGAATACTATACAGATTATTAATTGCAAATAATAACAAAAAATGAAAGTTAATTTTAAGAAGTATCTATTAAATTTTAGAATATAATTAAAAACTTAAAAAATCTGTAATCATACGTACAATTTCTCCTAACAACACGTTTACAAACACACTTTATTGCCAGTTTTTTTCTATATTTTTTTCCACAACATAATTTTGCATCAAGGTGTATTTATTTTTTATTGATTTTATTATTCTGATTCATCCACTTTTTAAAAGGTTAATCCCCTCAACGCTTCTTTGCTAGATTGTTTTTTAGTTTACAAACGTAAGGGTTAAATTTTATATTGCTCTTTTGGGTTATTTTTGGGAAACTGTCTCATAGTTACAAATAAATAACTTTTAGAGACTGAAGCAAAAAAATAAAAATAAACTTCTAAATTATATACATGATGTATTCAGTAATACAATTTATTTATAATATAAAAGATATAAAAAAAGTATTTGATACTGACAAAAGTATTTAAATAGTCATCGTCATCATGTAGACCTTGAAAGCCCAACACTGCCATTATGCGACAGTTTCTTGACAAATTAAATATATTTAAATACTAGAACTATATTACCACTATATGCAGTTGTTAATTCATGGTTGAAAAAAAACTTGATACTTTGGATGCATGTTATTAATATGTTAAAAAAATTATGGGATGCTCAACCTCTTAGGCTTCACTGATTGTATTTAATTACAAATTTCAGTATTAAATTAAGTTACTAGTATCCTGATAACTATTTTATAAACTAATTTTAGGGATTCCAGAAAAAAAAAGTATTAATGTTAATATTGACATAATAAAGTGGCCAAAGTGGTTAGTATTTATTCTGGTCATGTTTCCAATTAATTTTGGTGTATATATAAATTTAAAAACTATAGAACTTCATTGAATCATAATTCAAATGACCTTTTATTTAAATATTTAACAAAAGGAATAGAAAGAAAAATCAATTTTAGAACCTCGAGACAATGATTTTATTTTCTACCAGGAATTGTAAAGTAATACCAATTATCTAAGTAGTAGTCTCTGTTACTGTTGATAAAATTTAAGATGGATATTGGGTGTAGGGTTGGGAATCGGCATAAGCCCTTTGTCAATCCTAACCTATCAAGGATATTGGGAAATGAATGTATACAAGTTAAATTAATAACTAGAAATATCTTTGACAGTGATTTAAATTTGAACACAAAAAAAGTATAGATTCATGCAGAATGTCCTTATTTTAAAATTAAACAAAATTTTATTTTTAATTTAGTTAGTATTATTTTTTAAAATTGTTTGCCCACATAAAATATAAGTTTTGTGACAAAAAAAAAAGTTAGTATTTTTTGCTGAATACAATAATCAGAACTAGTGGTTTTTAAAAAAATGTTTTAAAATAAATAAATATTTTTAATTTACATGGGAAAGCGTAGAAGCAATTAATTAATAATTTATTTAAAGAAGTGATTTGTATAGTAACTATTCATTTCTTATAAGCTATGCAATATAATTTGAGCTTATTACTATATATGTAAGTGTAGTATATTTATTAAATCTAGTTTGTTTGTTGTTTGGCCTCGCCTCACAATCCACATTTTATCCTCACAATCCTCTACTTTCTGGGAGGGTTAGAAATTGTAGGAAAACAATTAATATATTTAGTGACTTATCATTCACTTTATGAACATTGTAGGCTCTGTTTAGGGATTAAATGAGGCATTATAAATTCAATAAAATGTGTATGTTCGCCACGGTAAAGGGACAATGAAATATAAATAACCTAACCAAGGAGGTGCAAAAATCACTTGCTATATGGTACTTTATAATGTTACTAACTAGCACTTAAGAAAAAACTAGCACAGTAAACAGTGAATTTATTATGCAATTTAATTTTGGAAGAATGCTAACTCGTTTTTTTGTGTGGATGCTATACTACTGCATGCTTTGACACAAAATATGTGCTTATTAAATAAACAAAATAAATTCTTAATTAGAATTATGTATTTAATTGCATGTATTATTTATGCTCACTGGTTTAGTATTATTATTGTGAAGGTTCAAAATGTTTCACTCATGAGGAGTTTGAAGGTCGTCCGGTCCAAAATTTTTTCATTTAACCAAGAATTTAAATCATACCATTATAATAATATGCTTCTCTAAATGATTAAACCTTTTAAAATTTTAAACAAATTTAAATCAGAGGTTTATCTGTTTAGACAAACATTATTTTAATTTTTAATTAACTCCAAAAGTAATTTATATTTTTACTCTACTGTATTAGTACACATTATAAGTATGACTAAAATAAACAACAGTATGCTAAACCAATGATGTATTGAACAAAAGAAAATTTTTTAATTTTGCACGGAGGATATCATCTAATAATACAAAATTACCATAGAGGTTGATTGATATTAGTTTGAAAAAAAGTCAACCATTTTGAAACTAATACAATTCTCTGTATAAAAACGCTTTGGTTTGAGCTAATTAGTACGCTTAAATTACTTGGAAAATTATGAGTTAATTTTAATTATAAAAAAATCAATAAACAATGTAAAACCAGTATCAAATATCTGCCATAAAAATCAAATATGAATATGTCTTGGTTCTGTAATAAATGTTTCCCGCTTAAACAATTTTATTCTAAATTAAAAGCATCGAAAATGACTCTCATCTACACTGCATGTACTAATACAACAAGTACCTATCTAAAAATGACTTGTATCTTATTATTTACTTTTAAGTTAATTAATTTGATTAAATTAAATTATAATGAAAAATATAAACTACATATTTTTCTAAGCCTCAAGTATTAGAATATAAGATATTTCATATTTAGGCGGAAGTGAGTTAGCGTTCACTGGTGCTACACTCGACAGAATACAATTTTCTTTTATTTAAAGATTTGCATGACAATTGTTCATAATAAATAATAGGGTTTAATTCATTGAAAATGTATTATTATCTATATGTTTACTTGTAAACAAATACTTACTTGAATATATATGTTACTTATTCATCTTAATACAAAGTTAAAAGTAAGTATGTCTTTGGCTGAAATAGTATACATTGTAAAATTTAAATATAATTTGATAGGAACATATAGTAATTAATTATAAAATGTGTCCTGTAACAAACTAGTTGGACAAAACCAATGATTTAATTTAAAGTTCTCCCAGTCATGCAAAAAAAATATTTTCTTTGAAAGTTCTAACTGGTGCTAAAGTATGTTACATATAAATCAAATGACTTTTCAGGTTAATCAAATATGTATGAGTTTACTAAATAATTCCACCAATGTAGTAACTATATATTTCCTAATTTCAAATCACATTTTAACATTGTTAAATGAACATGTTGTAGTTTTCGCTTATAGTAATTGTCATTCATCATAATATTACATTTATAATTTACATATTACATTAAAATATATATATTGGTACTGCTCTTTTTAAACTCTTAAACCTAATTTTAGTTTCAATTGTAGTCCATACTGTTTAAAGTTAAGTAAGGCATGTGCCTTACTTAACTTTTCTTTGATCAAGTTAATGTTCAATGCATTAGCATTAACTACTTAAAAATGTATTTTTACTCAAATATACAGATAAAAAAAAACCAATGCACACTAAATCATTTTTTATTTTTAGTAAAAAAAAATCTTGTGAACACATTTATAATGAAGTTAATTATATATATATATATATATATATAAACATATATATTTTATTGTAATGCTGTATGAAGGGTATCCAAAAAGTAAAATATTCACAGCTGGATATAATCTATTTTTCACTTATTCGCTGTTATTTAAGTTCTCCAGAAGTTTTCCTAGGTAGGGTGATTGCTATGGTTTTATGGGACACTCAAAGGGTGCTTATCATTTCCGTCGACCACACAACTATTAATACTGCTCATTCGGTGTTTTTCGACCAGCGCAGGAAAGGGAAAATAACGGCGATTATTTGCAAAAATAGTTTTGGTGCATTTTTTTATTTTGTTCTGGCAGAGGGAAACTTATTTTTTGAATACCCCTGGTATGTATACCAACTATATAGAAGTTAGAACTAACTCTGCAGGTGTTGTTGAAGCCTAGGTTATTTAAAAAATGATATTTTGATTTTACAAAAGGATCCTATTCTAATAAGTGCCCACAATAACTTCTTATAGTCATTGTAAGCACTTATTCAATATGAATCATCCTAATACCTACATATGTATTCAATAAGTACTCTTCCTCTCTGTATTTAATTAATTAATCCACTTATAATATTGAATAACTGTTGGACCTGTTGCAGGACTTGCAGTGTAGCCCAAAACAATCACCTGTTAGTGTAGTTAATCATTCAATGTCGCGTAAACAAAGATTACTTCAAGAGTTTCATAATGTTCCTCTATCTGATCAACAAAGTTCATTGCCTAATAGTTCTCCATTAGAAAGGCATTGTTCAAAAGCAAAAGTTAGTTAGCAATGTGCTTGTAGTCAAATCCAATAAAATATACTATTAATATTACTATTATTTTTTAAAGAATGAAATAGTGGTATCGTCGTCAAACAAATTAGATAGTCCAAAAGTTGACATAAAGCCTACAGCTAAGGATATTTTGAGCCAAATGATTAATGATTCTCTTAAAGACAACACAACGCCATTGCAGTCTCAATTGACAACGCCATTTTATAAACCTGTACTATAACAGCATATATTATATATATTTAGTGCAGCGTTAAAATAAAAGTATAATCAATGTAAAATCATTTATTTGCAGAGAGAAGAATCAAAGTCACCTGCTTCAGTGCCAATAAAAGTTGAATATCAAGAATCTTTGCTAAGTGATCGAAGTTCAACTAAAACCCCGTTCAATAACAACCGGGCTTCAAGCACTGAATTAGTTGAGAAGCAAGCACAAGACATGATTAAAGAATTATTAGTATTAAACCAACTATCTTCAGGATCATCTTGTTCATCGCGAACCACTAGAGAAGAGGATGTTTTTAAAAAGCACTCGCCTTCAATTACTATGTACTCATCAGCCCATAATTTTGATTCAGTGGTAAATACATCATTAGGAGTCATTCATCACCCCAGCTATAAAAATACATATAACACAGTATGTGTAGAAAACTGTTATAAATGTTATTTATAGTTGTAATTTTAATTGATAATAATACTTTCATTTGAATGAATAATGATAATAAAACATTCATTTGAATTTAGACCGTTAGCAGTTTTGGAAAGGCAACGACTGATTTAACAAAAGATACTTCATCAATTGGTATACCAAAAATGAGTTTTGGATTTCATGATGTAATTCACAAACACATGGTGAAAACTGAAGAAACAAATTCACTTTCAACATCGGATAAATATCAGTAATTAGTATATTACGATTGTATTTAAACCGTGTGCTCCTGAGGATTTTTGTCATATTGTAATTTTTCTGTGTGAAGATATAAAAATTCAGTTAGTTTTAAACAAATGTTCTATTCACACACTACAACTACTATTGTTTTTTAATTGTTAATTGTTTTTAAAGTTGAAATTAAATAGTTTTCTAACGCTGGTTTATAGATAACAATGATTGATTAATAATAAATTCTTTAACAAAATGGTATAAATACTTTCACAGAATAAATACTGAAATTTTTTTTTATAGAAATGGCTGAGAAAACAAAATTAAAATGTTTATTTTATTTAAGGAAAATTGCAATGAGTAAATTCTAATGGAATATATTAAGTTCTAAGCTATACAGGTAAAAATAATACAAATTTTTTTTCACAGAAAACATGGTGTTGAGCGCTACAGTATATTACCAAATAGTCCTGCAACTCTTGATGTAAATACATTTTATTTAATTGTAAATTTTGTAAATGGTTTAACAATAAAATGTTGTATGTACCAATTTTCTTTACATTTTGATTACTTATACGAATTTGCCAGGCTAAAATCATTCTATATTAGATTATACAGTAAACATGTTTTGTACTTATACAACATTTTTAAATGAAGCCATTAATGTACTACCATGTAGTATAATAATTGTTGTAATTATTAACATTGTTTACATAATTCCAGAAACTCTCATATCAACAATTCTATTCTTCATTAAATAAAAAACCAAATTCTGACATGAGCCATAACTCTTTCAAATACAGCAGTAAGTTATACAATTAATAAACACAAAATTCATTATTATAATGATAGTATTTGTAATCTTAAATAATTATGTTTTTTTTAGATAATAATAAATAAATTTAATCAGAGCAGATTGTGCATTTTTCCGAAATAATATTAGAAGAGAAGTTCATATTATTGCTTAAAATATTTTTGTTTTGAGAGCTATATTGTATCTAAATTCGATATAACATTATAGTAAAGACTGTATGAAGTGTTTTTTTGTAGTTTTATCAACTTTTCTTAACTCAAACAATAGATATTATTTTAAAACTGTTATTATTTATTTATATTATTATATTATTAGTATTACTTTAAATTATAGTATTACAATTTTAGATGTTAAACTCTACTACTAATGTAAATAAATAAATTATTTGTAAATAAGAAGTAATGTATAGGTTTTAATAATAAATAGAAAATAGTAATATTTTTTACATATAAAATAAAATAGTGCATTTTTTAAATTCCTTATGAACATTCCATTAAAAGAAACATACCTGCCGGCTACAACTAATGTTATTACTATGGGACTAGTCAAATCAATAATTAATTACTTAATTTAGATGATAATTTTATATTCATTTAAATTTTGATTAAATTTACAATTTGAAGTTGGGTTTCTTTATTGTCAGTTTTCATACAAAATTATAGTATTTTTTTTTGCCGATTACTGCAGACTCTTACTGAATATTGGGGATTATCATTATGCAAGTATGTAAAACAGCTGCAACATCCCGCCACAACACATTGCGGCGATCAGAGATTTACTTTTTAAAGGTAAGGGCAAATAATAATAATGATCATGGTAAAACTTGTATTAAACATTTTTGACATATTAATAACACAAATAATTATTACAATACAACTTCAAGAAAATTAACAGCTGTGGTTCATTATTACAATACAATACATTTAAAAACAAACCCGTTATACATTATAGTAGGTAATCGACACTGATTTAAGCAGGGAGTCTAATGAATACCTGAATCTGAAGTTAAATATGCTTCATTAATTAGATTGGTATGTTGGTTTCTTTTATAATAATAATAAAACAATTTAAATAATAAATTAATTATAACTAAAAAAAAAAGTTAAGTATCATGGCAACAAAATACTTTTTAGGTAGAGTATGTTTTAAATACAAAAATCAAATAATTCTTAAATGTAATTTCAATTACCTACATGGAACTCTACATACCATTACCATATACATAATTTATAATTTAACGGAATTATTTTAAGATAATGCAAATATGATAAGCATTAAAGCACGGTAACCATTGACCTCATATTAGGTATTCGGTCATAGGTTTCCAGATCATGGCAAGTTTTCAAGTTACCACTGTGGTCATGACGGTTAATGCCCTCGTAGTCCTTTTTTTTTTGCCAGGTAACAAGACGTTATAACCAAGTTTTAAAATTTGAAATATATTACTGTATGGGCGGCTGGGAACCTCTGGCCGTGGAAACTTATGGACTATGACGATATGTTCTTACCCTTATACTAAAAGACAGAGCATGCTGTGCATGCATGTAGTTTTAGTGGGCAATCGCGCGAGCGCTGTTCATCTTGCACGTGCGCATTCCAATTCCCAGTTTGCTAATATATCTATATAATATATAATTCATTTTTATTAATGGTTTTTTACTTTAATATTAATCACGTTTTTGGTATCAACCGTTTAAAAATTGATCATTAGAAAATTATTTATTAAAGATATGTGATGGTATGTGTCTATTGATGTAAATATGAACAATATTATAAATGATGAATTATTTTTTTTTTATAACTACAAAAATAATTACTTAAAGAGTTAAAGCGTAGATTAAATATTAAATATAGTATGGTTTTTTTTGTTATATGTAATAATATATTTTTTTATTTCCCCTGTTGTCTTTCTCCAACTCACGCAACCCCACCTATTCTTTGGTTTGAAATCAGCTTGAATGAGGTTTTCAAATCCCGATATGGATTACCTATATTGCTCCTAAAATCTTCTAGAGCAATTAAGTATCAAAACATTTTGAATGTATTTAAATATATGATATACGCATGCCTGAAATCTTAATAACTGGCATCCGAGATTTCAGCGATGCGGCGTAAGCCATCCACATTCCGCAGTAGGTAAGTTTGGCTAGGTCAGTGGCCTTATAGTTTTAAGAACGCACTAGGTTAAGACAACAGTTGTTGTAGAATTATTAGGCATTTACGTCAGATTTTATCAGTAGCGTAACTTTCAAAATGGGAAAGACGAGTTTTCAAAAACGATCATAATTTTTTTAACAATGGTTGTATTTTTTATTACATTTTTTTAATTGGTATCCTATTTTGTAAAATGTTATGTTAAATTTCAAGCTTAGCGTTAGATTGCTGGCTTTATTTATATTTATAACTTATAACTTATAAGCCTTCTCTCAAAACTTGCAGTGGTAAAATGGGGTTGGGAATAGGGACCGACAACGTCTGTGTGCGTACTGCATAGAACACTCAGCTGCAGTGAACATCAGCTCAAGTTATTATTCTTATAAGAAAACTGAAAAACTTCAAAAATGTAAATTTACATTTTTATGAGTTTTAAAAGTCGATATTATATTTTGCCGTTATCACCAAGATACACAACAATTATATAAAACAATTTGTCTTTCAACAATTGCGTTTTTATTAATATTTTAGCGTTTAAGATTGGAACTTATTTTATCAAAGGGAGTACTGCCCCACTCTTTGTCTTCCGAGTACCAATATAATGTCATTTGGCATTTAGTGTTAAAAATAATTACATTATATCGAATAGGTAGTTGTTGTTTCGATTGAATACCCGAATACAAATTATTTTCATAAACCATAACAAAATAAATTAAATATTATATAATTTAATTTATAATAAAAGCTAGCACATTGGGGTTTCATGAAGAAATTCGTTCAGAAATTTAGGAGATATCGCAGGTCCAGACACGAAAACAAAAACACAAATTTGTAAAAACAATACTTTCTCTGTTCCACATAAAATTAAAATAGCTTATTGTACCTAACTTATTGTACCTACATTGGCAGCAATAATGTACAAGTACAACTTATAACTAAAGAACAATGTAAAACATTAAGTACAACTAACGATTTATCGATCACGCAATAACTCTCCTTATTTGCACGCAAATAGATCTGCTTGCGCACTTTGAATTGAAAATCTCAGTTATTTACAATAACACTCACGGGTATTTTTATGCAAGTTATACATGACATTATAATCAAGGGAAAGTAAAATTTGCAAACATTTGAGCAATTTGCATTTGTTACCTAATAGTATCTGTAAACTAAACCGTGAGATAATTCTAGTCACTTTTGTATTATATTTTGAAATTTTTGTTTTACCGTCTTCAATGGAATACAATCATACTATGTTTATGGGTACTAAACTTATTGCAACAAGATATACTGACTTGAAATAGGATGTATTAATTATTATTTTTAAACTGTGTTTGTTTATAAGCTATAATTTTAAAATATTCCCATAAATTATAAATTATAAATTATTTAAGTGATGTATGTTATGTATTATTAAGCAAGTAATTGTTCCCAAATTTAGACGTGGCTATTGGCTAGCTATTCATTAGATTCAACAGACAACAGTAAAAAAAAAAATGATATATCAATGCATTGATTAATTAATGTAAATTTAAATATTTATTATCTACAGGATAACTGTTTTGTAAACACAAACGTTTCGAGTGTTAATATAATTTATTGGTAACCAAATAAATAGTATTACGTTTTTAATTAATCGTCCGTCAGCTGCAAAATTTCAATGCACATACTTTTAGCTATTGTATAGCTGTTATGGTAATTATTTTAACACCCTAATTATTTGTAAGCCATTAGTAAATAGTAACAAAAACACGTTGACTATTACATTTTTTTTATAAATATATATTAATTATGTTTATGCACCAAATATTCATTCATAAAAAAACTGACAAGAAGATACGCGAGAGCTACAGATTTAAATGATTACACAGGTATAGTGTGCCGTTTTTTCTTTTTGTATTTGCACGTTTGTCGGCAGCTAAGACTCATGTCAGCGAACCTGTGCATATTTACGGTGTACGTGTACCCGTGTGGTACTCGATGACGATATTTTTTAGCGTTGAATATTAGCATAAAAAAATTAATTTTTATTTTTATTATGCTTGAGTCTTGACTGTATAATGTATTATAGCGGCCGTTTAGCGCTACCCGAGTACCGAAACGTCAGCTTCGCCGTCGTTGGTGGGAATGGTGGACAACACCACGTGAGCCACCGAAAGACCAACAGCCGTGCGTGTATGCCAAAGAGACTGAATTGGGGTAGGGCTGCTGTTGCTATATTATACCGTATGACCATGAGTTTTGGTATGGTGGAAGGCGGCGTGGAAAGATAATCCAACGTGTGCCGTGCTCCGAAGCAGTCGCCGCGCGGCAGTCTTGTCTGCGATTTCGGCCGTGCATCTCTCTGCGGTCCTTTTTACATTTTTTTTTATCGCTTACTCGTTTTTTTTAAACTTTTTTTTTTTATTATTTATAGTTGCTAATTTATTATGAATGTATATATATTTATTAAAGCTTTATGAATTTATTTACTCGCCACGTTTAAATTTAAAAAATAATACATGACCGTCAAAACGGCTACGACACGCAACAATGGATAACGTGAAAAATATCTACTCGCTTTACCGTTACAATTTAACATATTAATAATATCTATCTTGCACACTCGACCAAAGCCGACGATTTTATTCGATCGTACGAATTACATACCAGACTTACAGACGAGTCCGAGGTTAGTATTGTAATAATTAGGCATTTACACACTCACTGCGGTCACTAAGCAATCACTAATCACTAATGTAAAATTCTCTGTAGCTTGTAGTGCTACCCTATATTATAACTATATTGTACTACTTTGGATTTAGGAGTTGGACAGATTTTTTTATAATTGGTGATTTCCTTATCCTCAAAGGGCTTATAATAATAATTCGGGTGAATGAATTGTGGATTTCGGGTATTCATTTTATTGTAACAAAACGGATGCGGGAGTTTATGTCTGTGTGTGGTATAATCTGGATATCGGCAGACAAACCGGCGTTTTAAATTATAATCTGGCATTTGAAAATCGTCTGGCTCCCTCCGCTATGCTCGCACAAGGCCGGTATCTCGTTCACCCCAATGTGTAATAATATAATACAAGCAATTAAAGTGGCCTGCAACCCATTAACGGACCGTCGAACTATGCAGCGTGCACGGTCACCACGGCATGAATCGATACAACACTATATTATACACGTTTTGAATGCTGTAAGACTGACTTGCATACACACACACACACACACACACACCACGTGCAGTGTTTTATGGGTATAACAATGTATGCATAACGTTTGAAGAGCACACTGTAAAATAATGCATTTTCCGACCGAAATAGGTTGTTTTGTGCATTGTGCGGGCGGCAGGAACCGAGACCGAAAAGTTTGTACGGTGTCTCGGTACAGGGGGTGGCAAATCGATTGCGCTAAATGCAATGCGCAAAAATTGCCCGTACCAATCCAGGTTTGGCCAACGCCGGGGCCGCCGAGAATGTCGATAAACCGCTACGCTTTTACTACACACTAGGTACCTGGTACACGCTACACCCTATAGTTTACTGTAGACCTACTGTCTAACGCGTGCGGGTTATATATACATCCGCGTTAGCCTTTTAAAAAATTTGTTTCTCGTTAAAAAACAATAAAAACGATGGGGTCGGAATAGTCTATACACTTCCTAAAAATTGTTCAAGCACACCCAAAAACGCAACTTCCTAGCTCCGAGACATCTTTTTTAACCTAACTGTTTGGACCTTAGACTCCCCTAGAATATCCAGGCTATATTTTGTGCTTATACATATCAATCTAAACATGTATACAATATACATCAATAAAAACGAAATTTCTCGACGTCTACTCGGTAAAGATTACATTTTAACGATTAATCCAACGGCTATGTAATATGTTGAAGTTAAACGAAAAAGAAAGAAAACTAATGCTATGACTAACGATTGATAGTTTTATGGACGTTAAACCGCTACTGTCGCATGTGTTGTGAGAGATAAGATAGGGTGTGTTCGGCCTTTGTGTAAAATTACTTATCTTTAACGATTCCGTATTGCTTTTTAACGCGGAAGCTAAATATTAGAAAGACCGCTAGCTCATCCGTTTCTGTTATCAGTTTGTTTATCTTTGTATGACAATATTATATACTATTTACTAAGTGCAGTTATTGAATTATGTTATTAGACCTTTTATTTGATTTTTATTTTCTATAGTAATCTTAAAAATTCACAACACAATCTATATTTGCCTTAATTGAATTCTAAATGTAGTTATTCGTATGGTATAACAAAGTAGCAACAAAATATTTAACATAATATGACATATACAAAATTGAGAATTACATTTAAAAATTTAAATAATTATAAAAATGATTTCAGTATAATTTAAAGATTAAGGATTAATACTTCTATTTTGAATTCAGACATCATCGAACAGCGTCTCCTTCAGATTAAGAATAAGCTGTGCAATTCAAAATAACAAAAGGGATTAAAAGTAATTTTTTGGAACCTCTAATACAGTGGACAAAATTCTATACACAATTAAAATACTCGTCTTTATGGATATTAGATCCGTGTCATCTATATTTAGTTAGGGAGTTTGAAACTGTCGACTCTTTTTCAATTAGGTTAGGAAAGTACACAAAAAAAATTAGCCCGAATGAGAACGGGATAACATTTTTTCGAGTAATTCTGAAAAATGGAAAGTGATATTTTAGTATTTAAGGCTTAAATAAATTTGAAAATGGTACCCTCAAATTCTTGATTTAAGCACTGCTATTTTAATTGTTAGAATTTGAGTGATATTTTTAAAAACAAATCATTTTTTTTTTGTTATAGGTAATATGTTATTATTCTAACTTTAGTTAAAATATATTTTAAATTATTTAAAGTGATGTGGCCATGTACTCTGAAAAGGTAAAAATTATCATAATGTATATTGGTAATGTTTTTTTTTTTTAAAGTGTTTCATGTAAATACAATTTATTATTTTCTGTATTCAATAAAAATGTTGTAACATCGCATAATATACCAGCATCATTATTAGAAGCACGTTAATATACGCAGTAGGTAATTCTGCGTTCTGTATAATAGTTGTTTGGAATTATGACACTATACAAAAGTAAAATCTTCCCGCAAAGCATAAATAACCTGCCTAATTTGGTGATGGTCCGTTATAAAATAGTAACGTGGGTGACTAGATAATATACTACTATGCACCACACGTGTGTTTTTCGTTTTGGCTTCACAATCTGCTTGTGTACGTTTCTCTTACATTGTCGTTCCTGTAAAATGTATTAAATAACAAAAACAATACTTTTGTATTTTTGCGTTTATATTTTCATAAATAGTTTGGTTCATAATCATAATCATAATTTTGATACCTAAAGCAGTATAAATAATTATATGATGTTCAATGTTTACTTCGATAGTGTTTCGTGATTACATAATGCGTTGTAAGTTTGATCACAGGATGTAGGTAATACATGATCTTTGGTGTTGTACATAGTTTTAATATGTTTATAGTTTCGAAATTATTATAAATATAAATAAATGCTGTGCCGGTTAATTTTAATCATTCAATACAGCTCAATTGAAAAACTAGCATTATAATTAATATAAGTGTGCTTTGCCTTTTTTGGCAAAGTAAAATAATTATTAATATTATAATAATCCTTTAAAACATGCACATCGTATCATTATTTTACAACTCATAAGTTGCTGTAGTCACGAAATAGGTAAATGGAGGAATTAAGAAATGTGTTATTATGTCATAGGTCAATCATGACGAATGTATTTAAGTAAGTAAAATTAAGTTTTTGCATTAGATAAACGCAAACCGCATAAGTAATCATTTTTGTTTATTAATTAAAAAAAACTATACACATAACTACAATAATAAATATTTATAAACAATAAATATCAATGAAAAACAATATATTAGCTTCATAATATCTTTCGGTATTAAACAACAAATCAATTTATATAAACTATAAATAAATTGGTTATTGGAATAGGGGTTTTTATACAGAAATTAATTATTCTTAAACTGTTTCAAAATACATTATTTAATTAAAATTAAATATTTCTTTGCAGCTAGTACCTATACATTTTCATGATTTAATAAAATCGTTTTTAAGTCTATATTTCATATTCTTGTAAATGACAATATTTTTATTTGTAAAAAAAATGTGATCACAATAATTACAAAAAAAACCTCTTTAAGCTTAGTGCCCGGTGACAACAATGGTATTCAGGTGCTTGAACTCGGCATAACGAATTATCCGTGATAATCAAAATTTTGTAGCACAGTCGCATTGCTTTTAATGAATAATGAAATAACAATATTAGTGAAAAGGTTTCTAACCTTTTTTTTTAAAATATTTTTTATATTATGTACAACAATGGGCAATAAAGGAAAATAACATGAACGGAAAACATCGTGAAATCGGAAGACTATGATAATACACAATGCAATTTTTATTTAGATTTTGTAATAAAGTAAAGTCGAGAGGTCTTAGTTTTTTTTTAAAAATATTATATTATGCAACCGCATATATTAATTCATTAGGTATATCAAATGATGTAACACTTGTCCGATTTAGGAAACTGATGTTATTTGACTTCTGTAGTTAACGTTTTTCCAATTAATATTAATTAGTGTTTATTTTGGTTTAGCGATGATAATTTATTATTTTTGACATGAATACATTCACGCACACATATTTTGAATTAATTTTAGAATCAAGTTTTTTTCATAAAACTGTATGTCCAATGCATTATAGGTACTGCCAAGGACACTTCATATTTGAAGGTTCTGAATAGGTAGTTGTTTAATAAGACACGCTATTGGCATGTGGAAATTAATTAAAATGACTAGCTGTAACAACGTTTATCTAGTAATATGTAATGTTTTAGCATAATATATAGTATATTTTTTTAAGTTTTAACATTCCTGTTTTTGATACGTTTTCTGTGTGGTTTGGTTAAAAATATTTGTTTTGTTGCAGATGGCGTTACTGGAGTCACGGTCTTTTCGACCGTTCAAGTCGAGTGAAGAATACCTGTACGCCATGAAAGAAGATTTGGCTGAATGGCTAAACGGTTTATATCCTGAACTTTACATAAACGTGAACAATTTCATGGATAGACTAGATACCGGTGTTGCTCTTTGCAAGGTAATTTTAATTGGATTTTTTTTTCTAGTCAATTACTTTTGTAAACTAATTTGATACAATTGAATTGAATTTTGTTAATTTTTTTCCTCATAACAATACTATTTTGGTATAACAAAACAAAAAGTTACTGTGGGCTATTTACTTTAAAATGAATTATTACGTTAGGTTACTTGTATAAAATATAACTTGTTTTATTAAGACTTGGCAATGAAACGTATCTTACGGTGTTTGAGGTTTTAAAATTACTCAGGAAGATTCCATTCGAAAAGGTCATTATTTCTGTCCAAGTAAATGTATTTTTAAACTATGACATTCCTTTTTTGTTGCACCGAGTATGGTGTAGATTGAATTGGGCATTATAGATAAGTACTCGGTCCAGTACGGTAATGCAAAATAATCACTCGACTATTTTCATTTAATAAAATATTAGTAAAAAAAATAGGTATGAAATGTAGTGTGGTTTCATGTATTTTTGTTTGATACCATTATAATGTTCCATTTTTACGCGAAACGCTTTCACTTTTCGTTTTAGATAGATTGCATTTTGGCAAACAATGTCATAGTCTATGTATAAAAACAATGATAACATACTTAAGTAACCTATTTATATGACATCCTTGATCCTGGTTATGTCGTGGAAAACATTATGTTCAAGAATTTTATAAAATATATTTTGTATAACAAAACAATTATTATAATTAAGGCTTAAATGATCCGTACAGTAATTTCGATTTATATCATCAAATGTATTTTGAAGCTGTTTGGTGGATACTATGGACTGTCTATCTATGTAGATTTCTATTTTACTTTATTAATTTTATTTCCGTTTTTATATCTATTTTGTTTTAAAAAATTGTTTTTATACAAGTATTGGATTCAAGAAGCATGTTTATAATTTTAAATAATCAAATACATAGTATCATCAAAATTATTAGCAAAACTAAAAATACATGGTATAAAAGTAAATAGTTACTTACATAATAAATTAATATTTTACGTATAATTATTTGAGTATTAATAATTCTAATAATATATCCGGGATGGTATTTTATTTACCGTCAGTATGATTTGGAAAATCTATTTTATAATAATATATTTTTTTAATAATACGAATGTACCAAGATAGGTATTTGTATTACTTATTTTATACTTACCTGTAGCAAATATTACATGACTCATTGTTTTAGATAACATGACCTAACCTTATTAACATGCATTTATATTAAAGTTCAAGCATTCACTTAAATGTTTTAAAATGCATTTCAAGGTTCTATCATGTTGTTATTTCCAATGAGTTCATACTTAAGTAATGAGTTTTTATCGTTGAAAGACAGATATACTTTTGGGCAATATAGTTGATAATAATAGTATCTTGTTGACAACTATGTAAATAAAATAATCCTTGTAACGCGCAAATATATACATTCTTTAGAGTTAAGCGCACGATGTGAGAAGTTACTGGTTGTTTTAAAGACTAAGGGTTGTTTCAAATATTAAAAAGAAAATCTATTAGCTTAAGACCAAACTAAGTAAATAAAAAACAGACAGTACAGTGGGGTGGGGACATAGTGAGGATAGCTACAGATCTTCAGGAATTATGTTAACTATTACAATTGAATGTGAAAAAATCACTTTTAAATAAATGCTCCGATGCAAATCCGTAGATGGTAGAAATACAATTATTATCGATAAAATAGTGACAATAATGAGTTTAAAATTATATATTTAGTAGTTTAGTGGATACGATTAAAGTTGATCGTTTGCTTATAATATGTTGTCGATGCATTGTAATTTACAATATAATTAAAATATATTTTTAATTTTCTATGGCCAAAGTGTAAATTTTCTCCTTTTTCAGTTTTTCCTTTATTGTCTTTTTATATGTTATAGACTTACTCTAGATTTAACTTCAGTATAATTTTCAGATCTTAAGCCCCAAAAAGCTAAACAACGAAAAAGTTTCCACCCCTTCTAGGGAAAAGGGTTTTTGATATTTTCTCGGTTTTTCCGTGTATATTTTAATACTATGCCTTAAAAATTTGGAACTAATTCGGCTATTTTAAAAAAACTTTTTGGAGTCTGTAAGGGTAGATAAAATCCAACAAACCTATAGTAAATTAGTTGTTTGTAAAGTTATAATATTATGTTCCATGTGCCAACTGCCATTTCTGTAATTTGTAAGTGCACTTGTATTATTACCAAAAGGCTCAACTCGTATAATAAAATAAAATAATAATAATACTATAATACAATATTTAGAACATCAGATTGGGGGATTTAATATGTTTTGTTCTTTGACCAATTAACTTGGATAATTATACAAAATCACAACCGTTCCATCGAGTTTCATAATCTTTTTAATGGTTGTTTATCATAAATATTCATTATTAATATAAAATAAAAATTGCCTATGTTTACAATATGTAATCTCGATATAATAATAATAAATGGATCATTACGCGATGACTACTATACATTTTATCATATTTCTAATATCTAATACAATGTCTAGAAATCGTTTTCAAGCAATTACTGTTCTGTTCGTCGTTATTTAAACGATAATATTTAGTCTTGAGTGGGATTGTTTTAAGGAAATGGAGGAAACATCCATTAATGGTATTCAGTGTTCTTTGTACTCATTAGATCTTGTAGTGTACACAAATCAGTCATAAAATAAGAGCGTCGTACTGATACTTATATAGTTTTGCTTATGTGTCCCACGTTATTGCAACTCGTATCTCGTGTAGTCATCAGTGCCGTTCAATTTCTTTAGATTTTCGTACTTTTATTTTCATAGATACTATTATTATCTTAAATGCTCCTTTATTTTTTTACCGAACAACAAGAGTATGTACAGGAGTTTCTATTCCGCATACCGCTGTACAATATTGTATGGCGTATATGATTTGTAGCACGATTTTCTCTTTCCTGTAGGAAATCACGTACAACGTGCTCCGTCTATTTATTGATGGTGTTCATTATATGTACAGGCGCGTCTTTAGATTGTTGTCATAGTGGGTGGGGGGCCGGGGGGTCACCAACTTCACAAAACAATTATAATTGATCAGTGTGATAATATGTGTATATGAAGTAATAGTAATGACTCGCATATATTATAATAAAATATTAAAAAACACCCTTCACCGCAGAATATAGCGCAAATTTTAGAAGTAGTTCAGTCTGTTGTGATAGCATTGCTATCGAAACAAGCGTGTACGTTACAGATTACTACTAAAAGGTGGATTTTTTTTTTTTTGTAGTGAAAGGTGTTTTTTAATATTTTGTTATTTTATTACTTAGTTGTTACCACAAACTCTAAAATACATAAAACAGTCATTAGAGGCGGGAGCTTCTAAGCGAAGTAAAGACCAGTTTTATAAATATATTTTTACGATAAAAAAATTCACGCTTTGATACATTAATAATTGATTAATGTTCAAAAAGTCTATAAAACATAAAACCCATATCATAAAAAAACGAAAAAGCCTATAATCTGGGATAAATGGGTCGTTTATGTGTTAAAAAATAATAAGGAATAATCTTGTTTTTTTTTTGTACGAATGACACAAAGTCATTACTCCATAAGTAAGGCTTATGCAATGTGTCCATTTCATAACTATTGAGTATTACTATTATCATTAGTTACTAAAAATATGACTTTTATTTTTGAGCTCTTCCTTAGGAAAAGTTAAGAGTACTCGTCGTATACAATATTTAATTTTTTTTCTTTGATTAAATTTCTGAATTTATCCAACAATTTTTTTAGTCGAATGTGATTTTTAGCTGCAATGTAGGTAGTAACTATACAATATGTGGGGCCCGGTGCACTTTTTCGTGACTAAAATTGATAACATTAGCATAGATATATACATTAATGATAGTCGCCAAACAGTGTTTCAACGCAATTATCCTCATTTCACTCTACAACGGTTGCCTTTCCCCTATTCTACCTACCTTAGATAGTTTATTGCTCTATCGCGGCCACAAATGCGTGCGACATCATGTAACTTTAATGCACTTATGCATAATAATATAGTAAATGTTATTTTTTCTTAAATTAACAACTACTAACAAGATTGGTCAATCGACAAATTGATAGCGGTCGCGGCGAACATATTATGCGACTTAGGCACTCCTATGGTTGATCTGATAACGGTGATTTATGGTAAACAACACTGGATTACAACTTTTACATGCAAGATATAAGATGCTATGGTAACTAGTATATCTTTTTTTTTTTGTACTTACTTTATCGTTACCTGTTATGTGTAATTTTAAAACGCGCAACAAACAATGTAAAAAGCGTAAAACGCATTTCATTAACAGTAACGCGTAATAATTCTTCAAGTTCAAGTGGTTCGTTTGTATGTATTTCCCATGGTTATATAATGCAATTTTTCTTTCAGAGCATGACCGAACTCCGGAAACGCTGCCGGAGTAGGTATGACGTCCGTTTCGTCTATGAGATTTTCGTAATGAAAATAACAATTATAATTATTATTATTATTATTTTAACACTTAAATCGAATGCGGCGCGAGTCAATTATTTTTGACCTTTGCGGGAAGTAGAGAACAAAAAATCTATTACACACGTCGGGTTCGTCGTCTTCGCCATAACTGTACACGCGATAATATTTCTATTATTATTATCATTACCACCTGCTGGAGCCTGTATTTATATAATGGATAGGAGTAGACGTGTAATTATCGGCATGTATGTTTAGTTTTTCGTTAAACTATACCGCAGAACTACTGCAAGTCGCCGCGTTCCTGATTTACTGCTAGGTAGGTACGTGTGGTTTGTTTTTCACGGGTATAGACTTGGCGTTTACTACAGGAACGCTATTATGGGTATACCAAATGTAAGAAATTGTTTAACGGTATCGAAACGACACACAGACGTCTGCGGTGTGATGTGCAAGCGTTAAACCTGTGAGATTTCCCGGCAGATTTGCGGACCGAAGCAAAATCAAACGACCCGGCCGTCCGGTTAGTAGGTCAGGCCGATCCGGGATGAGTGGCGATTATTGATAATGCCGCACCGACAGGCTTTTCAATAATATTGAACAATAGATGTTGCGATGCCAACGATCTAGCGAGCGAGATACATCGGTGCTCTGAAATTCTGCCATGCTCTTCTAAAACGGATTCATATAACGACTTTATCGGGTATAAGTATATTAATATCGCAGTACGAGTCAATTATTCGGTAAGTAACTGTTTTTTCCCCAAGCAAACGACGTGGGATAGCGCCGTGTATCGGGTTACCGTTTCTTATTACAAAATTAAACTCCACGTTTGATAAATGGGTGTGTGAATAGGTACAGGACTGATCGGATCGGGTTTAAAGGTGTAGCGCGACAGACAACAATAATATTATCCGATCATCGTGGCCGTCTGTTGCTTACGTCTTGGCCACTGCAAATGATGTTTCGGATGAATGGCACCGCCTATGACGTACCTACACTGACGGCGGCCACAACGGAACGTGTAAAAACTTCAAAACTGCTATTCATTCATAACGGTCAGAGAGCCTTGCGCAAACCGTGTCCGTAACCGATCCCGTCCGGCACGACCACATCGTTCATTCGGCGTGCCTTGTTATTACAGGTACTGCGCGTGTTTAAGGCATTATACCTACATCGAGTCATACCTAATAGGTAAATAATTCCACCGGAGCTACACCGGCTATCGATCCTTATTATCCGTGTACACTGTCAAAAGAAAAATTCAGATGACAAGTACACTTACACGACGGCCAATTCCATCGGATTGTGTTTTGGAACGTATGAATTTGGAATACTGGGTCTTTTTATCAAAGTGTCGATAATGTGTTCTTCAACGCTTTCCCTCGGTGGTTCAAGTTTAAAAGTACATAATTATGATCTTATTCGTCGTGGAAAATTACAGGAAACACTTAGTTTTCCATTAGTTTTGGGCCACTGTCGGTAATTTCCAGTCCACTGGAAAGCGAAACGCGGCGCTTCTTGGGTTTGACCAAAATAGCAAAACGCAGCAGTGTCGCCGGGTAAAACAAAAATAGTCGTTTGACGATAAAGAAAATAGGAATATTCTCAATGCAAGTTTTCTTATTTTTAAGCCGACATTACGTTGGGAAAATTTCCACGGTTTATTATTGTCGCAGTACGTTTTGCCCTACATTGTCTTTTCGATTTTTTTTTCGAAAACTATAAGTGTGTATTGTGTGGATTTTTTTTATAGATTAACCAATTGAAAATTAGTACCGTAACACAGTAAAACAAAGTAGAATTTTTATACCTACTGAACGCTCACTATTAGGCTGCGAAAACTTTCTGGTATCATTGAATCAACATTGCATGGCAAACATTCACTCACCCACTAACACCGAAATGACGTTATTGCTATTTGTAGAAACAAAATGTTAGTTGAATTTGATAATAGCTCGAATGTTATTCACATTTCACACCGCAGGTATACATCGATTAACGCCATGAATAATCGTTTTATATTTTATTGGGTCACAGTATCGACAGATATTATACGCGTGAAAATTATAATTTGTCTGTTAGTTTAGAGCTCGTACCTACACATACATTAGTGCATTCGTATGTAGATTATTGAATAAAAGTGTATTCAGAAGCCTTTGAAAATTTAACCTTGTGTCAATAACAATGGATTGACCCGATTTTAGTTATGTTTATGTGTAGGTATATGCACAAACAATTTAGTATAATATAGCGAGAATGTTAAATGATTGATCTACGACACTATGTGTGTTTTACAACTCTATAGAAATAGATGAAAAATTGTTATTGTTGACTATCTTCGATTTTTTTTACAGTAGCAAATAACACAATAAGTATGTTTCTATACATTTAGGCATATTAAATAGACTAAACTAGAATAACAACATGCTATTACTTGCGACTAATAGAAATTAACACATCTTACTGTAGACTTCTTTCACAAAATTATTTGTATAATATGATGTGTAATGTTAACATATATGATATAAATTAATCAGACCAACTAGTTAAAAAAAAAAAAAAAAATGTTATGTTAAGGTAATAAAATTGGTCAACGATTACATATCATTATAGTGTATATAAAAATGTTGGTTATATATTTAATAATCGACCTTGACATGCTAACCAATTGAGTGAGTTACAAAATTAGATAACTGGTTGGTATAACCTATGAAGTACCTACGTATAAAAGGTTATGATTAGATGTATGACTATTTTTATAAGTTTTAGTATTGTATTAGGATTTCCGAGAAAGCTAAATTCTTTAAATTTGAGGTGGAACTAACATTTTTAGTGATTTAGCTGGACTTTTTCAAGTTTTAACTTTGAAATTCGATGACATTATTTATTGACGTAATACATAGATACAATATAATTGTTGGGTTATTGTTCCTGTATAATTGTTAAAATATACTTCTTGAAGGTATTATTGTTATACTTCAAAACTGTAACTTATTTTTTAGGTAATTCTGATTAATTTTCGAGTTGTTACATAAAAAAAAAATATTTATTTATATATTATTGTTAAACGTAATGTAATTATATCAATAGAAGTAATGTTTTCTTGGTTTTTTCTTTTGTTTAGCACGCTAATTGCGTCAGGAGTTATGCCGAAGACCACGTAAACCGGAGGCAAGCGGCCGGAAAATCTAACATTAGCGGCATAGCAACCATAGTTCTACAGTTACCAGCCGTGAGATACCTTCCCGGTGCCAAGCCCGGCACGTTTTTCGCCAGAGACAACGTTTCCAATTTTATCACTTGGTGCAGAAACGGACTGGGAGTTTTCGAATGTCTGCTATTCGAGACCGACGACCTGATCATGCGCAAAAACGAAAAACACGTGATACTCTGTTTGCTCGAGGTAGCTTATCCCGAGAGCCATTACCATACTGTGTAGTACCATACCTGCGTACAAAGCAGTTATTGCGCTTAGACATACATGTTTTTTTTTTGCTGTAAGTATGGCATTTCCATGGTTTTCCAGGTGGCCAGGCGAGGAGCCAGGGTCGGTGTACCGGCGCCCATGTTGGTGCAGATGGAAAGGCAGATCGACCGGGAAATCGCTGCCGACAAGAAATACGCTCAGTACTCGCAGGGTACCGATTTCAACGATGGCGACGACACTGACTTGAGTGACGGCGAAGACCTCACGGAATACGGACCGTTGCCTCAAATCGTCACGAACGACCTAAAGAGCTTGGACGAAATGGTAAGTTGCAACGTGTCTATAATAATAATAATAATAATAATAGTAGTACCAGTTTATGAAAGTAAAAAGCATCGACATTGTTGCGTCGGGAAAAAAAACGTCTTATACATTTTGGTATTGCGAGTGTATTTGATATACCATCAGCGTTCTGTGATAAGGTTTGATTCTTTGAACGGCCATAACGGGGAAAAAAAATCATACATCACTTTACACTTTATATAGAACAAATATAATGTTATGTAGTGTTTGGATAGTGGGCAGACTATTAAAGAATGGCTTTAACCATGAGACCGACAAAACATTTGCCGTATTCTTTTTTTATAATTCTATCTTGATAGTATGTCTAATGACTTGTGGAACTGCGACTCGTACGATTATTTTCATAGTAAAAGACTAATCAGATTTCCATAATACTGTACATAATAGGAGTGAATATGGCGATCTTTAGATAAAATAAAAAAGTGAAATGCGTGTGACGATGATTTTACAATTTAAAAACACAATATTATATTATTATATCGAGAATGGATCATACAAATTTGCCTGTGGCTGTATTAAACAATAGACGAAAAATAATTGCGATAAAATAAATTATAGAGTAAGCGTTTTATGATGATAAATAAATAACGTTAACTAATTATTATTTTTATCAAAAATTATGATCTAAAAGACGAGGAGGTAAAAAAATATATAAAATATAATCCTCAAGTTATGGTTAGTTTAAATCATAAAATATATTTTTAGTTATTAGTATAATATAGTTAATAAAGACAATATGTTCATATAATTCTGATACATTGTAATATTATGCTTCTAAGTATTAGGTTTTTGTTATGTTGACTGATTTGTTAAGGATACCTACTTCTAAATTTATTTTCTACTTTATAGAAAACTTTCTATTGATGAAATTCAACATTTGTACATGTTTAACATTTTTATTATTTCTCAATTATTTTGCAAAACTCGATTTTTGAAATTCAAACCCAAGGATATATATTATTTAATTTATGCTTATTTAAAAAAAATAGTATCTGCTAATAATAAATGCATTTTAAATAATAATAGTTAAAGGTAACTATTTTAAAATTTAAGAATTTGGTACATTGCTGCTATTTTCATTGCTCACACTCCCAACTAAAACTTTATCAAGTTCATTACTTCTGTTAATAAAAACATATTATATCATTTTTTGAGAGAATATAGTCCATACAATGAATGGCTTAGTTATCATTAACTCTATAGTTAACTAATACACAGTTAAGTATTATTTGTGATAGCCTTGCAATTATAATACAGTTTAACCAGGAAATATGAAGTAATTTAACTTAAAAAAATATGAGGGTAGTAAGTATTTTTAGAGAGAAATAGTGACATAGTACCTTACTGAATCAGTGAGTACATTATAACAGATTATGGATTTATGAAAACGCGTTAGGATGTTTATGTGTCATATTTTAGGATTTATTTTAACGTTGTATTTTTTACTGCTAACATCAACATAGCCGTAACCTATAAAATTTACGATAAGGAAATTATTTTGTCCTAAATACTTTGGGAGCTTTCGTTGAGCAATCTTATATCAGTTTAGTTAGAAAAAATAATCAAATGCGATTTTAGCATTTTCTTTACAAAATCCTAATAAAATTATTTTCGAATTCAGATTTCAGTTAATTTGCAAGGGCAATAATAATATTATACTACACGTCTTTACATAACACCCGTTCTAACTGATTTTCTAACTAATAAACCGTTTAGTAAGCATAACGTGTGTGCATCGACATAAAGTATAAAAAATAAAATTTCGGTGAAGGTTAACGTAAAAACAGAAAAAAAAAGTGATAATGGAGTGTCATCCTGCAGGAAAAAAATAATCATAAGAGTTAATTTTAATTTTAATCGAAACCATTAAAACATTATTCTACGCGTGGCAAACTCGTCGATGCGGTGCTAATGTTTTTAAGCGGATGCGATTCGATATTGCGGAATACATTTGTATACACCGTTCGTCTTAGTAATTTCTTTTGTTTTGTTTTTTACTGGCGTGATGCTCGGGTAAGTAAATATTTCATTTCTCCTCCGCCGTCGCCGCCGCCAGAACGCTTTGTGTGCGGCCTTGATTTTTATTGGACGAAAACAAAACGTATAGTGACATTGCGAATTAGTGAAAACAAAGCGTTATATAAAATTATATTAGAACTAGGTACTACGAAGTTGCCGACCTTATAGCCATCGCGGTGTCGGCGGCGTTCAGAACCTGAGGCACAACTTGTGTGTGGAATCACCGCCTCAGTTATGATAAAAACATTGTAGTAATATATTTGTATTATTATAATAATAATATACGAACACATAGTCGGCTTGGTTGTAATTAAAAAAAAAAAAATAATAATATTCAGTACAATGACACGAGAGAAAGAAATCAATGCACAGTCTCACTGTGTTATGTTGTAATAATAATCTAATTGAAACAACACAAATCGGCCGAATCAAGAAAGTTCATTGGCAAAACGAGTGCGTTGTACGCTACGACGAACGTTGAACTAGAAACAATACTTTAGTCGTTATTTGTTCTTGCACGTGTATGCATAAGATATATAGACTGTAGAGAATGGTAAGCAGTGCGGTGTTATATCCAAAGGAACTAAGTTCAAAACGTTAACTGTTGTAACCCTTTTCGAAATCGGTCTGGTTGCACAAACGGTGTTAGGGCAAAGTGAGGTTGAACCGACCGAAGAGATGGAAAATGTACACAAGGAGTGGCACCGGCGAGATATAATAATTATAAATGTTTTGTAGAACTTGACTTATTTAGTTTTTTTAAACATTTTTTTTTTGTTGAAAATGTGAGTGCGTTGGTCGAAAACGCACCCTTTCGCTCGGCCAGGCCATAAAACCGATATCCGTTTATAAATTATGCGTTTCCGTCGGGACCAGAACGAGTTGAAAAATAATAATATATTGTAATACATGTAGCTGTTTGTCAGACGATATCGAATATAATTCAGAATACATGCGACAAACGGCTGGTTATAACCCACACTGATTTCGATTAACGTCGGAAGCGAAAACAGCGCAATTAAATTAATATAATTCTGATACCTATTGCTGTTGTTCAGATATTTGAATTGAAAGAAATGCATTATACTGTTTACAATAAGGGACACTGTGTTAAGATATTATTTTAGCGAAACGTTTTATGATGATAATAAAATAAATAATATTATGTCAACGACGAACGGTACATAGTATATTTTGTATATTTATTATATTATAATATGTGACCACGTAGAATCTTAATATACATATTGATAAAGAAAAAACCTCATAAAAAACAGTAACTGTAGGCGTTTAATGCGGTTTTATCAAACGACGAGATAGCACTAGTTGACTCGTACGACTTATAAATGCGGTCCAGTTGGTAAATCATTATTTTTTTTTTCATTTATAGATTACGATAAAATATTTTAGTAAAGCGGGTTTTCAGTAGGCACTGCTGCGAAGAACGGAAATATAGATAGTAATACAAATTAAATACTTTCTGGTTTAATATTGTAATTATAATTAATATATACCAATTTAATTAAATGGGAAGAGGAAATAAAATAAACTGCTGTTAGTTCAACCTTATAAACGGGTTGTTTAATACTCGTATTTATTTAATATAACAGGACGAACCCAATTATTATAATATTATAAATATTATAAAATAAAAATCTAGACTAGTATAATACTTAAACAACATTGATAAGAAGCACGTCGTTTCAAACTGTTCAAGTGACAAATGTTGGAATTTATTAACAATAAAAATAGCAATTAAAATGTATCATTTAAATAATTATAAATAGTCAAATTTGAAAGCTCCTCCTTAGACGAGGCAGCGCCGACCCTTAATGGGCCGCTTAAGCTAGGATAGAATGGAATGTGAAAATATATAATTTGACCGTGTTTGGGAAATAAATAAAATAAAATTAGAGCAACGCGTTTAGCAAACTGAATGTGTGGTTTTTTACATGTGCTGCATAGTTTGACATTAGATGTCGGTACGAGATATGCGATTCCCGAATATAAGTCTGATTTATACTTTCTAATGTCAGTGATTCATCATAAGTTAATTCACTGGGAACCTGCGTCCGCGAGGGCCATTGAACGCAAATTACCATGTACGGTGTGGTTACCGCGCCCATAAACAAATCTCAGTCGTCCTACAACTGTTCTATGTTATTATATTTATTAATAATAATTGTAGTTGTGTTTAAATTTTGCAATAGGTACGAGATTTGGTAGAGAGGTGCAAGTGTCCAACGCAGTTCCCTATGATCAGGGTGTCGGAGGGCAAATACCGTATTGGCGACACTAAAGTGTTGATATTTGTCAGGGTGAGTTGAGCGAATTTTGTATTTATTTATAATTTGAATTATCATCACCATAAGAAACGTCACGTGTGTTATGCCACATTTACAGATACTCAGGAGTCACGTTATGGTCAGAGTGGGTGGTGGATGGGACACGCTGTCTCATTACTTGGACAAACACGATCCGTGCCGGTGTAAAACTGGTAAGTCGGTTTTTCCTTATAACAAGAAAAAAAAATCACTCTTAAGAAACTGGCGAAATCCTCCAAGTTTTTTTTTTTTTAATGCGAACGGTGCACGTTGTATTGTTGTTATTGTATTGTGTCCCAACAGTGAATTAAAATATACCTACGCATTATTATATGTATATAATATATGTATACTGATTACTAGCGTTTATAGTTTATAAAAGGACAGTGTAAAAAATTATAGTAACAATACCGCTGCACCGTTTGTTGTGTTCGTCCTGCAAGGTCAACAATAATAGGTATAGTGCCCAGCGTAGACACCATAATATTATATCGGGCTATTATAATTGCATGTAAACTGGCACGTTGAGATTTGAGCTGTTATTGTGTGCTAAAGTATAGACAAGTAGTAGTACGAACGTCGTAAATTATTTTGATTTGGTCATGCTTGTGTAGTCGTATAGCTTGAGTAGCTTATTTTGTATTTGTTTTTTTTTTATTATGTTTCATTCGGACAGCTCATCGTGCTCCGGTGTCGGCTAAACTTACCGGCGTCAAGAGCGGCGGGCCCGCGTTGGAACTATCGCACGCCCAAGTCCACTATGACAGGTCAGTACTTAGAACGAGGTCCTCTTTGGCAATAACATAGTAACGATAATAATTTATTTTTCGCATTACGAGTTTGAAGTATTGAAGTTTTGCATGCGCATTGTTAGGGCATCGTTTGCCGACGCATGCAGTAACGACCGACATTCGTGTAGAACGAGATGAGATTATGTTATAAATAATAATAGGTAGGTATATATCCGTAAAATCGTGAGACCATATAGGGCGGTAATACAAGTTTCCACCTATAAATATATAACTATGCGCCGCCGCATCATTAACAAACCGTTAATCTAAATGATTTATTGAAAAAGAAACGACTACCATTGCGATTATTTCAAAATTTCTCTTTTTTTTTTTACAAAATTCTTGCCTTTTTGTTTTTTTTTTTGGTATAATATATACAATCCGGTAAAATGTAGTACCACCAATTTTTGTTTTTACTTCATCCGAATATTTTTGCGAACTGCTTAAATTGGTTAAAACTAACTTTTAAAATACCATGTAAACAAAAATAAATGGGTATACATGACTCTCGTCTGCAGATCGCCGCCCAGGACTCGTCGTTCGTCCACGTCGAGCACGGGCAGCAGCGGCAACGGTTGTGCAGGCGGCTTGAGCCTGACCACCGGCGGCCTGAACACGGCTAGACGAGCCAGCCGCCGTCGGAGCAGATCACCGTCCCCGCGGGTGACCACTAGACTGAGCGCGCCTCCGGACGCAGATCGCCGGAGCAGGAGCCCTACGCCTCGCAACACCGAACGGTTGACGGTTCAGCAGCAAAACGGCGGCCGGTCGAGATCCGTGACGCCCAACCGTCAGAAAAACCCCCGGGCCGGATCGCCGGTCGATCGCCTGCTGGTGCCCAGCATGACGGCCGAGTCGAACAGGAGCCGATCGCCCTCGGTCAATCGCAGCGGCGTGGACGACACGCCAACGCCAAAGATTTCGGTCAACTTCACGTCGGAGTTGGCTCGCGAAATTGGAGATCGCCTGTCCAGGGAACCGTCCGTGGACAAATGCGAACCCCGGAGAAAGTATTCGGACACCGTCGACGACCACACTACCGTGGACACGTCGTCCACGTGCAGGGTGTCCGACAATTTTCGCGGAACCGACCAGTATCACGTACTCAACGGCACGCCGGTGGCGGCCATCGAGAGGAGACATTCGACGGTCAGAGAAGAAGAGTCCACCGTTGACACCACGCCGGTCTACCGGGTGTCCGACAGCCTGCGGGTCACTCACGAGTATTCGCCGACCACCGGCAGAAGGAAATCGCATTCGACAAACAAAGAAACCAAGAAATCCGAACCGGTGGGCACGGATAGCGGTTCAGAGGTGTCGGACGAAGGCTACCGGAGTTTGGGAATCGTTACTACGCCGCCAGCCAACCACAATGCAAAAGCTGTGCCCAAATTAAACGGTAAGCGTCCAGTGTACAGCGTACAATAAGGTTATGTCAATATAAAAATTGTTTTTTCTTCTTTAAAATTTAAACCGATAAATTTAGGCATTCCTAATAATAATTATTATGCGGTAAAACAAAAGCTACTGCCCACTGTCGCGGTTTCAGAGTTCAAATGCAATTTATACGACCGACAAACACCACTCGCATGCATATGTATTGTAATAGTATCAGGACCACCACATAGAATTAATTGTGTACAATATAATTAGGTTTTTTCATTATTATTATTACTACACGGACGATGTCCCACGCGTAGATTATGGCCAACAGCGTTTTGTCGCGATTGGTAATCTTGTTTTGAAATTATTACTATTATAATAATTGTATTTTATGCGTATTATGCGTAGTCGCGTCGATGCGATTTTAGAGTAGCTTTGCGTAGACGTTTGTGTGTGTCTCTTGCATGCGCGTTTGAACGATACTGCACGACCAACGCATTAATTAACATTGCGATAGCGACGGATTTGAGGACACAACAGGTACGGACGGACGGATATAATATTATAGTACCTAGCATACATACATACATACAACACAATAAAGATACCCACAAATCGCATACAAATCTCATGTGATCATTGCCCGATTGTTGCTGTATGAGCTATAATTTAATGTTTTACCCGGTCATATGACCGTGGCGCAATAAGTCGGTAATGTTGTTTTCTGAGTCCGTTTCACGGTAGTCCCTCGAGTAAGGTATTTGCAGTGATTTTTAATTTTTGGTTTAGTGAGAAATATCTATCAATTCATTTGTCATTATTGCACAACACAGTAATGACAACGATTTCATAACCAAACGGGGTTCACACGTGTATTTAAATTATTATACCTACAATATATTATTATTATGTCGGTTCGCCGTCTTTGGCTTCTTTCCTTCTTGACCAATCCTTTGGGGCCGGCCACGCTGTCACGTGAACGCCTCCTCACTACCACCGTGTCGAAACCCTACACGGTTCAACATGTTTTCAGTTGGCCGACCTATACATCATCGCTTAAGTTCCGCAGGATACGATAATAATATTTTAATCTACACGCATTATTCGTATTTGCCTACCTTAGTCCGCCCACATTTTGACACGCCGAACCGAAACCTGCACGTTCAGACCGGCGATTCGGTTTTTTTTAAAAAACAATTTTATATTATTTTACACAGAGTTGTCTACCCACTTGAGTTATTTGATTGGGTCGATCGACTCGACCTCGACTGCAAAGTTGGGACAGGAGGAAAGTGGAAGAGGCGAAAAAATTACTCCGCAGTAAAGAAGGGATGCAAATCAGTAGATTCCTTTTTTCCATTTAGTTACACACACAAAATAATATTACCGGAAATTAATGAATAATGCTGTTATTTTGTCTTAAATTATTTGACTTAAGATTGTAAAAATAAGAAAAATAACTCATAAAATAGAGAACTTTTACACATAGTTTTATGTTTTTGGCTAAGTATCGAAGCTGGTGGAAAGTACAGACTGTAAAAAAAAATCGATTACGGTGCGGCGTAAAAAATTAATACTTTCCAAAATCATATAATCATAAAGATGTACATAATCTTGGGTTTTGAGCCTAGAAATCTGTAGTGATCTTGCAACATTAAAAACCGATAAGATGACAGTTTATCACGTCAGTTGTCACATTTTAAAAACTCAGAAAGAACAATAATTTAATATTACATTAAAATATGAAATCCGCCGGAAAATATTGTTTTCGCGTTAAAAACGTTTTATGTTACTTCCGTTTTAAACTTCTCGTTATTATTTCGTTGTCAATTTCAAAATAAACTTTTGACCAAATATATAAACTCATTACAGATCCGGCGCTAGACGCTATTTTAATCTAGGCTAACATCAAGTTTTAAATATTTTCAATTTGTAAAAAATAAACCCCGCCCTAGGCGATATACTTACATTGCCTGTGCCTTACGCAGGCTCTGCTTCGGTGTCAACGTTGTTTCCATAAATAATAATAATAATAAAAAATAGATGTAGTTGGATAAATGGAAAAAAATATGCATCGAAAAGCCCAACACTAAAATCGATAAACGGTTGCACCGCGTCGTCACGCCTATATGTCTGTGCTATAACCACGGGCGGTACTTATTAGGTTTTCACGACTTAACACGACACGATAATAATACCATGTCGTTTATGAAACGTTGCAGGCACACCTCCAGTTACGCGGGTCGCCCGGCCGCCGCGTAGCCGTTCGGCTGGCGGCAAAGAGACGCCCAGCCCGCAGCAGTCGCCGTTCCGCCGGAACCGTTCCACCAACCAGTCGTCCAGGCAACCGCGGACGCCGTCGTCGGCTGTCGTCAGCCGGTCGCAGACGCCCACGCCGCAGATGAGCCGCCGGTCGCCGTCCGCGGACAGGCGTCCAGCGGCGGGCAGCGCGGTCGCGTTCGGCCGGAACAATACGTGGAACGCGGCCGGCGGCCGGCATTGGACGGGCAAACAGCGGCCGCAGATCACGGCCGACACGTTCTGCCAGCAGGTGGCCGACATCATCAACCAGTACGCGGCGCTGTCGCCCAGTCCGAGGAAAGACTCGAAACCAGACTCGGCCATGGTGACCAGGATACCGGCGCCTGTTCAGAGATCGTGAAGTCCGTCCGCGTTGCCTCGTTGTCGTTGCCTTCCCAAAATCCAAAAAGTTCAACTCGAAACAGACTTAATATTATTATTGTTAATTACCATGCATAGGTGCCTCCCATGTTATGCAATACCTACCTACTGTAGCGTTTGTAAAACAACAACCTATAGTCGTGATTAAACCGTTATGATATAACAATAATAGTTGTAGTAGTATTATTGTAATTGCAATTATTGCGTTGTACAGGGTTTATACTTAGAGAACTATTATTATTGTTGCAACTAACCAGCTACGTGATTGTATTTATTATTAAAAAATTAATTCTTGTTGTTGTTTGGAAAATTTGTTATCGACAGAAACGACGTTTCTGTGCAAACGAATGGTGCTAAAAGAGAAAAAAATATGGCCTTACACGTTTACCTATTGGCCCGCGTTGGCCGCTGTATGATTTCACGCGTGTATAGATAATATATTATATGACTTGTATGTGTGTAATAATAATAAAGGATATTATTTAAATAATAATAATGTGTAAAAATTATAATTTATTGAATTAAAAATCTTTGTAATAATCGTTCGCGGACGAAAAAAAAAATTGAAAGCAATAGCCTTTTTGCAAAAATTAACTCTACCTATTATTAGTCATCGAAATTTATAAATACTATATTCTATTTATTTTATGTCGTACCTACACTAACACCATGTATTCAGGCCGTTCTATTATCGGTAGTATTATTTATTATAATGTTAAATTATTATTATCGCAGAGTCCTCTTGTATTTATTATATAGTGAAATTTATATAAGAAAAAAAATTGAAAATTAAAAAAAAAAATTGAAAATATATAATATTATATAACTGTTACTTTTTTTTCTACAGTCATACCGCAGTATAATATTAAGTGTTCATATTTTATATTATATATTAACGTTATACCCGCACACACCTTACTCGGTCACTGTCGTTTTGGTCGGTCCACGTCATTTACAATAATGTTGCAACCAGCTTGCTAACGAACGCGACTAATGTTATAACAGTATAGTAAACATATTTTTTTAGCATAATATAGACTTTAATCAAAATAATGGCACGAGCAGACGATGGTATGATTTGTATATTTGCACTCTGCATAAAAATACAATAACTGTTACAACTGATAACGTGAAAATAGTTCTATCGTGTGTTAATAACTGCTTATTGTGCGTCATTTGTGTTTAAGTAATTTATAATAGTAGTGTTTACAACGCCCGGAATGGCTGTGTTCTCACTTCTCTTTAAAAGGAGACAATTAAATATCATATTGAATAAAGTCATAATTCAGTGGTTTTTTATTTAAGCCATTCCGGGAGTAATTGACCGTGATCTCTTAATGTTTTTTTATATATGTAATGTATTTTTTTTTCTCATTTAAGATTTATGCATCCGCCCTAACTATAACGCAGTTGTCAAGTGAGCGATGTCATGTCGTTCTGACTCGTATGGGCGGTCACACGTTGTATTCTATATGTTGTTATTATTATTATTATTATATTATTATTATGGGATAATATTGTTGTAATATTTTTTTTTTACACTATTCGAGACGTTTGTGTTTTTCTCTATCCGTCGCCAAAGATTGCATCGGTATACAACTACACATGATTGAATCACAACCGTCTCGTAATTATTATTATGGTCGACCATGTCGCCTAATGGACATACTCGGACTGGTTAATGTTAAAATCGGTTCACGCCTGCCATTACAATAAGTCCTGGGTGTTATTATTTGTATAAAATGACGGAAGCTGGTTATAATGATATAATGTTAACGAAACATAATATATTTTTATTAAAACGTTTTGTCATCGATAAGACCGACGGTGGTTTGTTCGTGTTGGTAAACTGTGCGGTTACCATTATTGGTTGGACTTGAGTGTTTAGAACAAATTAATTTTTATCGTTGTGATTTTGTCTAGTCTCGTGACGTCCGAAGTGGCACAGAAACGTTATTAAAATAATAATAATAATAACCAATATTCCATTGTTTTATAATATTTTGTTTGTTTAGTCCCCTTTTGTTCGAATATTGAATAATATCGCCTGTCGTAGACGTCCAACGGTGAAAGATTGTAAACCGGCTGCGACCTCATCAAGAACTTTGAAATATCTTAAAAAAAATATCATCTAGCTTTTGTTTTTTGACAATTATACACAATGAAACCAAAATCCTTGCGGTTAGACTTTTAAGTTTTGATGGTGCGTTTTTCATTAAAAAAAAAAAAAACTGATAACTAAACGTACATAAACAGGAAACTGACATTGCAAAATAAACACAGGGTCGCGTGAATTAGTCTGATCAAAGATAAATTATACTATTAACAAGACTAGGTTAGGTTATCTATTAACTCTGTTTTGTGATAAATCAAGACAACACTACGCAATATAAATGTTTTATTTCTTACAAGTATGCAATTAAATTGTTTATGTGATTAAATATTGTGATATGTGTTTGAAACGCATTCGGACATTGAACTAAGGTTATTCTAATTTTTTTTTGAAAGTATCCACAATACTAAACAATAAGTTTGTATATTTCAATTTTAAATTTATTGTTTTTTTTCTCGGTTCAGAATTTATTCGTTGGCGGTGACTTGTGACAATTTAATTTAAATTTATTGTCCGTCTCATTGTGACTTGTAAAAAAATAAAAATATTAATAATAATAAAATAAATGAAATAACATTAATCGATGCCCGTGTGAACATGTGAGACCATAATGCATGTAATACGACTGACAACAAGACCTTGTTGTACCATATCCGGTCACACGTATGTCCTGTACGTAATACAACCGATATGGGCATAATCCGTACGACACATGTCCCTAATAGATGTATTATATTATTAATAGTAATAATAATTATTACTGATATTACTACTGTAACGCAAGCACGTTGAATTGTCATTAAGTACATTGAACGGTCGAACGTTTAATATATTATGTAAAACGGTTGCTGATCGTTTTGTAAAATAATTATAATATTATTCATTATAGTTCGGTTTATCTGTTTTAAACAATAAAAAAATACAATATTATTCGTTGCGATGGTTGTTCTCAGTCCTATGTGTGGGCGATTGGTATTGCTGGGAACTAAAGCCATAAAAAAAAGTAGCTAGTAGGACACTTCAGGTTAGCTCAACCAGTATGGATTTTAGCCTCTTCTATCAAATTTGTTTCAGTTTAAATTACAACTTTAACCTAATTACCAAAAGTTTACAGAGTAAACAAAACAGCTGTTTTCGGTAGAAGAACTATATTGAGCATAATGCAAATAATTAAAGACGATCACATTTTCTTTTTAAAGTTTCAAGTTGCACCCCTTTAAGCTGTGGCGACGATATAATCTTCAAAAGTTTAGTGTTGCACATTTAAAATCAGATAAACAGGTTTATACCATACGAATGTAGGTACTTACATGAATTTCCAATTGGAACTTGGTAAGATGGTATTAGATGTATCCGAACATATTTCGTCATTTGACAGATATGTATACATTGTAAGATATAATTAAAATGTTAACCACAGGTTGATATTTGCGATCAAGCGTGTTATTGCAGTAATTTATACACTTAATGTCGACAAAACGTCATGTCCGGCACATAATTTTTCACAAAAAATAATGTAAACAATTATTAATTATTTATGTTAATTGCTATTATAAATGTCATCTTCTATGTTAGTCAGTTTTTTTTATGTTTTTGAGTTTTATACTTGTTCACTGCATATCCTTTTTAATTTTAGCATTAGGTTATAAATGTATTTTGTATTGTTCATACTTTGTTAACTGTTATCAGTGTTATTTTGTTTATTTAACTTTACCAAAAGCCAATTGGCGTTTATTATATAAATAAATAAATAAAGTATATTAAAGGAATAATATTTATTTTGACTTTTGGCGTGGCCATAAAAACATAGAATTTAAATAACGAGAAAACAAATTGTTATACAAAAAGAACAATTATTAATAATAGGTCCAATTGATTTTCAGGAATATGTTATTTTTATAAACTGTACTTTAGGTTTTATCACCGTGGAACTATAAGTTACTTTTTCAAATATTCATATTATTCATCGCATTTGTCAGTGATTTATCAATAACAACAGCGGTTTGGAAAATTTAAAGCTTCATCGGCTTTCCTGTAATATGTGTAATATATTTAATTTTTTTAGCCTATTTTTTTTTAAAAGGTCACATAATATATTAGGTTCTATTTTATGCACGCATATGCTCAGTGTGAGATTTTAATTTAAATAGACGGTCCATTTGGAAAATCTTAAATTTCTCGTTCACGATATAAATAATTCTGACGTTTAGCGAGCCTGGTGTATCTTTGGTTCTTGCAATTTTTATACTCCGCCGAGTGCTTTGCTTAATTGTTTTTACGTCACCACAGGGCCATTAAGTTTGCCGTGTCAATCTAAATTAAAGCAAAGCTTCCGTGGGGGAGGGGGGGGGAGCTTCCAGTTGTGTGGGCTATTAATCAATAATGCGTTTTTTTCGACGCGAAGGCGGAAATTTTAACGTGGCCTGGAAAGTGATCGTTGAATTATAAAAGACTTCGAAGAACACTGAAATTGTACATTTATCGCCGAGCGCGCTTTAATAATAATGCACACAAAGTCAAGTACACGCGTAAGTAGGAAGCGCAAGTCTGGTCGACGGTCAGGTTAGTCAGCCAATAGTAGTAGTCAATACGTAATATACACACAATGTGTTATTATTTTAGCGTGTAAATAGTAATTTGCATCTATTTAAGGCAACGACCGAGCACGACCATGTTTGGCGACTACTGTGTAAAATCATTGAAACCTGATGGCTGTATAGAAACACGAATCTCTGTCGTTAATCATCTCCAGATAAATAATAATACTTACATACAATATTATTTTGCGTGGTAACAGATTTATTAATTTTTTTTCTTTAAATAAAATTCAATCGTTTAAAAAACAAACGCACGCAATAGTGAATATAATTATATATTTTAAAATGGATAATAATTACTGGGTTTCGAATAAAATATCCGTCTGAGTTGATTAAAATAATCGTTATAAGTTTTGACATCACGTTAGTGTCTTAGTGCAATCTTAAGGTGTAACGAGAAAAATACATAGAGGGAGAGAGTTCAGATATAGTTAAATTATTATAACTTTACTTGTAATAATATTTCAATGGATTGTAACGGTCGATTTTTCTATCTAACCTACTTGTTAGTTTTAATGTTTGATAACAAACTTAATTAACACATTAAAATTCGTTTAAAATGTGGACCAATTTGGACAAAAGGCAAACATCCTATTTATAAGTAATTAATGCATTATGTATTTATCAGTTATTTATAATATAACATTCATAAGGATTCTACAGAGGGAAGATTTTTAAAGATTTATCTTTGGAAATCTTAAAAATCTGAAATCTGGTGTAAAAATAATTTAATAGTGGTCTACCCTCTGGGATTCTATTACATAGTATACTATAAAAGCATTATCTAGTGATTGAGGGTACTGACATTATAAAAGATAATAAGTATATTTTCTTATCAAAAGATGACAAATCTCTCACTGATTAATGTTGACAGTTAGCAAATTGTTTATTTAATATTTTTGGAACTTGTGTTTCATAAGCGGATTTTAGCGGTGATATATTTATAGCCAAAGTAAAACGACGAGGGTGGTACATGTGATCAGATAAGTTCAACTCGGTGGCTTGTGCGTGAACGAAACTGATGTGAAAGACCGATAAGCTAGAAATGTTTCCAGAAATGTGATCCTAACCTTAA